TCGGTTAAGTGATGGACAAAATTAATGTATGTCAGGTCTGTGGTTCGATCCCTACTGCTGCAATGTTAAGACCTACTCTTTCTTTATTTCTGCAGTATATTTTGATGAAAATGGCCAAGTGCTTGTAAATATTAAACAACTTAGAAACACGAATTGTCACTTTTTTATTGTATTTTACGGCATTGAAATGACATTTATTGACTTTAATCCGATTGAATTTTAAATATTAATTCTTCAACCATGTTATTTAAAAATAGTATATAGTTCATCAAAATAAATGCAAAAGATATTTAAAAAAACGAACAACATAAAAAACAATCATAGCTTCAATAATGTTGAAAAATCATGGACCTTAATGAGCTTACAATAAGAAGGCCATTTCGAACTATAAAACAGTATTATATAATAATATATATCCTATTGCGATATAACGCTCACTATAACTATTTCATAAACATTCATTAAACTCACATGTCTTAAGCTTCTTATCGAAATTTTATCAAATATCAATATATTGTGTGCATTGACCGTATAATCAAGCAATATTCAAAGTTATGTATGATGATGGTTTACAAATTAAATATGTTTTAAGTAGCATGCATGAAGTATCAACATGTCACATCGCGCATACGTTTAAATGTTCAGTATGTTTATAATAAATAGAATATTGTCTACGGTGGCACAAAGGTGACATGTGTGTGTGTTTTATTTATCGCGTGCGCACGAGATACTATGTCGTGGTCATGAGTTACTAAGTCGTGAGTCGTGGCCACGAGATAGTTAAGTCGTGGGAACGAGATTTTCTATTGTTCTATTTTAAGTGCTTCACATGATCTATGTAAGTAGTAAAAAATATGTTTTTAGACTTTTTGACCTAAGTGGAGCTCCTTTCCGTACATGCTATTTTCAGTCGGATATATTACACCTTCTGTAACTACACCTGTATCTTGTATTGCCTACCCGAGCTATGCATGACTTAGCAATTAACTTTTTCAAATATGTGAGGCATATCATTACGAAAATAATTCAGATTGTGATCTTCAAAACACGCAGGTCACGAGATGTTTTAAAGTGTTTAAATTGAAATTAGATTTTTACATTGTCAGTTAAGCAGTTTTACTTAGGTATATATGAATAAAATGTTTTCTACAGTCATCGTGCACCAGACTCCCGTAACACTTGACTAGCTTCTAGCTCACTTGACATAAACATTCTGGAAAACATGACATGAAGTAAATACATGTATTTAATTTAAGATTATCAGATTGCTTATTCAGACATGGATTCCACGTAATATAAAAAGGAATACGCTTACGCAGATTAATCACATAAACCGTAATAAAATGATTAAGACTGCAGGTAAAACGAATATTTAAAAAAAAAATATGCTTCCTTATCAAAAATAGATGCAGTTTCGATACGAAATGACGTTGCTTGAACTTTTACCGAATATTTACTCGTGTATTTTCTTTCACGAGGAGACACATCTTAAGTTTTAACATTTTAATATTTCAAAAATTTAAACGTAAAATTCAATAGTAGGCTCAATATCATAATTCTTATGATTCTGTTTCCATGTTTCCTAAGATACGATATGCAAATTAACATGTTAAAGATCGGCCGAGAATCTTTTTTTTTAAAGATACTTCTTGCTACTTTTATTTTACAAAGGTTAACCAGCTTGCCACGGACGCCCCAGTTTGTCAATAATGCCATGCAATTTATTAATAATATCCTGTATTAAAGATCGAAGACGCCATCATGAACAAAATATTATCTGAATCATACTCAACATTTTCGCTTAGTTCATTTTTACTCTCCTGTACATGTTTATATCGTTTTGATGTGATGAATGTCATTTTTGAGAAAAACGGAATTAAATTAGCATAACAAAATCCTTACGCTTCAATTGACCTACGCATTTATATATGCTTCATTGATATCCAAATGTAAAGTAATTATAATATTCGATCATATCACATAAACACATCAATAATCATATAGATCTAATATCATAAACCAACGTTTTTATTTGTTGTCATGCACATGAGTTTCAGGGGTCGAAAGCGTGCAAACTTGCCATTCATAACTCAGTAGATATGTTACATTGAAAAGAATTAAGAAAATCTTTAAAGCAGTGTAAAGTGTTGTAAAATGTTAAATGGGATCGAGGAAGCACAATTCTCAAATATTCGAGAAATGTAACTAAAAAGTTCGATTCCGAAACTCATTTTGATTGTCAAACAATTTAGACGTTTATACGTCTCAGAAAAAAATCCTTTATATTATTCTACTCATTTTAGAATGGCCAATGAGAATCTTGGATTTAAGTTTGCATGTAATGTATGGAAATCCAACTTATATTCAGTTCATCTGTGTAATTTGTAAATGAAGTCAAACCGTTCTCAGGCGGACTTCATCCGAAAATAGACCTGCCCCTGTCTATTACATTAAATGTTATCAGAATTAAAAATGAAAATAAAAGGTAAATAGTTGTTATAATATTCCTGTCATAAAACAATCTGGACACAACTTTTAAAGAATATAATAAATGAGTGCACTTATAAATGAATAAAATATTAAATCTTAAAATAAAATAAGAAAAATCACGGATTTATATTACAAATATAAATCCGTGGAAAAATGGAAAGCATATCAAAGTTAAGACACGTTTAAAATTCCTTTAATCGAGTCATTTTTCAAAGTAATTATAATCTAAACAGTTCTTTTGACCTTCTGACATTAATTAATTTCACAATATGCCAAAAATGGACGCTTCAAGTTCATTTCTATGAAAGTACAACAGTTTCAAAAGTATCCGATCATACTTATTACGATTTTAAATCACAAAACAAAATCCATAACATCTGAAACGCTCTAGAAAAGCATAGTTCATAAAACTATATATAGAAAAATATAACAAAAATATATCCGTTTAAAACGTATTTGTGATTCAAATAACATCCATTTGATATACGCATTGCTTTGGAAACCGCATCTACTACCCACTGTTAATAGCAAAGTCCCTGGTAACAATCCCGCCCGCGGGATCAATCAGATTGTTAGAGTTAGACTTTATCCTACCTTCTATTCAACCGGAGAAAAGTCAAAACTGATTTCCCCTCGAAAACCTCCGACGCCAGGGCTTAGTTACAAAGAACTCTAAAGTAATTTGTATCGATATAATCCAAAAACTTGCTTATAGTGGCATGTATATACAGTGTACAAGTACATGTGGTTTTAGTGGATTGGTCTACAACGGGCACAACATTTCCAATAAGTATTTCAAATATCGATAGAAACAATATAACTTTTTTTTATTTGAATATTCTTACAAATATTTCTTGAAAAAGAAGCGCTTATAAAGTTTTAAGTGATAAAGTATAGCAAATTATATGATGAACAATCATTTTTTTTTTGTTCTAGAACACTTTATTATCTGCTATATATAAATAACATTATTATATGATATAAATATAGCTGCAATCTCATTGGAACAGAACTTTCACATGCCTTCATTACAGACCTATTCACTTTAATATTTACATACATACATACATACATACCCTCAATGAACATGTATATATATGGTAGTGCTGTAAGGTTGCTGATTTCTGCCATTTCGTGTATCTGCGTGTTTTTGCCCCTCAAAAGTCGAAGGCGAGTGTGTGTCATTTAGTCACTTTAGATTTTGGAGGATAGTGCACGCAAGATACAGATAAAGAAAGATGCCCCAATTCCAGAAGCTTCTCCTGCTTCCTAAGCGTGCAAAGTGTTAAAGCACTCATACACGGGACCTCGATTTAAAGTCTCATCCGAAAGACTGATTAGTAATTATAGTTAGCCAGCCTGGAAACCGAACCCACAATGTCGAGATTACAAGTCTCGCGCTCTAACCCACGGTGCATATCCATATCGGTACCCTCTTTGCGAAATCTGCTCAAACGGAACCCTCTTTGCACATGCACAGGTCATTCTCTGCTAAAAACAAACCAGCGATGGATAACAATCCAGTAAAAATTCATTGTAATAAGGAAAGGAGGTATGACACGTAGAAAACATGTATACCACTGAACACTAGAATGTTTTATTTATGTGCTGATTTGTCATGTGCTCGTTTTTCATGTACTGCAACAATATGCTACAAAAAATCGACATGTCTTGCCTTGCCCATCACCTCGACATACTTTTCGGGCTGCAATGTATATATGTGCTATATATGTCGTGTCGTCTCAAAATGCAGGTGGCGAATACAAGATAATTGGACAATTCAAACCTGACAACATAGTATTGCCGTCTTCATTTTTGATTGTACATATAAACACATTGGTTAATAGCCAAAAAAGAACTTGCTTCAAATTTACCCTGTATTTCCACCTGTCATCATGCTCCATCGCGGATTTGAACAAAATGCGTACGTGACTATAAACATTTTCATATCTATTACATACTCGTATATACTTAAACGTTTCGATACACTTACGGACTGTGGTATACTTTCAAGTATACATAACATTGACTAATCTCCTGTTTAGATTAAAATTATAAAAAAATCCACTATCAAAATTATAGTTACTATAATTTTGATAGTGGATATTTTTTTATAATTTTAATAGTGGATTTTTTTTTATAATTTTATCGGTGGTTTTGTATTTGGTATCTTATAGTAAGCCTTAGGGTGTTGAATTATTTCTTTTCAGGGTTGTAGTAGGGGTCCAGGGGCAGATAGGGGCGGCGTGTCCAAAGACCGATACTGCCACCTGTGAACCAGACTGAAGTTGTGTAAATAATTTATATTGGAAATATTCATTTATGGCAACTTTTTTATGGCAATTATTACTGTTTATAGCCTTGTTTATAGGTATAATTGTTTGTGTAGGGTAAGGCGCAGGCATTTTATATTCCGGGTCATCAGACCTCTCCACAGTGTCCAGGATGATTGCTCATTAGAACCAGTCTACAAACATTCTTATGCCCATGCTTCAAAATACCACTTTATTAAAACGAAAAATTAACATCGCGATGGAAAATCGGTAAAAGGTGAATTCGGAAAAAAACCTTTTGGCGCTTTGTCGTGTTGTCGCTAGCGACAGGACGACAAGGCGAAAGTCCGACAACGCGCCGTTTTGCGCTTCGTCGTGTTGTCGCTAGCGCAAAAGCGTAACAAATCAGCCATCATACATATCAGCCATATTTTACCTTGAGTTAGCTGGATTGGAGCACGTTTGTTTTGGCTAACAGGTGTGAAAAGGTGGTCACGTGAATGTATATGTGTAATCTTTCAAAATATGAGATAACGGCGTTCATTTCATCACGGACCTTAATTGTCAATTTCATGTCTGGAGTTGTTTTTTTTGCTTGTCCATATACGGAGGTGCAGATTTAAACATTGTTAATGCGCAGTTTTACTAAGCACGGAAATAAAAGGTATGCAATCTTTTATAAAAGGCTTCATTATTTTATCATAGTGGTGGTAATGGCGGCGCCCGTAATTTTTGTTAAGGTTAATCTTGTTGTTATTTTTTGTTGTTGTTGTTTTTGTTCTGTGTGTGTTTTTTTTTTTTTTTTTTTTTTTTTTGGGGGGGGGGGGGGTGGAGGGGGGGGGCGGGTGGTCAATACTACTTCTATTTCTGTAATTTAACAATATTACGCGTTTAGAAGAAGTTCCAATATTTTTTATCAATTAAAACTGTGGTTTGTTCGAATACCCTGGAGCAGAAGATTTTTCCTTGGAACCGTGGTAATAACCTAATAATAATTATGTAAAGTTACTGTTTGTGATAAAGTGAGTGTAACGTTTTATTTTATGTGCACGCACAAAATTTCAACAATCAGCTTAAATGGTATAACAGGTCATAAAGAATCTAATATAACAATAAATTTGAAAGTAAATGGTAAATGTTTGGACGGTGAACTTGATGAAGTCTTCTTAATTACATGTTAGCGAACATTTTGTCATGTGTTCTAGTTTGACAAAATGACTTCATTGTAATTCATTCATTCATTCTTTTCATACATCTGGCGAAAATGAAATGGCATACATGAGTAGTTTTTTATATAGTCCGACTAGTAACTTATATAAAATATACGGTAATAATGAATAACTAGCATGTGTGCCTAGTAACAGTAGTATGAGTACAGTGCACAAGTATTTCGTGCCAACTTATCTAAAGTAAATACAATGTGTGTACATACTAGTACATGCATTTCATTTAGTAATGGTAGTATTTCGGTTTTTCAAAGACACTTCCCAGTTTATAAAACACATTGCTTTTCATTGTTTTAACTTGTTTGCAAATATTTTGAAAGAAAATATCCCGTTGTGTGTAACTATTGCAAGAATATGCGTTACATGAAGTGTTTCATTGTTTATATTATGATAACGTTAGATATAGTTTATGGACAAAATAGGACACAGTTACATGTATTTCCGCATGTTAAGCGGTATGAGCATTGAAAATCAACTTATAGAGATGTTAAGTGGTTTCACAAGTTTTGATATTACTTGTAATAACCATATACGTATACAATGTTTTATTGCAGTTGCCAAATTCATTGCCATATGTTAACTTTCACTATCAGTGTTTTGATAACTATCATAATTTTTTATTATGTTTATGCTTAGGACGTCAATGCTTTATTAGTCATCATACTATAGTATATTGATAATCTATGTTTCTGGTTTGTTTTAATTTATATTTAACTATCATCTTTGCATTATAACATGCAACTCTTCAGTATTGGAGGCTATAAAGGCGCCGCCAACTGGAATATATTTTAGTCTAAAAAATACATGTGCAAGTTTGTGTTGCCCTGAAATTACAAAGGAAACAGGGAATGCTCCTTGTGTTAGAAGAAAACACTTTGTACAAATGAATTTGATGATGGCCAGCAAGTGGAAAACCAAAACAGAAGAGAGAATGGATAATTTCACGCTTTAAACACTACTAGATGCAAACAAATACGTTATTGAACCAGAAACATTTAAAGAAATACATGTACATAAAATATCTGGCACCAACACAAAACACTTGCATATCTTAAACGAACGAAGCTGTAATACATATCGATTTTAGTGAAAACAACGGTTGCACGATGACTTCAGAAATTCAGTCCATGAATTTTAGGGCATCGAGTTTACACTGAACAGGTGTTTTGTATCAAACCAATGCTGACCAGTTTCATTTTGTTCCTGACACACCACACTGCAGCGGCTTGGTCAAATTTACACCCAGTTCTGGTTGATTTTGCTGTGGACACTTTTCATTTAATCTTAGTTGGCCCGACAACTAATACCGATCAAAGAAATATTTTTCCTTCTTCATCTTAAAAACTCGAAATATAATCAAAAGATAGTTATTACAGTAAATATGGAAAGGGAGCTCCAGATGGTGTTGCAGGGCTGCTGAAGGGAACGTCTGATATAAGTGTTGCTGATATGCAGCGTTCATGACATGTTCCAACAGATGAGTAGAAAATCTGTGTAAGTGTTCCGGTTAAAAGATATCCATGGCATCCTAGCTAAAAAATGAGCAGCAATAAAATTGAAACTAAACAAGTTGATATTGCCTATGACTGAGTTGTAAAATATACTACTCAAAATTTGCTAAGGATCACTTTTTCTACAGTGCGTTACTGTTGTGTATTTGTAATAAATGTGAAAATTGATTAAAAGGAATTAAAAATAATTGATTTTTATGAAAATAATGACAATTGAAGTGTTCCTTGACTAGTGCCTGTTGCGGAAAGAGTGTGCTGGACGAAAATCAACATATTTGGAGATCACATAGTGGAATAAAAAAATCTTGCAAATCAGGAAATGGTTGGTGTATGTGTTTAGTACCGAGTATGGGGTCCGCGGGCATTAATTACGGCCTGACATCGCCGCCGCATGCTGCGGACCTTGTGATGAGGAATCTGGCCCCATTCCTCTATGATTGCATGTCTTAGCTCCTGAACTATTGTTGGTTTGACGTGGCGTGAAAAAATGGCTTTCTGCAATATATCCCAAGCATGCTCAATTAGATTTAAATCCGGGGACCTCGCTGGCCAATCCATGTGGACTATAGTTGGCTCCTCAAGATATCGGTTTGTGATGTGGGCTCTGTGTGCACGGGCGTTGTCATCCATAAGAATGACATCAGGGCCGACTGCGCCAGCGTACGTGCGTACATGGACGTCTAAGATTTTATTGACATACCTTAATGCTGTCAGTGTACCGTTTTCAATGATGTGTAGGTCTTTTTCCCCCTGAGCCTTTATTCCCGCCCACACCATGACTTGAACATCCACCAAAACGGTCGCGTTCTGCAACGCATGCTGAGCTAAGCGTTCATTTAGACTTCTCCCAACCCTAGCCCGTTTGTCCGTGAAGTCCACACAAAACATTGACTCATCAGTGAAGGGGACCGGGGTCCAATCATTAACTGTCCATGTGACATGAGTCTGCGCTAATTAATATGGCGTCGTGTCAAAGGAATGCAAATTGCTGGCCTCCGTGACCTCAACCCAGCATCATGCAACCTATTTCTAATAGTTTGTGGGCTTACACGCACACCAGTTGCATTCTGGAAGTCGTTACCTAAGGTCGCAGCGTTCGAGAACCGTTTGGATCATTTGGAATCGGTTTCACATCCTTGAGACAACGCTCTGGGATACCCCATGGACATGGGCAACGTGCCTTTGTGAACGGCCAGTCTCCAACATTACAATACCCCTGTTCATCTCATCTTCACTATGAGGACGTCAAACCTGTCGATTTGCCATTATTTGTTAATAATTTGTTAATATTAGTCTTGCTGCTTGTACACGTTTAAGCCATAAAACACCAAATTTCAATGGGTATGCTTTTCCACGTCCTTATCGTGCAAGGTGTACACTTAAGTACACCATTATGAGGTTCCTGTACAGGTGTATCGTTAGCGGAAATATGATTTTAATATGATGATAATAGGACTGAAATATGCTATGTCAAAAAGGTGATCCTTAGCAAATTTTGAGTTGTATATGATGGGGTATACTGCAGTATATAGACTACGAATCTGTTGAAATAAAGGTCATGAATAAAATTGGAGTGTACAGATAAGTTTTGACCTCTCCTTGAAGATGTCCTATTGTAGAAATTTGAAGATGTTTTAAGTGCTATACCTCCCCGCCTGTTTCAGCAGATACAAAACGTTATATGCAAATTGATGAGAATGTGTGAGAATGGATTTGCAAGAAATTAAACCTGCACTGGTTTGTGTATTGTTGACTCCTATATTGGCATCTTTACACCAATGTCATTTGTGTTCTAAATGTATACAGTTTTTTAAAAGTTTCATTCATGATGATCACAACAGCCGGTGTCAGGTGCTGTGTGGCAGCCGTAAAAAGTTGCCCCGTACTGCACTTCAGTGTTGTTATATTTTTCTGGTTCTTCGGGATCATTGAGTCTAGCACTTTTAGGTTTGAGAATTGAGTACCGCTCAAGCCGGTGCTAGGGGGCATGAGAGATGTTGCACTTTTTCATAATCCCTCATGTACAGACTTAATCAAACCGAATCTGCAATTTTTATGAAATTTCGATGTTTTTAATGTTTCCGAGGGATCAGTTTTCGTTATAATTATTTATCTCTTGATGCAATTTCAATATAAAAGTTTATGTCTTAAGTAATGGATCTCTATTTCAAAATAAATGAAGGACTATGATTATCATACATAATTATATTGAATGATCACAGTCACATTGAAGTCATAAGTAGTTTGTAGATATTTGTTAATTCGTTTCGTAAAGTTTCGTCAGAAATCAATATTTTAGGTCAAACAAAAGTTTCATAATGTTTAATAATGTATTTAGAGTGTGGTAGTTGTTAAACAACTGAGGAAAGTGGCTCTCATTTTCGAGTTATCTGCCCCTGAATCAGAATTTTCCACTTTTTTGAGGTCAATTCAAGGCCAGATAACTTATACATACTTAAATGAATTCTTGTTTTTACTTCTGAATTATATTTTTCTTTTTACTGTTGAGTACGATACATAATAACATACAATTCCTTATATCATTTCTATTATTTTTTTTCAATGAAAATAGAGATACTTTAAATTCTTTAAAAAAGGCCATTTTTAAGAAAAATATGCACAGGTTTAAAGAAGAAGTGGAAGAAAAATTATCCACTCTAAATTCCTTCTTGAAAGTTTGCATATCGACTAAAACGAAGGTAAGCTTCATGAAAATAAGGAAAAAAATGTATTGTTTTTTTTTTCTTTGTAAATTATCTGCCCTTGAATTTAACGAAAAAATCCAATTCAAGGACAGATAACTCGAAAATAAGAACGGTGACCCTAATTTTTTTTTCGCTTAAAATGTTTCTGTTAACATGCCAATTTTTAAGAAATTCTATTGAACAGTTTTAATTTTGCCTATATGTCTATATGAAAACTCCCGTCAATGTCCTTAAGTTTGGAAGAACTTATTACATTACTGCTCTAAGGTGACGAAATATATTTCATCTACTTATATGGCCAATGAATAGCACTTTTGAAGCTATAACAAATAACCCAAAAACGTTCTTCAGAAATAAAAATGATTGCATCACGGGTGCTAAATGTGCCTTTAAAGCAATATAATCTCATGAAGTTGATATCCGTTTTGCTTTTCCTTTTCTAAAATAGAGAAAATAAGAATCCCTAAAGAAAGCCCAACACGGCGAAATTGGAAATGTTGCAGACACGGTTTGATTGAGCCTGTTCATGGACGGCACTGTCAAGTGCAAACTATGGTCCACGCCCCTAGCACCGGCTTAAGCAGAATTCAATATTTAAACACGAAAATGGTGAAATTTTGAATTTAGAAACATCCGCAGATGTGTTCATATGGCGGTTATCATGGAACCTTCAATGTGACACAGTAGTGCCATTCCATGAAAAGCGGCGCATGGTCCCCAATTTAAAAAATACGTGTGCCATAAACGAGAAAACAATGGGCAGAACTAAATAAAATGGAATTTTGAAAAGGGGTCAGAGGTTATGAAGCCTGCATATCACGGATAAGACGTCAAAAGACAAATTTAAAAAGCAGGCCACATATCCTAAGGGTGATTCAACAGTATTCAAGTGAGGAATACTGGAACCACCCAACAAGAAAATAGCCGAATAGAAATAACTTAATCATCACAAGCACAACGATTATGTCGTGCTGAACGATATTTAAGGATCGGAAATATTGAATGCACGACTTTTTACAGCCTCCACATGACATTAAAGTCATAAAGTCAACTCCGTTGCAAATTGTGAAAACGCTATTAATATGTCCACTCATTTTTTTATACTTTAAACACTTTCAAATTAAAGTTAAACATTCATAAAGTTACAATATCAATATCATCAATATTTCAAAAAGTCTAAGTCAAAATTTTCAATAAGAAATGAATGCATACATTTTAATAGTTACATATTATGTGGAATAGTATTTGCAATACATATTTTACATATTCTTCGATGTTTGAAAATTGTTTTAGAAGCATAATTATATGCATATATATAATTTCACTTAAAAGTGTGTTAGCAACCTTAATTACAACATACAGGATCTTTAATGATTTTCAAGCATATAAGATGTTCTAAAATAGAAGTGCTGAACGGGGAGTGATGTGTCATAAAGGTAACAAAATATAAACAAAATAGTATTTTGACTTCCATACAAAACACTTATTTGCTATAATTATACCAATTACAATAAGGGCAAAGAAAGCAAAAGACAGTTCGTGTATATGATTTTTTAATCTGTAACATACCAAAAATGAAAAGTTTTTGAGAAATAAAAATGAAAGCACTCTGAGACATAATGGGCCTTTGATATTCCAGGGGAGATGTCGTATTTCAAGATTCAAACTATTGCCAATAGCTGGGCGGAGTGCCGCTTGTCTACAGTGACCTCATTGCGACGATGTGCCGATAAGCTCGAGTCATCCCATAGAACAAATGCAGAAACAGAACACTCGATTGCTAAAGTGTCGTTAACAGGAGGTTTGATAATTATGCCATAGTAAAATTTGACGTATATCAAGTTTAAATTTCAAATTATAAATAAATAAATTCTACTCATTACTAAGTGTGTAAGACATTAACTGCACAGTACTGTACATAGTTATTATGAATAACACAGATCTACATGTATATAACTGAGTTATCATATTACATATGTCGTTACATTCAAGCTGTTCAGTTAATTCTCATTTATTCGCAGAAGAAAGGGATGACGTCGTCTGTACAAGCATTTATACCTTCTCATGAATAACTACATAATATATCAAGCTCAATAATCAAATGTTCACAGATTTCTTTTAATTTCATTATCGTTGATTCTTGATATTATTATTATCATCATACATGCAATAATTGCTATAATTTTTATGCCCCCTTTGTGGGGGGGGGGATTAAGATTTGCCCTTATCCGCCCGCCCGTCCGTGTATGCGTGTGTACGTGCGTTATCATGTTGTGTCATGTTCTAAAAGTGCTTGAGTTCACTAAACTATACAGGAATGTTGATCAGCATGTGCAGTTGTGCACTTGGTGTTTCGCGTTCAATTTTACCAGAGTTATTGCCCATTTACAATGCCGTAGCATAAAAAGTTTATGATCTTGATTCTTGAGTCATTTTGCTCATGCAGCATTTATTTTTAAATTTTAATATGGATATGCTTAGGTATGTCCTCTTTCCTGTGTGGTCATTTGGAGTCAAGGTCAAGATCGCTATCCCCCCCAAAAAAGTGGTGATAGATGGTACCTTTATCTATTGATAAATGTCTTTTTTAACTTTATAAAGAAATTGAAAATTTTTCTAACTTTGGATGGAATTAAGGGTCAGTTAGGTCAAGGTAACCAGTGCTAAAATAGATTTTTACACTTTTCCTCATACAGTCTTTTTTCTTGACATTCATTATATGTGCCTAATTAATTAGCCTTCAAGTGTATATTCTTTAAAAAATACCTTGATTCTGTATATTCTCTTTATGTTCTATGCTTAATTAACACGGGATTTTGGTTAAATTCTAAGAATGGCACGATGTGGTGATGTAACTGATATGATGTTTTGCTACAGGCCTGTAACGATACAAGAGTAACAATAGAGCCTGTTAAATTTGTAATCCCTACTGAATACATATCTGTTAATTTATTTTATTATGCCATACTTCAAACAAGTGGTTTACATTTGTCTGTCTGTCGGTTGGTCCGTAGACCAAATGGTTTCCGATCAATAACTAAAGAACGCTTAGACCTAAGAACTTCAAACTTGGTATGATAATTGTTCATGACCAGTAGATGACCACTATTAATTTTGGTGTCAAGGAGTCAAAGGTCAAGGTCACATTGACCTTGTAGGTAAAAAACAGTTCCCGATCAATAACTAAAGAACGCTTAGGCCTAGGAACTTCATTCCTAGGACTTGATTTTAGGGTTAAAGGGTCAAAGGTCAAGGTCACATTGACCTTGTAGGTAAAAACGGTTTCCGATCAATAAGAACAATTTGGCCCAGAAACTTCAAACTCCATATGATTGTTCATGAGCAGCAGATGACTCCTTTTGATTTCTGGGTGAAAGGGTTAAAGTCACATTGACCTTGTAGGTAAAAACAGTTTCCAGCCAATAACTAAAGAACGCTTAGGCCTAGTGGTCAAGGGGTCAAAGTCACATTGACCTTATAGGTAAAAACACTTTCTAATCAATATCTCAACAATTCATGGGCCCTTTACTTTCAAACTTCACATGTGCATTTGTCTGGGCCAGTAGATAACCTCTATTGATTTAAGGGTCAAAGTCACATTGAACGTGTACATATAGACCGTGTCCGACCAATAACTCTACAACTCAAGTTGTCTTGGTGGATATTTTTATTAAACTAAAATGCTTTTGGTATACACATTTCAACGTCTTATGTAATATAACAAATTGGCTATCATTAAAATGGCATACTTGATTTATAAAATTTATTTGCTAAAATTTGTGATAACTTTGTCATAAATTTGCTGCACACAACCTTTCAGGTCACAATTGCCTAGTGGCTAGTCATGACCAGTAGATAATCCCTTTTGATCACTATGTCAAAGTCAGTCATAATAACCTGACCACATGACTAATTGGCTGCCCATATATATAATGGTAATTTTAAATCTGTTTTAATTAAATTCATCTAAAACAGAATATTCCTTTCATTTAAGACGTCGTCGGACTATTTGGCGTTATACTTGCTCCTTTTTCCGGTGGATTGTCACTTGGGCTTTGTGGAGTGTCAGCAGTGACAGGAATTGGAACATATCTAAGTAAAAGGGAAGCAAACCAAAATGACGATAATGTTACAAGGCAGGTGGAAGCAGAGGTTAAACAAGTGTTAGATGAAGATGAAAAGGCAACAACGACATTGAGAAAACTGTGTGAAAGCTTCACATTCTTGGAGGAGCAACTTGAGATAAAAATGGTTGGTGACATTCTGGTAGCTATCCAGGAAACATCGTGTACTAACCTGGAGATCACTGTCGGAGATATACAGAAAAATGATTGTGCAGTCCAAATACAAAATGGTAACAATTTGAATACCCCTGTGCTAAATGTAACAACACAACTGGCAAATTTGAATGCATCCTTAACAAGCGCAAACGAGGTTATACAATATATTGAGACAACTAAGGAAGTTGTAACCAAAACGAAGACTATCAAACAGGTGCTCTCAACTGCCAATTCTATCAACAAACTCTCGAAAGCTGCACGTTCTCTTGATGTTGCTGAATTAATGAACACATCTGGACAGATAGCGTCTGCTGCAAAAACTGTAACGAAGGCTGCCAAAACTGGAAAGGCCATTACGACTGCCACAAAAGGGGCGGACACAACAATTAAAACAGTGAAGAACATCAAAAAAGCATCGGATACTATGAAGACGATAACAAAAGTTGCAAAAAATGCCTCCGGACAGGTAGCGTCTGCTACCAAAACTATTACGAAGGCTGCTAAAACTGGAGGGACAATAACGACTGCCACAAAAGGAGCGGACACAACAATTAAAACAGTGAAGAATATCAAACAGGCTTCAGACACTGTGAAGACGGTAACACACGTTGCAAAAGATGCTACCGGGCAGATAGCATCCGCTGCACAAACTGTAACGAAGGCTGCTAAAACTGGAAGGGCCATTTCGACTGCCACAAAAGGGGCGGATACAACAATTAAAACAGTGAAGAACATCAAAAAAGCATCGGATACTATGAAGACGATAACAAAAGTTGCAAAAAATGCCTCCGGACAGGTAGCGTCTGCTACCAAAACTATTACGAAGGCTGCTAAAACTGGAGGGACAATAACGACTGCCACAAAAGGAGCGGACGCAACAATTAAAACAGTGAAGAATATAAAACAGGCATCTAACACTGTGAAAACGGTCACCAAAGTTGCAAAAGATGTAGACAAAGTCGTACATACTTCTCGATTGACCACGAGCGCAACTAAAGTTACAAAGGTGACACAGACCGCCACAAAGGCTGCTTCAATTAGTAAATTAGGACTTATTATAAATGCAGTGGTAATTCCCCTTGATTTATACAACTTGGTCGTTGCAGCTGAAAACCTTGGAAAGTCTCATGAAGATGTGAAGTTCATACGAGATGAAGCAGACAGGCTTGAACACCAGATTGAAAATATTGAAAACGAAATTAAAGTGCACGTTGAAACCTACATGCAGCTTCATGTTCAGCTTTGTGAGATCTATGAGAACTACCATTATGAAAACATATACGAGTATCTTGAAGTGATGCATGAATCTTTAGAATTTCCTCTTCCAACACGTTAATGATGAGATATTGACACATACAAGTAAATTATGCAAAGTTCCGCCAAGTGATGTACATAAACATGCTTACACTACATTTCAAGATCAGTCCGTTTTGGATCTACCATGCCTCAACAATTTGCACTGTAAACTTTCATATACTAGTTACTTATTGTTGTCACTGAATTTATCAATGTTCTTAAGTAAATAAACAAGATTCTTGTGTTATTGGAACACTGTATTGGAGTTTTAGAAAAGTTCAGCAAGCAGACGTGTGACAGAAAATACATGTTAAGTGTCGACAAGTAGTAGTTAGGTTTAAAGATACCATATTTATTTTTATACACCTAATTTATAATAATAAAAAATATAAAAATAGTTGTTAGTTGTTTTGCCAGGTGATTAATATAAATCAATGCTACACCAAGGCTAAGGCAAAATTTGATCCTTTAGTCAGGATTTAAACAAAGTAGATATCCAATAGCCAATGCGGCTAATCTGACTAAAGTTCAGATCTAGCTTTTTCTGTTATGTAGATCTGATTACATGATTCGTCTTCTTTATATAATTTATGCTCCCAGAAGGGTGAGCATATAGTCGCCGCTTTGTCCGTTCGTCCGTCTATTCTTGTCCGTGACATAACTTTGAAACAACAAGAGGTATCAACATGAATCTTTGTAGTTAGATCTCATTGAGTAGATGTGCAGTGCACAAGAACCGTAACTCTGCCATGCCTAATTTTGGAATTAATGCCCTTTGTTTATTTTTTACACTTTGAACTTTGTCCGGGACATAACTCGAAAACTATAAGAGATATAAAACATGAAACTTTGTAGGTAGATAGATATCATTCTGTAGAAGTGCAGTGCTAAAACAGTTACTGCCCTTTGCTCATTTTTACACTTTGAACTTTGTCCCAAACATAACACAAAAACTATATGAGATATCAACATGAAACTTTGAAGGTAGATATCTCATTGGGTGGAAGTTCAGTGCAAAATAACCTTAACTCTGCCTTGCCTAATTTTGGAACTATTGCCCTTTGTTTATTTTTACACTTTGAGCTTTTTTTGGGACATAACTGTAAAACAAAAAAAGATATCAATATGAAACTTTGTAGATAGACAGATCTCATTGGGTAAAAGTGCAGTGCAAAAGATCCATAACTCTTTCTTGCCTAATTATGGAGAAATTGCCCTTGTTTACTTTTTCACTTTAAACTTTGTCAGGGACATAGCTCTGAAACCATAAGAGGTTTGTAGGTAGTTTGATCTCATTAAATAGAAGTGCAGCGCAAAAGAACCTTAACTCTGCCTAAGCAGCCTTGCTTAATTTTGGAGTTACTGCCCTTTGTTCATTTTTACACTTTGAACTTTGTCAAGGACATAACTCTTGACACTTCAAAAGGTATATTTTTCTGTGTCCAAAATCTACTCAGGGAGCATCACCCGGTTCTTGTAATTCGAATTTCTAGAGAAAGCTATTTTTAGCCATGTAATCAAACCGGTTTTTACATAGGCCACAAAATACCGTTATCCGTGAAAGTTAAACAAATTGTTGATTTTTGTTAGAAAAAAAATGTTTGAAGAAATTTTTAACAAATTAACTTGAAACAAGCAAATTCGTTGAATTTATATCCCCCGCCGAGTACTGGTTATTATTAACACAACAACTGAAGACATAAGGCTTTATTTATATATTAATCATGGCATAAACTGTAATATTCTTTGAACTTGAAGCCTCGTACCTTCAAACAAGAAGAATTTTTAAGTTTTCACTATATGCATATAAGGAAAATCTATGACCCCCTGGAGTGGGGCCAATTTTGACCCCAGGGCTAAAATTTGAACAATTTTGGTAGAGGACCTATAGGTTATATCATATACCAAATATCAAAGCTCTAGGCCTTGTACTTTCAGACAAGATTTTTTAATTTTGCATTTTTGAAACTCCTTTTCTGGCCCTGTGACCTACTTATGCAACAGACCGGAAACATTTGATCAACTTTGGCAGGGGACCACCCTAGGATCATTCCTGTAAAGTTTGGTTGCAGTGCAGTCATTTGTTTCTGAGGAGATGTTGTTTAAAGAAATTGCTGACGACGCACGACGGCGGACGGTGGGGGATCACAATAGCTCACCTAGATGTAAAACATCTTAATCTCCAGACTTCATTGCCATTTTCAAGGCATCAAGAAGGGATCTCACAATTTTCAAATATTTTTAAATGTTATCGTAACAAATCATTTTAATTCTTCTTTAATAAAAACTAGAAATGTGTCCATAGGACACGGGTGCCCCCACTGCGCCACTGTTCTGTCAATCTTATGACTCTAGGTCAAATATTTTTTGAAAACTAAAAATCTTTTTACTAAGTAAAGGGCAAGAATTTTACAAATACTGAATAAATCCCCAAGCAAACCCCAAGTTGAAAATTGCAAATTTATACTACTGTAATTCAAGGGCAATAACTCTAACAAAACTGAAAAAAAATCCACATGCAAAGTCCCAGGTTCATAGCTTCACAGTGAGGTGAATCATTATTCCTGTAATTTAGTGATGTTGATCATTATTCCTGTTAAGTTGGTCGATTCTAACTCAAGCACTCAAAGATCAAATAACAACATAATGAAACAGTTTTTACTAAGTCAAGGGAAATAACTCTCTACAAATACTGGATAAATCCACAAGCGAAACCCCAGGAACAAACTAAATATGCTGAGCAACTTTCCAATAAGGTTTAATGACTCTATGTCAAATCCTTTTTGAGTTACATGCGACACATGTTGAAAATTGCAAACATTTTCTAAGTCAAGGGCAATAACTCTAAAAATACTAAATAAATCCAGACGAAAATACCCAGGTGCACAACTACACATGCTGATCAGCATTCCTGAAAAGTATCATGACTCTAGGTCAAATACTTTTTGAGTTACATGCGACACAAGTTGAAAATTGCAAAATTTTACTAAGTCAAGGGCAATAACTCTAAAACTACTAAAAATATCCAGACGAAAATACCCAGGTGCACAACTACACATACTGATCAACATTCCTGTAAAGTTTCATGACTCTAGGTCAAATACTTTTTGAGTTACATGCGACACAAGTTGAAAATGACAAAATTTTACTAAGTCAAGGGCAATAACTCTAAAAATACTATAAATATCCAGAAGAAAATACCCAGGTGCACAACTACACATACTGATCAACATTCCTGTAAAGTTTCATGACTCTAGGTCAAATACTTTTTGAGTTACATGCGACACAAGTTGAAAATTACAAAATTTTACTAAGTCAAGGGCAATTACTCTAAAAATACTAAAAATATCCAGACGAAAATACCCAGGTGCACAACTTCACATGCTGATCAACATTCCCATAAAGTTTCATTGAATTCCAGCCATTAGTTGCAGAGAACTACTCCGGAAACGAAATTCTAAGTCAAGGGCAATAACTCTAAAAATACTAAAAATATCCAGACGAAAATACCCAGGTGCACAACTTCACATGCTGATCAACATTCCCATAAAGTTTCGTTGAATTCCAGCCACTAGTTGCAGAGAACTACTCCGGAAACGAAATTCGGACGGACGGATGGACGGACGGACAACGCCAAAACTATATCCCCCTCCCGATTCCATCGGCGGGGGATAATAATAGTTAATTTTTAATTGGCAAGTTTACCTTTCGGCTATATGGACAAGGGCAAGTTTGTTCTCGAAATCGTAACAATTTCCAACTCAGTATTGGTTTTCCCAGGGTTCAAATTTAAAACCGCATCTCTTTCAAAATAATGAAAGCTCGCCGATGATTGGCTATGTGAAGGATCACAAGAAATATCTTCGTAATTGGTCACTGTTAGATCTAAAAGCGGAGCATTATTCAAGAGCTAATTTTAATCAGATTGCCAATGCAGCACACCAAATATCTAAGCCTTACAGTTTCTTCACTTTTTACATCTATTTTAACTTCTGTGACCTAGATATGCAATGGATTAGAACCATCTATACAACTGCAGAGCTCTGATCCTGGTTAATAGCTGAAATATCTGAAGCAAAATGTGTCACTTCTCTATATAAGGTTTTTACTGCATAATATTCTTAAACACAAGAAAGTTTTAACTTTTAAGATTTATTTATGATAAAACATGTTATAATAGAGCTTTGTATCATAATGGTACGTACCCATCAACATTTTCTCCAAACAAACATCTCTCAAAAAAATTAACACTTATCAAAATCTTAACATATTAATATATTAACAGATTGGCCACAATACATAACTAATTCTACTCTTTCTCATGTGAATACTCATGATTATAACTTTCAGAAACATAAATCACTACATTAATCAGTTTTTTTTTTAAACTTTAAAAATGCAAAACATACACTTTTCACATAGCAACTGTTCTGACAAACATTGTTTCTCAAGATGATATGCCAAAATGAAATTCCCTAAATTCATTTCTCCATTCTGAGATGATATTTTATACTTTATTTTAAATTTTTCCTTGCAAAACAGCAGCAGTCTATTGAAACAAAGTAAAACATATTGTGTGCCGATAAATGCACTCTGTTCCATTATGCTGCATTAATGAAAATATTCAAATAATGTTTTCTTTCTATTTCCTAGCAAATAGACTTTTTTTGGTTTATTTTACGTCACACCAATATAATATAGGTCATATAGCAATTTTCAAGCTTTACTAGTGGAGGAAGACCCATGTGCTCCTCTGTTCATTATTTCACGTACAAACGGGCATTTGCGCAGAACCACCAAAGTTTGGTAAGCTAGCTAGATAACTTTCTCACATGAAATAATTCGAAGATGCTGGTGCAGCTTGAACTTAAAGCAGCAATAGGCAATATGGAAATAGATTGTAGATTTTAATTCTGAGAGCATTGTCATTTAGTACTGCTGCTTAGTACATGTCATTTCCAATGTTTCAGAGTAAAAGTTTATTAGCAGATTAACCTTCATTATTATATTACTGTACATCATCATTATTATATTACTGTACAGAAGAACTCAATTCTTTGCAATCAATGTAAAATGGCTGTGTACTAAAACAAGAGCTGTCAGTAGGACAGTGTACTCAACTATTATATGCTTGAATAGTAAAACAAGAGTCTGGATAAAGTAGGAATTAACAAAAAGTATTGTTGGAAACAGATAGATGCATCCCAAGCAGGACCCAGTAGAGGAACCAGGACCTAAGATTATTCATAAATCCATTCATCAATGAAGACACAAACATCCGTGCATTTTTATTAATTTGTTTTAAATTAAGTCAGTGTAACACAGACCTTTGAGCTTCAAACCTAGATGTTGTACATGACACATTGTCCTAATTTGCGACACATTTTTACAAAATTATTTTAAAATCCATCCATTAATGGCAAAGTTATGGACCGGACAAAGTTCGTATAGACGGACCTTTCAAAAACTATATGCCGCCCCAATTTTGAGGGGCATAAAAAAAGATTTCATTTGAAATAAATTGTGACATAATTATGAGATCTGGACTTTGACCAAATAATTTTTAGGTTCACAAAAGGCCATATTTCAAACAAAATCCATGCCAAGGTTTATGGGCCTTGAGGCTTGGGCAGTGACCTCCAAACTGTTAGTAGTCATTAAGATTGATGCAAAATATTGAAAAAAGAATTTTCTAAGTCCACAAAGGGTTATAATTTTGCCAAAATCCAAACTAAAGTTGTGGGTCTTGGAAAGTGACTTCTTATGATCCAAAAGAAGTGTGTGAAGTTACCAGCAAATATCTTTTGTGGTTAATAAGATATGATGTTTTATAGGACATGCAAAACTTTAACCAAAGTGTTACACCAACGCTGACTCCGACACTGGAGTAGGATAGCCCCATTTTTCTACATTCAAGCAAAAAAAACAACAATGTTTTCGAAGTATAAATTGTAAATTTGACCAACTGTAATTATGTATCTTAACAACATTCACATTCTTAATAACAAACATTTTTTCTTCTTCAGTAAATATTAAACTGCAGATATTAAGCTGATCACTTATTAAAATGTAATAAAATTATTTCATTAAAACATACACTGTGCAGATAATATATGATAATAGTTTAGTATTGTTTAATAGTGGTAGCAGAACTATTTGTTAACATTTAACAACCATATCAACCATGAGACAGAGCAGCCCACTACAACATGTGCTCTCTGAGATGTGGAGTATATAGCACAAAAAGCACACAAAATAGAGAATACAGAACAAGTTTAACTCATTGTATATATCTGTACTCTTTCTACTGCTCTCTTTCTATTTCAAATGTTAATGCTGAAAGACAAGTGAAGTATGAACATTTCATATTTGTGAACAACATGTATCACTTTTACATCCACTTTATTATAAGATCTTGATGATGTCTGAATGTAGAAAATCTACACACGTCACATCAGTTATCAATATTGCTATCAATCAATCAATACAGTATGTTCAACTATCTCAGGAAGCTTGCTTTGTTTTAATTGAGCTGTCATCATCATCTTTATTATTATTATTTTTATCATCATTATCACCAGTTGTTACATGATCATCATGTCCTGTATCATTTGCAGTACAGTTTTTGGAATCTGTGTTAGTATTTGACTTGTGTTTACTAGTTGTATTTGGTTTGAATGTTTTGTTACAATCTGACATCTCCTGTACAGCATCACGTATCTGGTTTATAAAGCCTTCTTTATCTTCCACTGCTCTCTTACCTGTATTATAATGTTCTATGTTTAGAAAACAAGGGAGATGAACATATCGTAATGTTTCAATGATAACTGTACTGTCTCTAACTATATATACTAGTACATGTATACAATCACTACTAAAGGGAAGAAAACAGATTTACTGTCAGAATATGAAAATATATATATATAAATGCTGTATAATACATGATATTTCAAATGTAGAATTGTGTAGCTTTATATTAAAAAGTATATGACTACATTAATATGACAAAAAAGAAATTTTGTATTTCAATGCATATAAGTTTGTTTAGGTATACAAACATTTGCCCTCTCCTTTCACCCTAAAATGAATCTTTGGATATTTGCCTCCCCAAAGTTTGAAAATTTGCTTAATTTATTTAATTTTAATGCATTTATTTCAATAATAATGCATTTATTGTTGCATTTTCATTGATACATAGCTTAAGACCGCATATAACACAAATTTAGCAAATTTGAAAACTAGGGGGCAAATGTCCAATGATACATTTTAGAGTTAGAGCAAGTATCCTATTAGGCAAATGCCCCGGATTTGTCTGTTTGTTTGGAGTTATGCAGACTGTCACACATTTTTGGTCACGTCTTGGTGGTCATGTGTCCACCACGCCTTCTCGGCTATATAACTAACCAATAATTACAAATTTCTCCACAAGTAACCAATAACATATTCCACATCATTTTCTTAATCAGCACTGACAGACAAATAACCATTAGACTTAAATGTCCCACATCAACTGTCAAAGAGAAATTATGCCTCATTTTGAGGATGGACCCAGCCATCTACAAATCTGATACTTTACCTATTGAGCAGAGTGGGTGGACAATTGCACATCAGTCAAAAATATTTCAGGAAGCAATCAGAAGTCCCTTACAGGATTTCAACCTTTCATGTTGAGAGGCAAGTGGTTTTAAGTCAATGTAACATAAACACACTTACAGAATAAATAATTATTAAAACATAGACTCTGCCTGCATCATCCAAATAATTTTCTTTTAATTTTTCCAAGTAAAGATTCATCATTATCACTTTCATCAGAGACCTTTTCCCCAACACTTTGTTTTCCAGATGTAAAACTCTCAGCTTTGCCACTTTCTGAAAATAGACAGTGGACAAAGTGTGTGAGTTTATCTGTATAATACTTACAACTTAACAAGTTTGTCAGTTTCTTCTTAAAATAACTGGATGTAATATCTGTATTGAAAATCACTTCTTGATACTGATATCTGTACATACTTACTTGAAGTTTATGAGTAAAAAAAAATGACACTCATATTTACATTATTTCATGTTTAGAGCAAGATTTATTTCTACAGGTTGGGTTTCCCACGAAATTATATGCTTGCTGAATATTTGTATCAGGTTCTGATCAGTGAAGAGTAAACACATAATGTCAAGGAATTTTATCAAGAAATGACAAAGCTGAAGACCAGTTATACACAAAAAAAAAGCTTCTTTTTATGTCTTTGCCGTCTATGTAACCTTAACTTTATGATACTTTTATGACTTGGGTCATGTGTGCAACACACTATCTTATGCTAGTGAACATTTGTCAATTTTGAAATTCTTCAAGGAATTTCTAAGTAATGAACTGGATACAAAATTAGAGTCCTTTTAACTTGACCTGAATACACTATGGACCTTGACATTGTGTGTAGCACATGTTCATAATGGTGAATGATGTAAAATGGTGTAATTATGAAACAAAGTCAATGGCTGAATGACAAAATTATGTGCAAGACATAATCTAAGATAGCAACATTACAACAGACACTGTGTTTATTACATGGCAATTATGACAGGAGTGTGAAGCTAAAATTCTTAGCTAAATAAATAATTCCCTATTTAACCAGGTAACAGGGGAAGAAATCTCTGAAGAAAGATTTGTCACAGTAAAAATCTGATATGATAACAACTTTCTTGGTTGATATCAGGACATAATTACCTTCTACTTCTTATAAATATAGCATTAATTACTATTGCCTATGACCATGACAGGCAGAGCTATAGATAGCAAAAATAGTGCATCATTTCTAGCCCTAGTAGACAATTGCTAACAAACCTATCTCCCTATTATTCTTATTAAAACAATGAAAATCTTCTCATCCTGTAAATACAGTTGGTCATCTTATATCATCTAACAACTCTTCATTCATTGGGCCTTTACCTTTACACAAAATGTCTTTAAATAGGTAAACCTACAGACATTAGCTAACCAATATCCAGTTTTCTTTTCACATGTTGTAAATATCAAAGAATTAACACTACAAACCTTTATTTGTATCCACAATACCATTTATAGTTCCATCAACATTTCTCTCCGTCTCAGCATAACACAGCATCAGAGCTTTCTGTTCTGCTGTTAAATGTCTAAAACAACAAAATAAATTATTACAGTTAACTATAACATTTGTTCATCTGTGAATGGTCTAAACAACCAAATAAACTATTACAGTTAACTATAACATTTGTTCATCTGTGAATGGTCTAAACAACCAAATAAACTATTACAGTTAACTATAACATTTGTTCATCTGTGAATGGTCTAAACAACCAAATAAACTATTACAGTTAACTATAACATTTGTTCATCTGTGAATGGTCTAAACAACCAAATAAACTATTACAGTTAACTATAACATTTGTTCATCTGTGAATGGTCTACACAACCAAATAAACTATTACAATTAACTATTAACATTTGTTCATCTGCGAATGGTCTAAACAACCAAATAAACTATTAAAAGTTAACTATAACATTTGTTCATCTGCGAATGGTCTAAACAACCAAATAAACTATTGCAGTTAACTATAACATTTGTTCATCTGTGAATGGTCTACACAACCAAATAAACTATTACAGTTAACTATAACATTTGTTCATCTGCGAATGGTATACACAACCAAATAAACTATTACAGCTAACTATAACATTTGTTCATCTGCGAATGGTCTAAACAACCAGATAAACTATTACAGTTAACTATAACATTTGTTCATCTGTGAATGGTCTAAACAACCAAATAAACTATTACAGTTAACTATAACATTTGTTCATCTATGAATGGTATAACCAACCAAATAAATTATTACAGTTATTTATAACATTTGTTCATCTGTGAATGGTCTAAACAACCAAATAAACTATCACAGTAAACTATAACATTTGTTCATCTGCGAATGGTCTACACAACCAAATAAATTATTACAGTTAACTATAACACTTGTTCATCTGTGAATGGTCTAAACAACCAAATAAATCACTGGTCTAAACAACCAAATAAATTATTACAGTTAACTATAACACTTGTTCATCTGTGAATTGTCTAAACAACCAAATAAATCACTATGTTCTGCTGTTAAATGTCTAGAACAACAAACTATTTTTGTTAACTATAACCATTCTTCCCCTGTTCAATGCTTTAAACAACAAAATAAACTGTTCACCCACTGTACAACAGCTGGCAAACTATCTCAAAGCTTCAGTTGTGCAGGGATTTTTTTTATTTGGTTGGATTTTTAAGTAGCACTGACACATGGCAAATTTCCAGCTTTTCTGGTTGAGGAAGACTTCAGGTCACCTGAGTAGAACCCCTATTGTTCCAAATGCTAGCTGGATAGCTTCCTCACATGAAAGTATCCAGTTTAATATCTTGTCTCTACCATATGTTTACACATGTATTTATAAAATAAACTAGAGGTAGCGGGGGACTAAGAGAAACCACACATCACCACCTAATAGTTTAAAATTATTAAAGTCTATTAATTTCGATCAACAATGATCTTCATCATGTATTTATAGAGATAAGATAGTAATCAATAAGGCATAAGTAATTTGTGTATCTAATGTGACTCTTGACTATGTGATCATCATCAAGCATTATAATTGTTTTTAAAACATATATATATTTTTACATGTTAAATCATTAATCTGATAATTAACAACTACTGTAATATTCAGAAGTTTACTTACAAAGGAACTTTGATTTTAAAGCTGACAAAATGGTCACCATAACCATAGCTATTTACACGGCTGATTCCTTTACTAGATAACTTTAACTTATCATGGGACTGGGTACCAGCTGGGATCTGAAAATATTTCACATTTTTATATCATTTAGCAAGAAACCTGATAGAGTTCCAAGGAACTTTATGTCAGATTTGAACCGTTTATCATTCATTTTAACAAAACACTTTAACACTGTAATTATCATCATAGTTTTTCCCCCAACTTAAACTTATATAGAAACATGATTATATAGGGAAATAAGGTCAAATATTCCATCTGAAAATCAGTGATGTTTATTGTTTTGGTAGAAATACACCTTTTCTTCAAAGGCTGTGCAAAGTATGGACATGAGGGATATGTCAGGGAGCAGTGCCAATGAAGCCATCAATGCCTGCTTAGTTATCCCTGTGTATGTACTTTAAAGGCGTTATATCAATGAAATAAAGTGATATGTCAAAGAACTTACATTTAAAAGTATATCATCATAAATACCGGGTACTCGTATAGTACCACCAAGTACAGCCTGGGATATTGTTATAGTAGCTTCACTGTGTACATCAGCTCCTTCACGACGAAATATTCTACTCTTGCCTACCTACAACCACAATACTTACTGGTTTATACAACATCATAATAGGTTTATCATTTACTTCTCATACCAAAAATAGCTTTTTGTGATAAATCCAATGTCATAATTTCAGCTATTAATCATATAATATATTCTACATTTTCTAAGAACTCAAAAAAAGAAGAAAAGAAAATGACCAAAAAAAAAAAGAAAGAAAAAAAAAAAACCATCAACAAGAAATGTAAAATTTATTTTAGATTGTTATTGTGGAAACATTTCAAATATTCATTACTTGCTGAGCACACTACAGGTATTTAAGTATAACCAATAAGTAATTTTAACAATTTTCCAAATAATCTGGTTACATAACATAATAACAATATCTTCACACTTTTGAATAACAGAGGAAGAAAAATTGTCTGTAAAACTTAAATGTGTATCCTTAGAAAATTATTCCAACAGAAATCATTGTGATGTGTTTCTAACTTTTGTACAACAAATACTGCTATTTTAACTGCTTACCTTAAATGTTACAAACACTTCTTGCTTATTGACATTAATACGCACAGTCTGACCATCTTCTATACCTGTAAGTGCAGTTATTACTTAGTATAATGCAAAAATATCACAAGTGAAAAGAATCATGAAAGATTGAAAAGATCTACAGATACTACAGTTGATGATTCATCCATCGATTCCTTGGAGGAAGTCATTAAAATGTATAAAAACATAAATGTTTGTCAGGAAAGTCATTCTTTGCTGATATTTCACAATATATTTATCTACCTTGGAAGGCATCTTTGTTTTGTTAACAGCATATTGAGTTAACAGTTTACATTGCATATGTATTGAACAGGTAAAATCAATTATCATAAATTAACCAACCCAATGATAATTTCATGTAAATTGAAGTATTTATACAAGTATACATATTTTTCTTCAAAAAGTGGAGCTTAAAATCACTGAAAGGAATATAAATCAAATTTGGCCAAAGTTAGATCTGACTTTTGTAGCAGAAGACTTATGTTTATGAGCATAAATTTCCCACACATATAGCTCACCATGATACATCTGTTCCCAAGGTTTGGAAACTTTATATGTTATAAGCCAACAACAAAATTTTATATTTCACAACTATAAACATGTAACTAATATAACTAAATTAGTTTAATATACAAATATATTGATTTTACCAGCTGGTACAGGAATTACAATAGATCTTCTTCTCAGCAACTTTCCTTTACCAGTACAAACATTACATTTTTTCTTAATAATAGTTTTTTGTCCACCACACATGCGACACGTATTTCTCATAACATATATTCCCGTACTGACTGTCTCCTACAAAAAGAAAATATCTTAACTATAATTCTAGGTCTCTATTTGGTTTGAACAACAAACTTTCATTTTCATCACTACACAGTTAAAGTCATATTGTGCCTTTCAGATTTACTGATAGAACGTCTCAGGTACCTCTTTGTGCATATTTTCAAGCACAGGTAAAATCACCTGCCTTCTGAAAACTTGCTGCATAGCTCTGCACATGACAAAATCCAAAGAGCATAGAACTGATAATGACTGCTACCTCACTTACTTAGTTACTGACAAGGGTTAGGTCTGTTCAATCTTAGACAGGCAGTATAAATTTTAATATAAAGAGCGGGCTGTTTAGTATCAAAATGTAAGACAGAATGACGCATCAAGATATGATATCCTCAAATTTGATATAAGAAAATACTGATACTTGTCACAGTTTCTTTGTAAATATAATTAATATTTTTATTTTAGCAAAATTTTACACCCATTGCTCAGTACTTGTTGGTTCCAAGAATAATTCAGGAGTATATCTATTAGCTTATAGCTTCCTACAATCAAACATTAATAAATTCATAATATAAATTAAAATCATCCAAAAAAACTGTTTGTCATGAATGAAAAAGGTATAACTTTATCCTTCTTTTCTGCCAAGTGAGCAATACAGCATTGAAATAAGTAAGATAAGATGAAGACATACCATTCCTGTACCATGACATTGAGGGCATGTCTGTGGTTTAACCCCTGGTGCAGCTCTGGTTCCCTTACATTGCCAACACTCCTCAACTACATTCATTTCAGCTTCTTTGTTCACACCACGACAAGCCTCCTCAAATGTTAGGTTCATATGTAACTAAAAATTAAAACATTATCATCAGAGAAAATTTGTTCAGCAGAAAGATTAATTTGCAAGTTAACAAAAGGAGACAAATCGACAAGTGAGAGGAGAATGTCACTTAATCAACAACATTAGTGAGTTTAATAAGAAAACCCTTGATTCTGCCAGAAACTATTAAATCACAAAATCCATCACTTGATGATTAATAGTTATTTGTACACTTAATTTATAAATATAAAGCTGAATTTTCCTAATTTGATTTGTCTTAAAGTATTTCTACAATATAAATTTTCTTCACTCTTTCGATTGAGATGATTTGTCACATTCTGTTTCTAGTAAAAAGAGGTCATTCAATTATTTAATATGTGGCATCATTAACAGATACAGTTAATTTAACTTATTATGTCAAGCTTATATTATGTTTTGTTTTGTTGTTGCTTAATGATCTTTTGCTTTGCGATGTTCTCAAATGAATAGAAGATCAAAATCAGGAAGGAACTTATTATTATATTGTATTAACTTCAATAAAAGTCAGTCTTCATTAAATGATTTACTCTTGCAATAATTCCTGTGAATTTAATTAAAAGCTTTAATAAAATTTATTTGCGAGAGATATATACAGTATATCAAACGAAACAATAAATGGTTCATAACTTAAAACACTTTGATAAAATAAATGAAAATAGGGGCATAATGATCCCCTAACTGTATATCAAGTGATTCCTATATATTAACATTAAACGTTTGTTTTGTCACCAAACTGCCAGCAATGAGTTATTGTTCTATATTGGTTGCTCACCTCACTTGCTGGTGCTGTCCCCCATTTACTCTCAAACTGTTGACTTTCAAATCCACTAAATCCAAAATCCTTAAACATATTCCAGAACATCTCGGGGTCTACTTGACTTTGATAACTCTCAAAACCTGAAAACATGAATATTCCACTAGTTAAAATAAGTTTTACTGAGAAACTCACATTTTGAATACAAATTTTGAGATAACTGTAACTCAATTTATATATACAAATATAAATTTTTGCTCATTGCCAAGGTTCAACAAAATCTCGAAAATTAGTTTCTGCCTTTCTATATCGAAAGAAATATATTGCGGATTTGTGTGAGTAATAAGGGTTTAACATTTTTTAAAAATTTGTTTATGGAAGTGTTAAACCATCGTCAATAGTTAATACTGTAATAGATACATGTAAGCAGTTTACATATAAAGTAATTGTGATGACAACTTATTGTCCACGATTTTCGGATAAAGTATCAAACCTGCATCATAAAAGATATAAATTATTTATCAAAGTTTTTGCAGTCTGTCTAAGTGAGCTTACAATTATATAAGTCAATATTGACTGTGTGTATGTAATTAAAGTGTTGTATTTCATTGTTGGTTACACTACAACAATATTTTTTAGGAATTTCTGATAGTTTTCATTCAGAGTTAATCTATTATAAACGTGTTAAGACACTTAAATAGATACAGGATTCATACAGTATACTGGTGCATGGCTGACACTTCAAATATTGGACAATGGACAACAATGTGCATGTATATTTTAATACTAATTGACATATAACAAAGCTATTTATATATTTAAAATTGAGTCTTTCAATGCTGTATGACAATATTATGATCATCATTGTGCCAATAAAATTAGAATATTGTCTAATGCTACTAGTCATTAATCAGATCCACAAAACATATATGGAGACAACATTTTTTCACCAATTAATTGCAAAATCTTGCTGACTTATACACACAAACTTACTTTCATTGCCATTGGCATCTGCCAATAAGCAAATATTTATAGGTCACATTATTTACAGTTACAGATGTCTTATCAATATATATATATTGCTTTTTGTTTGGCTGTTAACTTGGATTTTCTAATATATAAAGTTTTCATACTATATCAGGACTTTTACATTTGTTTTAGCAGTATTTTAATTAATTCCATAGCTTTTAATTTACTTTTTGCACAGTGTGATTATCTTATTACCCCTTACATTTTTGTGTAATGATAATTTCCCATAGGCCAATGGGAGATATTCTTACTGCAAGTGTAATAAGAAATTTGTGCTGTTACATAAGTTACAGCTTGGCTTGAAGTCATGACAGTAAAATAAAGGACTATTATCTGCCTATGAAAACATGTAAAATAAATCAAATTTGCAAAGTGAAATTAAATAGACCTTGCTATTATAATTTCAAAACATATTTCTAGATTCTGCCCAATTTTCCCAGTTCAAATCATTAAAACATTGCTGAGAGGTAATTATTGAGAATACTGTAATAAAGTCCACACTTACCACCAAAACCTCCTGCACCTTGTGGTCCCCCACCAGCGCCACCACCAGTCATACCAAATGTATCATACTGATTACGTTTATTTTCATCACCAAGAACCTGGTATAAACAAAGTAATTCCTAACAATAATAGACTTATAGTCCTACATAAAATAAAACAGATCTTTTAATAAAATGTTGCTTTTATATTTATCTTAAAGTGGCCTTTAAAAATTACAGATAAAAATAAACCCATTAAAATATGAATATAATAAAATTTAACATTGGCCATATATAGATAATGGAGTTTGCAGCTCAAGTTTTTTGACCTTAACCCAAATAAAATAGGTAGTTTTTTTTTCACTATGTTTTTTAACCCAAAGAATCCATGTGACTTACATCACACCCAGGATTCATTGCTAAAAAAAGGTCATAATTTTTTAAGCAAGCACTTTGGGGTCACTTTGGGGTGTTGGACCAATATTGACTCAAGGACCATGCAGAAGGTTACTAGGCAGTACAACATGCAAAGTATATAATCTCTCTACCAGGTTGTTTGACACTAAAATATTAAAAGTGTTTTCACATGTCAGCAGTCATTTTTTACTTAAGGGCCATGATTTATAAAATTCATGAGAGGTCAACTAAACAATGCTCAATGCCAAATATCAAAGATTTATAAAAACTGTTTTCCATTTTATTTAGACATTGGGCAGGACAAACTTGACTCAAGGGTCATTGTAAGCACAATGTTAAATGTCAAATATCTAAGATTAAAATATTTTTCCTATAAAAGTTCATGTAGCCCAAGTGAACCCCCTTAAGCACAATGAGCCTAAGGTATAGAACTTTTGAGGATCATAATGTGATGCCACATGCCAAATACCTTAGAAACTCTGGGCATTGTAGTTTCAAGATCTCATATTTGAAGTTTGTTTTACCTCCTGTGACCTTAAATGCAAAGCGGCGGCATCAACTAGAACAATAATTTACACAACTCTTGTAGAAAGCCACCTGAGAATCACTCCTGTAAAGTATGGTCAAATCCACAGTGTGGTTTAGGAGATGTTGCTTAAAACAAAACAACCAGGAATCATAAAAGCCCCCCTCTTTCCACTGAGAGTTATTTAAAGTCAGCTTAAACAGTAATGTGTCATATACATTTACAAAATAAATCTACAATATACCTCGTAAGCTTCTGATATTTCTTTAAATTTCTTGGCTGAACTTTCATCATTGTTGCTCACATCAGGATGATACTTTTTAGCAAGCTGTAAAGAAAAATTATATACATGCTTACTTTAGAATCTAAATGTTGTTTAGAATGCACATATATACATGTAGTTTTTTTTTTCATCACTAAGACCTTTATATGAAAAAGTACGGTAAAGTAAATAAATGTTATGAATTAAAACTTGTAAGCCTAATAACTTTTAAGTTGTTATTATTGGAGCAAGTAAAAATATTAAAATCTCAACCAATTATAACCTTATAATATGAAGATTTAATCTCTTTTTGATTAGCAGTCTTGTCCACACCAAGCACCTTGTAATAGTCTTGTTTATCATTTTTTCTACTGGAGTGAATCTGTTTAATATTCACTGTTAAGCTTGGCAGTGTGTTCCTGAATAGATCTGGAATAAAAACAAATCAATACATCTATATTACATTTATACATGAACAAGAGCCACCGCCGGGCGGGGGCAACACTCAACTTTTTACTTTCTCTAAAAGCAAACAAAGAAATGTTTGAACAAAATCTTAACGTTTCCTTTTTATAAAATTAATCGGTCTGGCGTGTCACATTAGTTTTGTCTATATATTTTAAATAGAAACACGTCATTCTATAAATAGAAACACGCAATTCTATAAATAGAAAATTCTAAAAATAGATACATGTGGTGGAGTCACGTGGTGGAGTCATGTGGTGGTGTCACGTGGTGGAGTCATGTGGTGGAGTCATGTGGTTACGTGGTGGAGTCAAGTGGTGGAATCACGTGGTGGAATCATGTGACGAAGTCACGTGTTGGAGTCACATGGTGAAGTCATGTGGTGGAATCACGTGGTCATGTGGTGGAGTCACGTGGTGGTGTCACGTGGTGGAGTCATGTGGTGGAGTCATGTGGTGTCACGTGTTGTTGTTGATCATATATATATATATATACAGAGATCTGCCGAGGACGCGATTTTGCGCCATTGGCGCTAAAAAAATGAGAATGGCGCCGAAAAATCGGCAGCAAAGGGCCATGGGCGCATCTAAAATCTGTGCCAGACTTATAAGAAAACAAAACTGTCTGCTGGGTTTTATTTAGTCATCCAGTCAAAACTGGTACCAAACACAACATGTTACCCATGTCCTGTAATTACGCATATTCTTGAGTTTATCCATTCCCCTATAGCTTTTGTCCATGTTATCTACTTACCGCATTTTTTCTCATAATCCCTTTCCCCACACAGATACTCATTTCTACTACCGTAAATTTAATCTCAATAAACAAACAAACAAATTTATACAACTATATGATTATCGGTAACTGAAAAAAAAGTGTTACTATTTTAAGAAAATGCTGTAAGTTACAGTAAATCTGACAGGTGTTCTAACTTGATCAACCCTAAGGTCACTCAAGTTCACGCAAGTTTTGGCTGATGAAGTGTAAAAAAAAGATGTTTATTGCGTCATCAGAATGTTTGACAGGGTGATTAACCAATCACAGAAACATTGTGCATGACTTTTTTCATGATCAAAAGGTCTGTCGGCACAAAATGTCTTTGATGTATGCTGTCTACACAGAGGCATTACAAGGGCAATAAATTCGTCAATATACAGTGGTAAGGGACATTTGGTGCAAAGTAAAGGAACAATTAAATGGATAATGCACAATATAAGACATTACAAAAGTAAGAACCAGCAATTATGTGAATAAATTTGCATATCAAATTTTTTGAGCAGCCATTTAAAAAATATTTTCATTTTTGCCTGCAATTAATATTAGTTAGAAAGTTACCATGTAGGGCATAATTTTAATTATTGGTACTGTAAAGTACTGAATTATATGTGAACCCACTTGTCATAAAATATGATTTAAGTTTTATTAACCGGGGAAATTCAATTATCTACAAACTTTTTAAACAGTTATTTAACGGTCAATGTTTACTTATTTTCCCAAGGCCCATACTTTGGTAAAAATGGCCCATCATTTTCAGACCAAGTGGGCCCAGGGCCCAGTACTTTCAAATTCTTGGCAGATCTCTGTATATATATACACACACACACACACCAATAAATATATATGGTCATTTAGTGCACAAATCTGAGAAAATTCAGTAATTTAACTTGGCAGAAAATGAGTGAAGGTCAAGGTCTATCTGGTTATTTTTAAGGGATATCCTTGAAGATTATTATGTTCAAGTTTGAAGACAATCCATTTAAAAATAACAAAGTTACAGCCAATAACAGCATGAACAAGCAAAATTTGGACTTTTAACCTTGAAGGTCAAGGTCATTTATGGATGAAGGTCAAGGTTAGTGTGGTCTACTGAAAGGTCTTGTCCCAAGGGTTGTTGTGGCCAAGTATGAAGACAATACACCAAGAAAAAAAAAAGTTATGATCCAGGTACAAGTTTGCGGACGGCAACGGGAAACGGGAAAGGGAACGGCAACGCTGCCGCGACTATAGCAATACCTCTACTTTTTTTTCAAAATGTTATCTATGTCTCTGATACTTACAAAAAAAAATCTAGTACATGTGTATATTGATATTTTAAAAATTATTTTTTCTTTTAATACTAGAAATGTGTCATCATGCCACGGATGCCCCCGCATGCAGCCAAAATTTCAGATGTTATAATTATTTAGTTCCAAATTTGTTTGCACAAATTATTTTTTCATTTGCAGTTTTCAAAGCCCTTAAAATTTTCAATGTTAACACAAACCATTTCTACAACGTTCAAAGCACTGAAAATTATTCAGTCTAACTTTTGAAAAAAAGCATATTTATATTTGTAGCCACCAAAATAAATGGGCTACATACATTTCACAAAAGTATGAGTGCTGAAACTGAAAGTTCAAAATTTTTCCAACATTCAAAAAGATAAGTTTGTCCTACAAATCATTGAACACGACCAAATTTCCACAAAAAGTATGAGTGCTTTGAGACTTGAAAGTTCAAAATTTTTTCCAAACATTCAAAGAAAGATAAGTTGTCCAAATCATTGAACCACGAAACCAAATCAAAACTTAACTGCTTATTCCTAAGATGTTTCTATATTATTTTCTAAGTGAAAGGGACATAATCTGCCAAAAAATCATCGAACCATGACCAAAATTCAACTTTGACCTGCCATTCCTTTGGACATATCCATATGTCAAATTTGAGTTGAATAGGGTAACACTTGTGGGTAGAAATGAACAGAAACTGTAAATTTCATATTATTTTCAAAGTTAAAAAGGGGCATTACTCTGCCAAAAAATCATTGAACCATGACCAAATTCGAACTGGCCTGGGCATTCCAAAAAAAAATATCCCCCCAATCCCCATCTAATTGAGTTGAATGTTTTGTACTGTTGGGAGATAATAAACAGAAAACGTGAAAATTTCAATATTATTTTCAAAGTGAAAGGGGGCATAACTCTGCCAAAAATCATTGAACCACGACCAAATTTGAACTTGACCTGCGATTCCCCTTTGATGTATCCATATGTCAAGTTTTTTGAGTTTGAATGTGTTGTACCGTTGGGGAGATAATGAATGGAAATGAAAATTTCATATTATTTTCAAAGTGATAAAGGGGCATAACTCTGCCAAAATCATCGAACCATGACCAAATTCGAACTTGACCTGTATTTTCTCAAGACATATCCATATGTCAAATTTGAGTTGAATGTGTTGTACCTTTGGGGAGATAATGAACGGAAACTGAAAATTTCATATTATTTTCAAAGTAAAAGGGGCATAACTCTGCCAAAAATCATCGAACCATGACCAAATTTGAACTTGACCTGTATTTTCTCATGACATATCCATATGTCAAGTTTGAGTTGAATGTGTTGTATCGTTCGGGAGATAATGAACGGAAACTGAAAATTTCATATTATTTTCAAAGTAAAAGGGGCATAACTCTGCCAAAAATCATCGAACCATGACCAAATTCGAACTTGACCTGTATTTTCTCATGACATATCCATATGTCAAATATGAGTTGAATGTGCGCAACCGTTACTAAGATAATGAACGGAAACTGATGATGACGGAATGACAGAATGACGAATGACGGAAGGACGGAACAGGGTAACACTATATGCCCCGGCCATTACATGGCTTCCGTCCTTCCGTCCTTCCGTCATTCTGTCATTCCGTCATCATCAGTTTCCATTCATTATCTTAGTAACGGTTGCACACATTCAACTCATATTTGACATATGGATATGTCATAATCAGTATCAAATTAATGACGTTTTGCAATGTGTCTTATTTCTTATGAAAGTAATATTTTATTTTACCTAACCAACCATATTTTATATTATCACCTAAACAATATTATAGAACTTGTACAGTATGCTGCCAGTACATAAAATATTGTATAATGTAGTTCAGTTCATAGAAACATTTAATTGCTTATGTTTAAAAGAAAAACAGACATACATGTATGTCATATTTTTTTCTTTTAATTCAACAAAAAAAATGTATCAATTTAAACAACGATCAGGAAATTCAAAACACTGTTTAAACAGAACAAAGTTCACTTATCTAAGCTGATACTATACAGGTACTTATATTATTTACATGTTCAGTAACATTACATAAAAGTTGTTCTTTCAGGGCTCACACTGGCTCAAATAAAATAATAGCCAATATTTTTAACTTAAAAAAATAATAGCCAAAGTTCAGCGGACTATTCACGATTTAGCGATTAACAACATAAGCAGTTGATTAAATAAACATTACATATAAAACTTTTTCAGTTTTATAAATTCTCAAATAAACTTATACATGTGTACATTTGTGTATATTGATAACTACCTTTTTTACATAGAACCACAACTTTAATTGTTATTATAGAACAGAATAAAAATGTTATATAGTATAATTACTGTATAACAATAATATTAAAGATCCATTATAACTTTACATAATGCTGTTATCAGACAATTTCTTTTGTTTGTTCTTATCAAATTTTGTCAGCTATAACCACTATCAATTTCCACATTTCACACAGAACTGGAGTAGATCTAGGCCATATTAGCCTATAGAAAAAACACTTGCAAACTCATTCACAGAATGCAGCCTTTTTTCTGAATAACTTACTGAAAAAAATGTCATCATTACCAATGTTAAACAAATTTTCTGCCATAATAGTAAAGATTTTTAAACAGAACATAGCTTATTTTCACCTTTAAATAAATATCAAAATTATCGGTGTCGCGAAAATATGTGACAATCGGATTTTTTTCTGTTTTCTGAAGAAATATTCACAAATTTGGTTGTTGTGCAAATAATTGTTTGGAAGTAAATACTTTTTAAATATTTTATCATTGTTTTCTACTGGCGATTTAGTCAAGCAGCTTAAAAGAAAAAAAAATCAAAATTTGCCATTACTGCAATTTACAGTAAATTTTGGGTTGGTCAAAATCCAGTTTATAAATTATATATATCAACGATATTTGTAGCTTATTGACGGATTTTTGATGGCTATTAAAATGCTGGACAATATCTTATTAGTACTTATATAATTTTACATCTAGCATGTATTTTTATCACCTGCATGTATTTTTATCACCTCGGGCAATAGCAATGCGTGACCGATAAAAAGTTGGCACTCAATTAAATCTACCCCGCTGGTGTTAATTGGGACTACTGCAGTCTTTATCGATTTATACACCTTATATAAACACTGTTGGATGTAAAAAATAATCGCCAGATTTTGTAGCCAAAATGCAAAAACAATTGCCAATCTTATAAAATAATCGCAAATGGCGACTATGGCGTCTGACAGCGTGAGCCCTGTCTTTTCTTAAAATTCATAAATTCTTATTAACAATACCCTCGAAATCAACAAAATTAACCATTAAATTGAATTTCCTTTTAGTAATGAAAATAAATTTGTTAACTTTCCAATAAACATCTAAAAAAAAGGGAATGAAAGGTCCGACTCCATACAATTGACAAGTTGGGAGTGAAACGTCTAGGTGTGAACCCTTTTGAGAGTGAAATGTCTTGGGAATGAAATGTCTGGCATTCCTAAGAAATGACCCCTATGAAGACCCGATACTGCTATAGCAACTTAAAAATGTGTGCAAATAAGTCTGTACTAAGCCTTTATCATTCAATTTTAACACAAAAAACGTTGCAAAAGTAAAGATTGATGAATTTTCCAGCAATAGTATCAAGTCAACTTATTTTGACATTGAAACATTGTCGCGAAATCGTATGACATTTGTTGATATAAATGCGTCAATCGTGCTTACTCAGATTGAAATTGACATGTTGCACCCGACAGAGTGAATGAAACTGAGATAAACATGCAACACTCGATATATCTTTCGATGCTGACAACTTCAAACGCAGTCTATTTAATGATTTGTCACCTCGCCCACAACATGCTTTCCTGATGGCTGCCATTTTGTTGCCGCAGAATGTACACGAAGGATCAAGGTCATTTCCGAAAAAAAATATCCCTAATAATTAACATTATTTGTGATTTTGTATCATATTGGCTTGTATATTTGTATTTTTTTTATTTATTTTTCTAATTTGCAAATGGAACAATGCTCACTTAAGATGGATTTTAGAATCGGATATACAAGTCAAAATAATTTTCCATTCGATTATTTTCCATGCGGATTACTCGGATACGGAAGTGAATAAGCTGTCAAAAATTGTTGAGTGAAAGGTTTGTTTATCTGTAAATTTTATATTATAATTATATGTACCAAAATGCAGTTTTTGCTCTATTGAATTATTTGTTATTGCAACTGAACCTTAATTGATAACCTTTTTATGGATGACAATCCAAATTTTATTTGGAATTTTCCATAATGTTGGTGCCAAGGTGGGCGTGTATTTCTACATGTGTAAATGTGTTGCAGGGTCATAATTTTTGTATTAATGCTTTATGATGTTTGTCAGTATATGTCTGATTTTGTACATCGGAGAATATGTTATTTACATGTCATGGCTGTTATATTTGCAAATGTATGTACCTTGTGATATCCTATATAAGTATATTTACATCCCTGTTTGTCTTGTATTTCATTTGTCACAGGGTGAGAAAAATGTGCAGCCTGACCAGGACTCAAACCCGGGACCCTCAGAATACCGTACAGCAGCTCAACAGACTGAGCTATCCGGCCGCTTACACATCTTCTCCCCTAAATAGTGAACAGTTCTGAACCGTGACATACTCCCCCCGCTTTATTGAAATTCGTCCTCGAATTTCTAATGGGTAAAGAGAACAATGTGAAATTGAACTTGGAGCTTATACCATTACGGTACCCCGTTGGGCGCCAAATTTTACAGGGTGAGAAAAAATGTGCAGCCTGACCGGGATTTCGAACCCGGGACCCTCGGAATACCATACGCGGCTCTACATGACTGAGCTATCCGTTCCCGCTTACACATCTTCTCCCTAAATAGTGAACAGTTCTGAACCGTGACACATTCATACATTTACATGTACAACTGTATTTATTCATTTATGTATATCCAGCAATCAAGAATCCAAGAGATGTCCAAGAGATGTCAAGCGGCCTTGACCAAACATTTCAAAGGTTAAAGAATCTCTATGACATCTTGTAGGAACATACCCAAATATACATTTTCCTATCATTGTGTTTGATACAGTATAATGTACTCCATTAAAGCTATTTTTTTTAATGACATGGACATTCTTCTTCTATATGATATGAAATTTCAACAAAATTACACCTTAAAAATGTAAGTGTAGACAACAAATATCATATCTTGAATTAAAATTGCAAGTACATTCATAAAGAACCTATATTGTAGATAAGCAAATGTCACAACTTTATTTTCTTACAACATCTTAACTGCCCATTTCAACGGAATGAATGAAAGTTATAGCAGGCTAAGTCATATTATTTTATAAATATTTATTTATTTCTCATTATAATCTATATTTTATACAAACAAAAATAAATATTGCTATATTTGGGCAATACTTGAGTATGTTTGGGTGTATTTGGGTATTTCGTGCCACCTGAAAGAATCGTTGCTTTGGTAGTAAATACTAGATACAATGATTAATAAGCCTCTTAAAGACTCATGGTGTTATTGTACAGCTTTTCTTTTAATTGTCCAAAACATACAAAATAACTGGACATGCATAGACATATTGAAGATCCATGGTGCACGAGCCAGACTTGCTTTGTATTATACCGTAAAATCTGAACGAGGGGTCACACCTGCACAACAGCCAATTTGTATATAATGGTCAGCTGTGTATTTTCCTTCTTTAAATGCATTGTGTTTAACGATTTTGTGCCTTTGTGTTTTTATATGCAGTCTATGCTACTTTATTAAATCCAACAGTTTTTTAAGTTTGGATGGAGTTTGGGGTTGCTGGTTTCAAGGTAAAGTCTTGCATTTACATTATGATGATAAATATAGTTTTTGTTTTTTTTTCAACTTCATCACAAGTCATAGCAATGACTTGCCATCTTATATTTTTTACAATTACAAAACGCCATGACTCTGTCAAGTTATATAATGTATACATGTAATACTGTGTTTACATTTTTTTGCTATTTTCCGTCCTTAACTGAGTGAATGGTAAATATTTTTTGAAATATTGTTCCTGACAAGTATCTGAGCAGGAGGCATTTGTGTTAAACAAACATATTCTTGTTTTATGAACAATGCTTGAAAGAGATTATCATACTGTGCTCAGCAGCCAATCTGTGTACAGCAGCCACTGCTACTCCTTCCCTTCTGTGGCAGCTGTACACAGATTTGACTTATACATTTGTAAGAGAGCGTGTCTCAATATTTCTAAAGGTATATTTGAATTTCTGTATTGATTCTATTCTTGTTATTCTACATTTTGCCATTTATGATTTTGTGCAAAGAGTATTCCCCTATGGTGTATAGGGGCCCATTTGGGGGCTCATCAGTTTGACATAGAGTTATGTAAGAATTAAAAAAAAATCTTCTTGTCAAAAACTACAAGGCCTAGAGCTTTGATATTTGGTATGTAACATCACCAAGTGGTCCTCTACAAAGATTCTTCAACTTCAAATTATGCCCCTAAGGTCAAATGGGGCCCATGTGGGGGCTCATCAGTTTTACGGAATGATTTAACATGTTATTATTAATTAACTCTTTATTATTTTCCAAAGTTGTTAATGAATCATAGAAAAGAAATTACCCTTGAATAAGATAAATTTTGTTGAAAAAAATCCAGCTGATCTGAATATACAACTAATGTGACAGACTGCGGATAGGCAATGATAGACCATTGTTTATATTAGATTTATAATCTGTAAACATACTGTCCTGTCCAAGATTTTTTAATGGTGATTAAATATATGATCGACTAAAGCATTAATTTAAAGGACAAGATATTAGACGTAATTTTGTATTTTGTAACTGACTAAAGTATGGTGCATGATGGCACCAAAGTAAAACTAGACATTGATAGGGTAGTGAGAGGACAAATTCGAGGTGAAAACATGGCTTATAATTTTCCTGGCTATCCACGGATATGCTTTGGGGGTTGGGGGTTACATTTCTTTTTTGGAACTAAAAAACTTCCTCAGATACAAATTGTGATATGGGTGACTAAAGTTTTGTTGCAATTTATAAGTTAATGGGACATGAGTTACCGGTAAATAAATTTCACTGCAGCTATAGGTCAGCTAGACAAAGAATTATGGTGCACTTTTACATATTTTATTGCAGTGTATAATATTTTTAAATAAATAATTTGTAAGTTATTGTGTATATTGTTGTTGTCTTTTTCAGCGTGATAACAGATTTAAATTCAAATGGCTTGGCGTTTTAAAGTGTCAAAGTATAAAAATGCTGCACCAAGGTACCCAAAACGAGAGGTAAATATATTTCCTTTTGTCATGCTACATGTACATCCATTAAATGTTTGCATTAACAGTATTAAAATGGAAATTTCTTATTGCAGAATAAATATTTCAAAGAATTATTTAAATAGTGATGATTTTTGTACTTAGATTCAAAATAATTTGTAATGTGCTTACTTGTCAAATGAAATAATGAGAGATTTAGTAATTCATTTATGTATCAAATGCTGAAATAGGTAGGTCAAACACAAGCAGTTATTTTGTGGTGCTGTAAAGTTAATGGGATGTTTATAATTTACATAGGAATGGATTCAAGAAGTACCTGTTGGAATGTTGATGCACTCATGTGGGAATCATATAGCAGCTAGTTGTCAGTATATAGCTTTTAATGTGGATTCTGGTGGTACGTAGATATACACATTACATGATCTCTAATTGTATCTTTTATGATACAATTTTTTAGCTCACCTGTCACAAAGTGACAGGGTGAGCTTTTGTGATCGCTTTTCGTCCGTCGTCCGTCGTCCGTCCGTCGTCCGTCGTCCGTCGTCCGTAAACTTTTACTTTAAATGACATCTACTCATAAACCACAAGGCCAATTTCATCCAAACTTCACAGGAATGTTCCTTTGGTGGTCACCTTTAAAAATTGTTCAAAGAATTTAATTCCATGCAGAACTCTGGTTGCCATGGCAACCGAAAGAAAAAACTTTAAATATCTTCTTTAAAAAAACCATAAGAGCTAGAGCTTAGATATTTGGCATGAAACATCTTCTAGTGAGTGTCTACCAAGTTTGTTCAAATAAAATCCCTGGGGTCAAAATTGGCCCCGCCCCGGGGGTCATTGATTTTCCCTATATGCATATAGTAAAAAACTTAAAAAAATCTTCTTTTAAAGAACTCAGAGAGCTATGGCTAAGTTATTGAGCATCAAAACATGTTCTAATAGGTGTCTACCAAGTTTGTTCAAAGAAAAGCCCTGGGGTCAAAATTGGCCCCGCCCCAGGGGGTCATTGATTTTCCCTATATGCATATAGTAAAAACTTAAAAAATCTTCTTTTAAAGAACAAAAGAGTTAGAGCTAAGATATTTAGCATTAAACATGTTCTAATAAGTGTCTACCAAGTTTGTTCAAATAAAAGCCCTGGGGTCAAAATTGGCCCCGCCCCGGGGGTCATTGATTTTCCTTATATGTGTATAGCAAAAACTTAAAAAAATCTTTTTTGAAAAAACCCAAATAGCTAGAGTTAAGATATTAAGCATAAAACATCTTTTAGTGAGTGTCTACAAAGTTTGTTCAAATAAAAGACCTGGGGTCAAAATTGGCCCCGCCCCGGGTCATTGATTTTCCTTATATGTGTGTAGCAAAAACTTAAAATCTTCTTTGAAAAAACCCAAATAGCTAGAGTTTAGATATTAAGCATGAGACATATTCTAGTAAGTGTCTACAAAGTTTGTTCAAATAAAAACCCTTGGGTCATAACTGGCCCGGCCCCATGGGTGTCATTGTTTTTAACTATATGTGTATAGTAAAAACTTTAAAAAAATCTTCTTTTAAATAGCCCAATGAGCTAGAGCTTAGATGTTAAGCATGAAACATCTTCCTATGGGTGTCTACCAAGTTTGTGCAAATAAAAGCCCTTTGGTTAAATTGGCCCTGCAACGTTTGGGGGGGGGGGGGTTGGGGGGGCCTATATACAGGTGAGCGACCTCAGGGCCATCATGGCCCTCTTGTTTTAATTTAATTTCTTTTTATATGCCCGGAAAAATTTCGGGCATATTATGTTATACCCCCTGGCGTTTGTCGGTTTACATTTTTTAGTGTTTTTGAGTATCCTTTAATTGTTCTTCAAAGATAAATTGCATGACAATTTTTAGAACCAAATTTAGATATTTGTTCTTGTGTATAAGTATTGTATTTCTATTTTTTCTCCTATCTCTCATTCATTATTTGTTCAACATGAGATGATTTTACTGTAACTATTCATTAACATCATGAATGTTGTGAGTTTATGAAACAAGAAAGCTGTCATGTGCAGTTTTTATTAGCCGATCTGTTTTAGAGAAAAAGGCTGAGCTGTTATGATTGCTGCAGCATATGATTGTTGTTATTGTTGTTGCCATGCAAAAACTTTACTGTAGCCCATTATTCAATCATTTTTAAAGGTACCAAAAGGAAACTTGCTTTTCATGACAAGATGAATTTTAAGACTAGGGGCATAATTCTGAAAGCTTTATTTTTAGTGTTATGCCTATTTTTAAAGGCAAATAAGCATAATTTTAAAACTTTTTTTGTTTATTTATATGCTAAAAATGTCATAAATTATTTGTTTATGATCAGGAGGCGGCAATGTTGGTATATTACCATTAGAGACCACAGGGAGGATAGGACATTCTATGCCTACACTTAATGCACATGGAGGTAACATGTTCTTTTATGGCTTTTAAGTTAAAAACACAGCTTTGATATGTAGGACTTGACTATTTGAAGAAATATAAGGGCTATCCTACTCACCTGGGCATTCAGGTGTCAGGGCGGATGTCAGCATAACACTATGGATAAAGTTTTACAGGCAATCTCTGATACAGCTACATACATGGTTCAGGTTTAGCATGTAACATATATCTTCAAAACTACTTCTAAAGGTATTTTCTTGAAACTTCATTCATGTCTTCAGTTCAGGATTATAATGGAAGATCACTTTCCAAGAACCATAACTCTGACATGATATTTGACTGTGCATATTCAAAATTTTTGTATCACTATCTAAACTAATATTAATTTCTAACTTATTCAGACTTGTTTTACTAGCTTGCAGTAAGGATGGTCAAGCACGCTGTTTGACTGACAGCTCTTGTTATAATATCTGATTATCTGACTATGTAGGGTAATTTAGATCTTTTGAAAACAAAAGTTTCTTCTTACTGACAAAGTTACCTTAAGTTTGATACTATAAATTAGTTTATTATTGTATAAACATATAAATTTGTTACTAACTCAGTTAATATTGTACAAGCCTTAAAAAGACCTTAAAGATGCATTGAGGCCTCTAAAAGACCATACATTAATTTGAGCCTTAATAAGTCCTTAATGTCTATGTCTAGGACCTTAAATTTGATTTTAAAAACTGTCAGAAAACTTTTATTGATCTCAAAAATGTGTTACGATACGATAAGACTCATTTTGTGTCTGTAGCATTTACCTTAGCTGTAAATATAAATCAGGCACAGCATAGATTCTTATTTACCAGGGATCAGGTATCAGACTGTACCTGTATAACAGTGTAATTTGTAGGTTATGATATATATTTGTTCAGTGTTTAGTATAAATGTTTACCTTACAGATTTTGTTACTGATATGAAATTCAGTCCTTTCCATGATGAGATATTGGCTACATGTTCTGCTGACAATATTGTAAGATATCTTATTTTCTTTATCAACTTTTTGTTGTTGTCGACAATTAATTTTGTAATTGTGAACTCATTTTCAGATTTAAGATATTTGTATTATTCTTTATATGTGATTTTGAATATTATTTTAAAATGCATCATATCAAATAATTCTGTTTAATGTTAGTCTTTCAATTAGGCATATAAATGCAATGATATCTTTTTTTGCAGATTAAAGTTTGGAATTTACCAGAAACGGAGAGGCTATCTGAAGAGATTCATATGGTATCTCATTCTGCCCATCTTCCAGAACAAGAACGTACGATAGATGTTCTCTCATGGAACACTGTAGCTGATGATATACTTGCTGCAGCCACTGATAAGACGGTTAAAGTGTTTGATGTGTCTGTTGCCGAGGAGATCTGTGGTTAGTTTTGTCAGTTTTTTTAGTCTATATGAAACTTAGTGTGATTATGAAGGTTTTCTTGAAGCTTACTTGGACCAATGTGGAGTCTGCCTGCTTTCTGGATCAGTATCATGAGGAAACATGGTATTGAACCCCACCCCCCCCCCCCCCCCCCAGGATTTAGAGGCAGACAACTCAGCCACTTCTCTGCTCCCCATTTATATCTTTTTTACTGTCTTACTCTACAGACCTGGTATAGTTGTTTCAGTAACCATACACCCTATTTGCTTACAAAACTTGCTTACCTATTTCACTAGCAGAACAATCTGTTTGGAAACGAAACTGCCAAAAGAAATAGGTGAAATATATTGTGAGTGAAATAGCATACCATTTTTGTGGCAAAATAGAGTATATTTTGAGTAAAATGGTTAAACCAGTTTGGTAGGCATGTAGTGTATTGTACACCCTGTTAACCTACAAAACTGGTATCCCCTTTTCCTATTGTGCTTACAAATGGTATATTACTTCACTCTCAATATAATCTATTTCTACAAAGCTGGTATACTTGCTTCACTTAAAGTGCACTTTGCCTACAAGACTGATGTACCTATTTGACTCACAATATAACCTCTTTGTTTACTTGTTTCACTAACAGTACACTCTGTTTGCCTACATGACAGGTATACAGTTTTCACTCATAGTAATCATTTTGCCTGATATCATAGTAAACTGGTTTTAATTACTCTGTTTTTCCACAAGATAGTTGTACTGATCTGTTTCATTGACAGTATACTCTGTTTGTCCACATGTTTATTAGGAGAAAAAATGGAAACCTCTTTTGAACATACATTTGTATACTAGAATAGTATTTTAGTATAAAAAGTTTCATTTTTAGACCTGAGCATTCATGAAGATCAGATACAGAGTTTGTGTTGGCATGGAAATGGAACAGTCATGGTCACTAGCTGTAAGGACAAAAAAATACGAGTTCTTGATCCAAGATCCAAATCTGTTGCACAGGTACGCAAAATCATGATGGCCCCACTCTGATCATTTTAGCTCTCAATATCTGTCTGTTTACTGTCTTTATCTAATTTCTGTTAAATTTAATTAAAGCTCATAATTTGTGATTTCAGTTTAAATAAAGCCCCAACCTCTGATCAAAAATTATGATTTCATTTTCCACTAAGCCAGTGTCTTCTTTCAAGATTTTTTTCGTTCAGTTTTTACCCAGCATCTGCCTCAGGTCAGATTATTTTTATGCTAGCCTGTAGAGATTTGTTTCCCATCTACTTTTATTCCTAACACTCTAAAAATGGACTCTAAAAATAGAAAAATACTGAAGCACAGTTTCACATTTCTTATATTATAAAGCTTATTCATCTTTTGCAAAAGTTTAAACATAGTAGACATATGTATTTTCAGGAGTGTGTTGGACACAGTAGTAACAAAGATTCACGTGCAGTATTTCTTGGAGACACTGGTTATATCATCAGTACAGGTTTCAATACAGTAGGTTTATATAATATAAAAGTTAAAGTCATACAGTGACATTCCAGCATTATTGGTGGAGGAAGACCTCAGCTGTCCTGTCAGGAATTATTTCAGTTACAAGCAGGTACCTGAGTAGAACCACCAATCTTCCATAGGCTAGCTAGAAAGCTTCCTCACATAAAAAATCCTGGGTTGGCCAGAGCCAATAGTGATGAGGGGGAAAGTGATTTTAGATTGTCAGCCTAATTCACTTAACCACAGATTCCACTTCTTACTTTGCTAAAACGATAAAATACAATGTAAAAATATATCATGTAATAATTGTAAAGTGATGCATTTACTGATGTTAAAAAAATATGTTTCATTTTTTAGTCAAATTACTGGTAGTAAAACTGATGTTGAAATGATGTAGCATAGCATCTAAAAATGTACAATAAATCTAACTAATATTTTATTATTATATGACTTGCACATAGATTTGTTTTTACAATATTAGGGAAGATCAAGGGAAATGAAAATGTATGACAGCAGAAATTTAGGCCAGGCATTAAAATCTGAGGACAGAGACAATAATAATGGGTAACTATTTATCATTTTCAAAGTTTACATGTACATGTAATACCAGGAATATATGAGCCGTGTCACGACAAAACCAACATAATGGGTTTGCGACCAGCATGGATCCAGACCAGCCTGCGCATCCGCGCAGTCTGATCAGGATCCATGCTGTTCGCTTACATACCCTATAACAAGTAGAGAAACTGATAGCGAACAGCATGGATCCTGATCAGACTGCGCGGATGCGCAGGCTGGTCTGGATCCATGCTGGTCGCAAACCCATTATGTTGGTTTTGTCATGACGCGGCTCATATAATCTTTTCTTATGTATGGATCCAGAGGGGATTTAAGGGGTGTCATGATCACACTCTTGGATTCATCAGGTATGTGAAACCACTTGTATTTGGATGCCAGCTTAGCTTTTTTAGAAAAAAATCATGCAATCAATAGTGAAAATCAGGAAAATTTAACCTATGAACTCTTCTGGAAACTTTGTAGTTTCAAATATGCTTTTATCAAAATTTACTGCTCCCACTGGTAAAGAAATCCTAGATCTGCACCTGTTCCTGTATGTTAAAAAGAATAACGCAATATTTATTATTGTCTAATGTACTTTCAAAAAATATTTTACTGTTATGCTAAATATTTGGTCTTCCACTTTAACAAGCAGTGCCACCTTTTGACACTTGTAATGAAAAAAAAAATTGATGTAAAAACATGTGACTTGTAACATTAAAGACAGAATGTAAAGTATTTTATAAACTTAAAACAATTGGACATTTGTTATTTATAAGTTTTCAATTTCTTTGAAAGACAAAGGTATTACTGTGTTAAATATTTTTGTATGATATTTATTATGCTTTTATTGACAATCATAGTTCTATATATAAGCATGAGCATAAATATGGAACAGTTAATAAACTTGTCACTATATTGTATCAACATACATGTATACAATTCTCATATAGAATGGTTTTACAAAGATATTTACAAATTTTGTTTTTTACCAAATTTTTTAACCAAATCTGATTATAAAAACACATGATAGATGTTTTGCAGAAAAGTAAAAAAACAACAATATCAACATATCATGACTTATTAAATGATATTTTCTGGTTGTCTGTTTTCTGCTATGATGTTGAAGAGAGCACACTGTACATACACTACAGATTACATTTATATTATACATCATGTTTACATTTATCTATTTGCCTGCCTTGCACTGGTTCTTATAAATAATTTCTTTCCCCCTAGATTTCAATGAACCAGTTGTTAGTATTCTGTTTATGTTTTGGTCCATGACTTTTCATATATATGAAGCAGTTTTCTTTCATTTTCTTATCTCACCTGAGCCTTACTGCACAAGTTAAGCTTTTGCGATTGTCACATGTCTGCAATGCATCAACATTTTTGTTTTTATAATAGATCCTCCTTAGATACTGTTTCAAGGGTAAATTTCAGGAATGTTTCTGCATGAAGCTTTTTCAGATATGTTCAAACAATTTAAAACATGGAAACTGAAAACATATTTTTTAAATCTTCTTCAAAAATACAAGGTCTGCAGCATTTTGCAGAATTTATATTTGATATGTAGGTGTTCCTACAAGTCCTCTACAAAAATGTTGAAATTATGGTGAACAATAAGGGCAAAAGTCTTGATATTTGACTTTTAGCATTTACTAGTGGCCCTTTATCAAGGTTTTAATGCTGCAGGGGTCAAATTGATCCAACTCCTCAACTGTAAGTTGTTTTCTTATTATCATTAATGTAATGATCTCACATTTTATGATGACCAGTTTCACATAGACTTGTACATTGAATATAAAATATTTTTTCCAATCACATGTAGAAGGATTAGGTCGACTTAACTATGAGGTCACCCAAACTTTGATATTTGATAACCTTGACCCAATTCAGAACTATAGGCCTTAAATTTAGACCATAAGTACAGTTTGGATTACTATGACTTGTTTATAGCTACAGTCCTAAAAGTTTGACCAGTTGAACATGAACCAGGGACCTACTTTTGTGTTGTTGTTATTTTGATTATGTCTTGCAATAATTCATAGGTTAGCGTTTTTGGGTCATAATAACTCTTGTTTTAATGCTGCTACACTTTGGTTGCTAAATGGTATAAATTTAATTTGCACTGCACTATTTTTAGAACACTGATGCCATTGTATGATGAAGATACAAATATGCTGCTTTTAGTTGGAAAGGTAATAATACACTAAGCAACTAATTAAAACTTGGAGACCTGTCACAAATTGTTACATGTTTTTGCTGAATTTTGGAAAAAATGTTAAATTTATGAATGATTTTAATTTGAGAAAAATCTACAATTTTAAGTTTTTAAAATCAAAATAAACTTATATATATAAACAACCATTTAAACAGGACAAGAATCTTTGTTATAACTTTTTTGTCATTTCACATACAATAATATTATTCTGTCGTGTAAAAAGTAAATCGTGTCTTAAATCAATGTTTGTTTGTAATTAGACTTACTTTTGAAAATAAGTGAAATTGTATTGTAAGATGTCAAACATTTTCAAGAGTTATTTATCATACATGAGATGTTTCATTAGCTAATATGCTTCACTAACACAGCATATAAATAGCTTGATGTTGAAACTAAAATACACATTTATTATTACATGTATTTAGTTTATGACATCCTAAGTTTGTTAAAGCATGTTCTTTCCACACAGTTTCTATATCTTTATATCATCTTACTGGTAAATTGTTTAACATATGCTAGTTTGTTGTTGATTGCTTGTCACTAACAGAAGTGAAGTTAACAAGTTACTTTTATGCTGATTGTCTGGTTTGATAAAATAATGTTTGTGATACATGTATGTTCCACTTGTAAAGCATGTAGTAGTGTAATATACATTGTTTATAATATTGTTTTATTATAGGGTGATACAACATGGTCATATATTGAAGTGTCTACATCAGATCCATATTTCACTCAAAGTGAGTATTATAGTACATATATTTTATATGCCCAAACAAAAATGTATGGAAAATTATATTTAAAGAACTTTAAGTGGCCGAGTGGTTAAAGTCGCTGACTTGAGATCACAGGTCCCTCACCACTGTAGGTTCGATCCTCACTCGGGTCGAAATCTTTCATGTGAGGAAGCCATCCAGCTGGCTTATGGAAGGTCGGTGGTTCTACCCAGGTGCCCGCTTGTGCCTGAAATAATGCCCGGAGGGGCACCTGGGGTCTTCCTCCACCAATAAAGCTGGAAACACATCGACGAAAAATCTCGGCGGGACGCTCTAGGATGACCCGACTTGAGTGTACGGTCGCCCATATGGGCTTTCCGGCGGCGACCTTAAATAAACGCATTTAAAAAAAAAAAAACAAGAAAAAAATCTGCAAGTGCAAGTTATTATTAATTATGATTATATTATTTGTTTACAATTGTTTTAGTAGTATTACCGGTATATTGTTTTACAGATGCCATTGAAAGAACAGAGAAGAATGAACAGATAAAGGGGGCATGTCTAATACCTAAACTTGGTGTTAATGTGATGGAAGGAGAAGTTGATAGACTGTTATTGTTGTTACATAATACAATAGTGCCCTTACCATATATAGTACCTAGACGGGTGAGTCACTTACCATATATAGTACCTAGACGGGTGAGTCATTCTTATTTCTAGAATGTGGCTTCATGCATCTGCTGATTACATTTACTGTAATATCATTATTATTTGTGGGGCACGTATTTTCGTGGTTTTCGTGGGTAGGTCAATCCACGAATTCAAGATCCGACGAAATTTTATCCCAACAATTACTTCTAACCATGTTTCTATTCTATACGTGTTTTGCCGCTTTTCTGGTCAATTATTGTGTTATGATGGTAATCAGGTTAGTTAAAGATTAAATATATAAATAGTTTAGGTTTTCAATATTTAAGAAACTTGAAAGCAAAGTCGATTATATGTCCTGAATTTCGTCGCATATACATATCACTGAGACTGCTTAATAGTTGTAGGCTACTTGATTGTGTTATCCAGAATACTTGACATAATCGAGTAAAAATGGGAAACCAGTGCAAAAATTAGCGCGAATATAAATTGTCAGTTTGCTCTTATTCAGTGTTAATAGAATTAAAGAAATGTCGTAAGTTAAGTATACAAAAAATAATAAACAGGCACTAAAACGGATGAATTGTACATCATTTTGTCCTCTTTAAATGATCCAGTTTAAATGAATTTTAATCTTTATTTGTGCAACTGCTATTCCGTAAACATCAAAGATGCTGGCGACTTCTTGATATATTCGCACAATCTTGTATTATTTACTCATATTAATTTATATGCATGTAAATTTACACAGGCGATGTTATGTTGCGTGTAGTAGACCGATTCAGGGTGTAAATAATATAAGCGAATTCGCAGTAAATAACAAAGTACATGTAACTCTGGAATTCTGAATTCAAGTGAGATAAAAGAAAATTATAATTAAGCTGTTCGATAAGGATAAGGAAAATAATGACCAGAAAGTTTTAGATATGATATATTCAGAGACTGTCATGATAATTATATTATAAGTGTGATTGAAGATGTGTACTTTAATAAATCTAAATTAAGCACAGATTGTCAGTGAGAGAAGTCATTTTCATCATTATATCTTGAAATTACACCAACATTGAGTATATTTAAATTACTAACCTACCAAGATACATTATTTGTTGCCTAACACATGTACATGTACATTATAATATGCAACAAGAAATGAATCTATGCAGTTGTTTTTTTTTTTCAAGAAAAATTAGATTTGTATCTGGCATATTCCATTGTTTATACAGTTGGTTGTAGTGTATATTACATCATGTATAGCAGAACGTTATGTACATCATGTGTAGCAGAATGTTATGTACATCATGTATAGCAGAATGTTATGTTAAACTTTCAGCAATATAAAGATTTTCATGCAGATTTGTTCCCGGATACAAAGTGTGAGGAACCCGCACTGTCTGCTGACCAGTGGTGCTCTGGACAAAATGCCCAGGTGAGCAATAACATTGATTTGTTTGTGTGTTTTAGTTTTATTTTAGCTTGGTGCCGGAAATTTCATATGTCCGAGATCTCAGCGTCCATGCCAGTCCACTCTAGAAATCTCATCGGGGACGTCTTTTCAAGCTGATTATCCTTATCCTGTTCTTTGTTCGGTGGAGGAAAAGGCAATACTGGCAAAGCATCATGTTCTGTGACGGCAGCAAACAGGCGGTTACCATAAAACGGCTCTTGTTAGTGCCACCCTCACGAGTTAGTCACGACAGGTCAACCAATCGTCTTTGGTACTTAAGACGACTTGACCTTGACCTGCTGTGTGCCTTCTCCGCGACTTGCACGCCTGGGAAGGGATTTGGAGAAGAATAACATTGATAACTTCTACTAGTAAACTTATACCCTGCAAAAAAGTTATTCACACATACTTCATAAAGAGTAAATAATTTGTGTATATTTCCTTGGAATAATATACTCATTCTGTATGGGATATGAAATGAAAGATTTAATTATTAAGACTCAAATTTATTGCTAACCTTTGATACCTTTACAGAGAAATAAATACACCATAGATACTAACTTTTTTTATTTTCATAAACTTTGTTACATGTATTTAGTGTTTCTAACAATTCGGTGTGAAATTATTCTTTATTTAATTGTTTTAATGGTTCTCCAGAATTGTTTGATCAAGTATACATTTACAAAACTGTCCATCCTTCTTGTGTGCGTCTTGTTGATGATATATAATATCTAAATATAGATTTGTTTGTGTTGTCTTTTTGTTTTGTGTGTGTGTGTGTTTTTATTTTTTCCCAAATAATAGTATAATTAACTATATATTTTCATATGGCACCAGGTAGCAAAGACAAGTTTAGATCCAATTAAAAGAGGCACTGTTACAGTTTTACGGAGACCAGACAAAGAACTTAGAAGTAAAGGAAAAGCACAGGGGATGTCTCAAGATGATGATTTTCCAGTTCACGTAAGATAGTAAAAAACGTTTTTTTAAACTTTTTGTAGTCAGGTCTTCAGAGGAAAGGGTTGTTACATAAAAAACTGAATTCTCTAATAACATGCTAGGGGGTGCTTGTGATATCTGCTTTTCTTCTGATACATTGATTTAACACTATAAAAATGCTCCAAATGGTAATAAATGCAGAATTTAAAAGAGAGATGGAGGAGACAAAACATAAACTTTGACTATCAATGTTGTCTTATGTGTAGTATTAAGTGTCAGATAAAAAAAATATCAAAATGGTTGGAGAATAATGCATTATATAAGTGTCCTTCAATGTATTTCTATGTCCCTCCCCTGTCACACTAACATTTTATACAGATGTAATTGCAGTCATTCAATATATGTCATGATTATAATCATACACAGCCCATATAAAAACTCCCATCTAGTCTAAATGTTTGTTGTAGAATTTAACTGCTGGCGCCCGTAAACTTGATGAGTAAAAGTGAAATGCAGTTCAAATAATGTAACATTGTATTACTGACAATAAAGCAGGAATCATTTTACAAAATATCCAATTATCTAAACAGTAAGAAATACATGTTGTATAAAAAACACTTTGGAAATGTCACCATAATGATTGGAACTTAAAACTGTTGAAGCATTAACATGACTGTTTTACATAGTTAGGAGAACATAGTTTGTACTAGTTTGTGCTCTTACTAAATGTTATAATTATCTATAAATGATCTTAATGAATCACTGGAAACTCCCTAAACATAACAAACTTTTTTTATAGAAACCAAAAACATCAACTTCGTCACCTAGTAAACCAGCCAGTGTTCCTAGTAAACCATTGACATCAGTTCATAGTAGTAAACCAGAACAGGCCAGTAAACCAGTACAGGCAGTTAAACCACTACAGGCCAGTAAACCAGTAGACCCACCGGCTCCAGTTGTACCGGCTGAACCTAGTAAAGCTTCCAAAACATTTGCAGGTCAGTTTTCCTTTCCTAAACTTATATATATTGTTTATGGATTAATGGTATTATGATAGTTTGGTTAGATTAATTATATGGTTAGTTTGTAGCTGTATCTGATGAAAATTAGATTACTTTTCTGTGAATTATTTCAAGCAGGAGCACACATCTCTATATAAACATTAGACTTTTCTGAGAAGGAAAGAGGAGCAATGCACTCAGACCTGAACCAGTTTTCTAATGAATATCAATGGTTCTATCTTCCTGACAGTCATCACTATATCTTTTTTTGTTACCAATTTATTCCTGTGACAAAAAAAATGACGTTTTGAAATTTTAAAGTAGCTCCTATTTATTTTATAATCACTTAAAAAAACATTTTACTGCTTCAAAATGATCTCTCTTCGCTTTATAAGTAAAACTACATTTTCACTCAAGTGTTTTTGTCATTTTTTGAAAGTTGACCATCATAAAATGAAATTAACAGAGGGATTCAAATCCCCTGTGAAGAGGATAACCCTTATATACTAACAAGAATGTTTGAAAATTTTGTCATAAAATGGAAAGTTTTAGTTGCATTGAATACTTTCCTTGAATATTAGAAATATATACATTCTATATAAAGGGAGAATATGACATTATTTTTTATGCCACCGCAGCATCTGCGATGCGGTGGCATATAGCGATTCACCTGTGTGTGTGTTTGTTTGTGTGTGTGTGTGTTATATAGATTATATAGTGAACTTAAAAAATCTTCTTGTGAAAAACCACTAGTTCAATTTAAACCAAACTTGGCAGGATTGATCCTTGGGTGAAGGACTTCCAAAGTTGTTCAAAGAATTTCATTCCATGCAGAAATCTGGTTGCCATGGCAACCGAAAGGAATTATAAGAATAAATTTAAAAAATCTTCTTGTAAAGACCCAAAAGGCCTAGAGCTTAGATATTTTGCATAAGGCATTGTCTGGTAGACCTCTACCAAGATTGTTCAAATTATAGCCCTGGGGTCAAAATCGGCCCCGCCCCAAGGGTCATTGATTTTCACTATATGTACATATAGTAAAAACTAAAAATACCTTCTTGTAAAGACCCAAAAGGCCTAGAGCTTAGATATTTTGCATAAGGCATTGTCTGGTAGACCTCTACCCAGATTGTTCAAATTATAGCCCTGGGGTTAAAATGGGCCCCGCCCCAGGGGTCATTGATTTAACTGTATGTACATATAGTAAAAACTTAAAATACCTTCTTGTAAAGACCTAAAAGGGCTAGAGCTTAGATATTTTGCATAAGGCATTGTCTGGTAGACCCTTACCAAGATTGTTCAAATTAAAGCCCTAGGGTCAAAATCGGCCCCGCCCCAGGGGTCATTGATTTTCACTATATGTACATATAGTTAAAACTTAAAATACCTTCTTATAGGGACCCAAAAGGCCTAGAGCTTAGATATTTTGCATAAGGCATTGTCTGGTAGACCCTTACCAAGATTGTTCAAATTAAAGCCCTAGGGTCAAAATCGGCTCCGCCCCAGGGGTCATTGATTTTCACTATATGTACATATAGTTAAAACTTAAAATACCTTCTTATAGGGACCCAAAAGGCCTAGAGCTTAGATATTTTGCATAAGGCATTGTCTGGTAGACCTCTACCCAGATTGTTCAAATTATAGCCCTGGGGTCAAAATCGACCCCGCCCCGGGGGTCATTGGTTATCCTTATATGTATATAGTAAAAACTTACAGAAAAAACTTTTAAAAAAATCTTCTAGTAATTGACAAATGCTAGAGGTAAGATATTTTGCATGAAACATTGTGTAGTGAAGCTCTAGCAAGATTGTTCAAATTATAACCCTGGGGTCAAAATTGGCCCCACCCCTAGGGGTCATTGATTTTCACTATGAACATAGAGTAAAAATTAAAAAATCTTCTTATCTGAAGGTACAAGGCTTAAAGCTTTGATATTTGGTATATAATATCATCTTTGGGTCCTCTACTAAAGTTGTTTTAATTATGCCCCTAGTGTTGAAATTGCCCTGCCCCAGAGGCGCTAGATTTCCTTATATGTATAAAGTAAAAACTTGAAAAATCTTCTTCTCTGAATTGACAAAGGCTTGAGTTTAAATATATGGCATGAGACTTTGCGAAGTGAACCTCTACCAAGATTGTTCAAATTTAAATTTAGCCCTGGGGTCAAAATTGGTTCCGCCCCGGGGGTCATTGATTTACATTATGTATATCTAGTAAAAAAATAAAAAATATTTTTGTCTGAAGGTACAAGGCATAGAGCTTTCATGTTTGCAATATAATATCATCTATAGGTCCTCTACCAAAGTTATTCAAATTTTTCCCCTGGTGTCAAAACTGGCCCTGCCCAGGGGCATGATTCTCATTATGTACACATAGTAAAAACAGAAAATAAAACAAATGTTTTCTGAATGGGAGAAAGCTCAGCTTAGATATTTGACTTGAAATGTTGTTTGGTGGACCTGTATCAAGATTGTTTTGAATTAAACCCTTGGGTCAAAATTTTGCCTTGACCAAGGGGACAGTGACCTACTTTTTTGTCCTTTGATGTACAGCAATGAAATTTTGACCATGTGCACAGTTTTAGTTGTAAAATTGAACTTTGATATCAGGTGACCTAGATTTTGATAATGTAACCTACGTTCTTGTGCTTTGATCTACAGCTATGAAATTTGAACCATGTGCACAGATTAAGATGTAAAGTGGACTTTGATATCAGCTTACCTAGATTTTGACAAAGTGTCTTACTGTGTTGTCCTTTGATGTAGTCATGAAATTTAGGCTGTGTGAAATATGACCTTCACCACCAAATTCACTAGACTCAAGTGCATTGATATATTCCTGCTCTGATCTTTTATTTGATTAACAATAGATTTAATCACTAATCTGATAATAAGAATTAGATAGGTCAGGGATCTATGCATAATGACAATCTTAAATTGTATAGAAACAAAAAAAAATCTGTTCCTACACTACTATTTAGTGTTGTATTAATGCGGTGGCATAGCATTTTTCTCAAATGCAATCTTGTTTTCTTTTTATCTCAACTAACCATCACTGTATTGTATAATTAAAAACAAATTAATTTCCTACAGAGCTTATTGATACATTTATATTTATAGCAATGTACATTTATATTTATAGCAATGTACATTTATATTTATAGCAATGTACATTTATATTTATAGCAATGTACATTTATATTTATAGCAATGCATTCATCAAAGTGTAAATACATGAAGGGTGTATCTGAGCATGCCAGTAAACATATAGTTAATTTGCGTCGCCTGTGTCGAACATTACCAGGTCAAAGTGACCTGTTTGTAGCTAATACAAAAAGGTGTGCTGTACCACTAGAGGGCGCTGGAGGACTTATAGCCATTATAGAGGTTTGTACTGTACATCACATATTTGATAAACATTTTAGAGATATGCGAATTACATATTTAATAACAATTTAAGTAGTACATAAATTACAGATTTAGGAAATACATATCAGTTTTGAGTAAATTGCTGAAGAAAAATGCATGGTTTGAGTCCAGATCCTCAGGAATATAATAACAAAGGCGGATAGGACTGAGTGATTAATTACAAAGCATTTGAACAGTAAATCGTGCATTGCATGTATTAAACTTTAATGCACAAAAAAGTAACATCTATTTCCATTCTAACATGCTTGTGAAAAAAGGGAATTATATTTTGTACATTAAGAACTGGGCAATGTGAAATATGCGACATTTTTTTAACAGAGATATTATACATGTATTTTTAAATACCCAGTGGTCTTTGAATGATTGTAAAAATTTGTCTTCAAAATTTGAAAAATGATAGGAATGGAACAAAAACTGCTCATATAGAAATAAGTATATTTTTATTGTATTTGTTTGTGTGTTCACAGCTAGATAAACCTGGAAGGTTACCTGACACAGGTATACCAGTTATACAGAATGGCAGTAAGGTGAATGACTTTGTGTTTGATCCTTTTGATGATACAAGAATTCTTGTAGGTATGCATCACACACTTTTTGAGTAATGTGCATAATTTTGCATTTCTTTACCCTTATTCTGCTGACAACTGAAATGATAAGTGTTTGCCACCGGTATAGAACTAGGCCATCCTGCACGTCTTTGTAGTCTTACTATTGTCTATAATATTGGCTGATTGACTCCACATTCTCTACATACCGGTATGATGAGTATATTGTAATACCTGATATATGATGAGTATATTGTAATACCTGTTTTATGATGTGTATCTTGTAATACCTGATAAATGATGTGTATCTTGTAATACCTGATATATGATGTGTATCTTGTAATACCTGATATATGATGTGTATCTTGCAATACCTGATAAATGATGTGTAACTTGTAATACCTGATAAATGATGTGTTTCTTGTAATACCTGATATATGATGTGTATCTTGTAATACCTGATATATGATGTGTATCTTGTAATACCTGATCTTGTAATACCTGATAAATGATTTGTATCTTGTAATACCTGATAAATGATGTGTTCCTTGTAATACCTGATATATGATGTGTATATTGTAATACCTGATATATGATGTGTATCTTGTAATACCTGATATATGATGTGTATATTGTAATACCTGATATATGATGTGTTCATTGTAATACCTGATATATGATGTGTTCATTGTAATACCTGATATATGATGTGTTCATTGTAATACCTGATATATGATGTGTATCTTTCAATACCTGATATATGATGTGTATCTTGTAATACCTGATATATGATGTGTATCTTGTAATACCTGATACCTGATCTTGTAATACCTGATAAATGATTTGTATCTTGTAATACCTGATAAATGATGTGTTTCTTGTAATACCTGATAAATGATGTGTATCTTGTAATACCTGATAAATGATGTGTATCTTGTAATACCTGATCTTGTAATACCTGATAAATGATTTGTATCTTGTAATACCTGATAAATGATGTGTTCCTTGTAATACCTGATAAATGATGTGTATCTTGTAATACCTGATAAATGATGTGTATCTTGTAATACCTGATAAATGATGTGTTTCTTGTAATACCTGATAAATGATGTGTATCTTGTAATACCTGATAAATGATGTGTATCTTGTAATACCTGATCTTGTAATACCTGATAAATGATTTGTATCTTGTAATACCTGATAAATGATGTGTTCCTTGTAATACCTGATAAATGATGTGTTTCTTGTAATACCTGATAAATGATGTGTATCTTGTAATACCTGATAAATGATGTGTTTCTTGTAATACCTGATAAATGATGTGTTTCTTGTAATACCTGATAAATGATGTGTATCTTGTAATACCTGATAAATGATGTGTATCTTGCAATACCTGATAAATGATGTGTATCTTGTAATACCTGATAAATGATGTGTATCTTGTAATACCTGATAAATGATGTGTATCTTGTAATACCTGATAAATGATGTGTTTCTTGTAATACCTGATAAATGATGTGCATCTTGTAATACCTGATAAATGATGTGTTTCTTGTAATACCTGATAAATGATGTGTATCTTGTAATACCTGATATATGATGTGTTTCTTGTAATACCTGATAAATGATGTGTACCTTGTAATACCTGATAAATGATGTGTATCTTATAATACCTGATAAATGATGTGTATCTTGTAATACCTGATAAATGATGTGTTTCTTGTAATACATGATATGATTGTAATACCTGATATATTATTTGTATCTTGTAATACCTGATTTATGATGTGTTTCATGTAATACCAGATATATAATGTATATATTTATATTTGTTGCAGGATGTGATAATGCTAAGATTTACATCTGGAGTTTACCAAAGGAAGGTCTTACAGAGACTTTGGAAGATTATGATTCATATCTTATGAGTAAGATTTTTACAAAATGTTTTCATTTCACGTTACCCATTAATTCATTTGTTAGAGTAATGTGTCTGTATGCATTATTAACTATTTGTTATGGAATTAAGGTTTAGGACAGTTTGATTTAGTCTTACAAAATTATCACCAGAAAAAAAAATATTATCCATCTTTGAACTTATTTCCATACACTGAGTATTAATACTTCTTTGTGACAGTGATTTTTTGATGCAAAAGAAATTATAAAGTAGTAGATCTACTTATGGATGTAGTGATTTTTGTTTCCTATTTATTGTGTTTTGTTTATAGTAACAAGGATGATTTTTATTGTGTTTTGTTTATAGTAACAAGGATGATTTTTATTGTGTTTTGTTTATAGTAACAAGGATGATTTTTATTGTGTTTTGTTTATAGTAACAAAGATGATTTTTATTGTGTTTTCTTTATAGTAACAAGGATGATTTTTATTGTGTTTTCTTTATAGTAACAAGGATGATTTTTATTGTGTTTTGTTTATAGTAACAAGATTTTATTGTAATTATTAAGGTCATACAGAGAAGATCTATTTCATACGTTTTCATCCACTGGCCAAAGATGTAGTTTTGACAGGAGCTTATGACATGTTAATCAAAATCTGGGACCTGTCTGATAATACAGAACAAATAGAACTTACAGGACACCAGGATGAGGTTAGTTTTCATATAAGAATACAGTATGCCCTGTAGAATTCTCATCATATAAAAAATTGTTCAGATTAAGCCATGAGAAAATTGGTGTATATCCAGGTGCTTTCTTATTTCTAAAATAATACATTGATGATGACCATTTATTTTGCTAGTTTCCATCTGTTCTTTACATTATTTATGTTTCTTTCCACACAAATGATTGAATTACTTACACTTGGCATTATACATGTATTATATATTTTATAGCTTAAATTTTTATGTAAATATACACAAAAACAGCAGTTTTTCAAAATAATTAATAGCAATAGTACTTTCAACATAGCAAGTGTGACAGTACATTTTGAAAGTGGATGGCATTTATAAAAGGGAGGTTAATTCATAATTTAGTTTTTCTGAGTTATGCCCCCATTTTGAATTGAAATTTCTTTGTTAACTTTTTTGTCAAGATACATTTTTCAAAAAGTATCAAAGATATTTATTTAAACTCCATGAACAAATTTGAAAGCATTTCTTAGGTGCAGATAATCCTGAGTCATTTTGGTTTAGTTATATTCATGTACTTTCTTTTGACTTTGAATATTTGCCCTTTTTTTAAAAAAACTGTATGGAGTATTCATTTTAAACTTGAAATATTTGTTGACAAGAGCAGGTAAGTCTGCTAAGCATGGTCGCAGAAGTTTGCCCTCTTTTCTGTGTTACATATTATATAACTATCCAGCCCTGAGAAAAGTGGAGCACACTGTATGCACACAGGTTGTTAAAGAAATGAAATGTAACCTCGAAAAATAAGAAAAATTATTAATTGTTTATTAATTTGGTAAAACATGTATAAGTACAGTATTACATAGTAATTGGTTTAAGATATAACAGATGTCATTCCTGTAAGGTTATGAAAAGTATATATTATATTTTATAGATTTTCTGTGCTGAATGGAGTCCTGATGGTAAATATATAGCTACTGTGTGTAAAGATGGTAAAATCAGAATATACGAGCCTCGAGCCTCACCTGAACCTATTAAGGTAATATGATTACAATTAATGTAATATATTGACAAGTTTTGTATATGTCAATGTTAGATCCAAATACATTTATTTACAGATGAAAAATAAAATGATCATACATGTGAAACAAAGCAATCATTCTTCCTGTTTTTTCATCATATGACCTAAATTGTTTTGGTGCACCGTAAAACCAAACGAAAACAAACAGAATTGTACGATTATTTCATTTACAGTTTTAATTTTACACTAAAAAGTGTTGTATGTAAATGTTTATGTGCTTGCAGTTATCATGTTTATATTTTAAAGGGACTCCACTGAGGTTTTTTAACTAGACAGGTCTTGAAATAATTTTTCGTGATAAATGTTCCATTTGATGAAGGCCTATACCAATAACTTGTGTTCAATATTTTTAGATCATTAGTTCACTTGTTTTAACAGAATAGTCATTCTACTTGTGAAAAATGACCCAAAATTGAAAAAACATCATGCTGCACAATGCTTTTCATCCTAATTGGGATGAGAGTAAAACAAAAATGCATTTTCAATTAATTTCTGAGTACTATTATATTTCTTATCTTTAGGATATCTTTCTGTTTAACCCTTTCCCTCATGAGCATATTGTGAAAAATGGCAGTTTTCATTGAAAAGCCTCCTGTTACAAGTTCAAACTGCTATGAAATTATGAAAAATGCTTCAATACTAATCAAACTTGGCACAAATGTTGACTGGACCATTGCCTTTGAATCGACATGCTCAGTCTTAAATTTCCTGTTACCATGGTAACGAGGGGACATCTCAAAATTGCCAAAAATCACTATTTTGCCTTGATTTTTTCCATCAAAATTTATTTCAAAGTGCTGCAACTTCTCAAGGGATTGAGATAGAGTCAAAGGCTTTTCAGCGTTGGTTACACGTTACCTTATGATCGACCTGGGGTCATGTTTAGCCTCTCACAAGTCCAAAATTTTCTTGGCAATGAGGGGGACTACCGCCCCCCTTCAAACCCCACCAAACAGAAGGGGGCACATCCCCCTTCTGGCAACCCCCTGATGTATCTTTTGGATGGGGGGGGCGGCGCCGAAAAAGTGCTCACTTTTTTTAGCAACATTTCTAAAACGAAAACATGTGTTTAGGGCCCAAATAGGACATTTTTTCACTATTTGAGGCCTAAAAGAGGGGGGGGGGGTGTCAAAAGTGCGTATAAATGAGGTAAAGGGTTAAGTGCTCAATAGTAAGAATTTCAAATTTCATGTTTAAGGCTTTTATACCTCAGTGGATTTCCTTTAAGATGGAGTGAAGATTTAACATCTTTGCTAGCATTACTTTCATTACCATTACTAACTTTTACTTTTATGACATAGAATATATGACCTTTACCAACAGTATATTTTGGTTTTAGGAAGGTGTAGGGCCTGATGGGAGTCGAGGTGCTAGAGTGGTCTGGGCTTTAAACATGAAATACCTAGTAGTTTCTGGATTTGCAAAGTGAGTTATCATTGAACAAATCTTTATAGAACTTATTTAATTTCAAGTCAGTTTTCAATTTAGTAATATTGTAAAGTGGGATATGATAAAAATGCAGTTTTTGTTCCTATAATTGCAGCACTTTTGAATGCAGTTCATATATTTATATAGGGGGCTTCATGGCTGAGTGGTTAAGGTTGATAACTTCAAATTAGTTGCCTTTGCTGTTCTGCTAGCTTATGGAAGGTCGGTGGTTCTATTTGGGTGCTTGTGTTGCCTACAGTAGTGCACAAGGAGACACCTGAGGTCTTCCCCACCAGTAAACCTGGAAAGCTACCACATGACTATTTACAGTGTTCATGTGACAAACAGACAATATGTTAATATCTTTTTAGGACGAGTGCTCGCACTGTGAGTGTGTATGAAGTTGGTAAGTTAGGAGAGCCGTTACACATTGATGTATTAGAAGTAAATCCAGCCATTCTTATACTACATTATGATGAGGGAACTTCTACAGTATTCCTGACAGGCAGGGTAAGACATTTATCTCTTCCTTCTTTTGTTGTCAGATACAGTTCCATTGTATGATTTGTGTTTTAGAAGCCCTCAGCATATAATAGTTGTCTGTACTGGTACTATGTAACTTAGTGTGAGTTACAGTTAAACAATGGGAAAGATCTGAAAAAACTAACTTTCTTTTGCTCTTATTCAATAGATTTTCTTTTCATTTATCTTTTTGTTTGAATTTCCTGTTCATATATTTTAAAATCTTCTATGATACATAGATGCATTTAGATAGATATATCATCAAAATATGAGTTCAGTCGGGAAGAGGAACAAAGTATTGTATTGAATATGATTAATAAAGTCAGTTGAATAATTAAAGTCAATGTTAGGGAGATGCTGCTATTTTAGTATTTTGTAATTTTTACCTCCCCATGAGCATATTGTGAAAAATGGCCGTTCTCATTGAAAAGCCTCCTGTTACAAGTTCCAACTGCTAATAAAACTATGAAAAATGCTTCAATACTGATGAAACTTATGTTGACTGAACCATAACCTCTGAAACAAAATGCTCAACCTTAAATTTCCCGTTACCATGGCAATGGGGGACATCTCAAAATTGTGAAAAATCACTATTTTGCATTGTTTTTTTCTCATCAAAACTGATTTCAAAGTGCTGCAACTTGTCAATGCAATGAGATAGAGTAAAAGGCTTTTCAGCGTTGGTTACACGTCATGTTAAGATAGACCTGAGGCCAATTTTAGCCTGTCACATGTCCAAAATTTTCTTGGCGATGAGGGAAACTACCTCCCCCTTCAAACCCCCCAAACATTTTGATGGGGGGCCGCGCCGAAAAAGTGGTCACTTTTTTAAACAACATTTCTCTAACGAAAAACAGTGTTTAGGGCCTAAATATGGCATTTTTTCACTGTTTGAGGCCTCAAAAAGGGGGGGGGGGGACAAAAAGCAGTCAAAACACGTCTGTATGAGGGAAAAGGTTAAGGGGAATGCTATTTCAGGATTTTGTTATTTAAGGGAGATGGTAATATTTTAGGACTTTGATTTTTTAGGGAGATGCTACCATTTTAGGATATGAGGTATCAGATGAGTTCCCACATTTGTTTCCCCTAGCAACAACAAAACCTGAGGGTACACATCAAGGGATAGCCCTTATGCCAAACACAACATGTGATGTGAGGAAAGTTGAGATTGCCAGGATGTGGAGACTTACTCAGTCCACTTTAGAACCAATGTCTTTCACTGTACCAAGAGTGAAGGTAACACCAGAAACAATATTGTATTAGCACCATCATGAAAAACTATTATGTTGCCTGAGTGTTGTAAAGTTTTTAATTTTATGTGTGGCACAAGTGTTTTCATGAAACCTTGTTTATTGCCACTACCTATACTGATCAAAGTTACTTATGTATAAAAGTTAAAACTTGACTGAAATTTATATAAAGATTGGAAGAGAAAGTTGTAACAGTGGTCAGGTGAAAAACAAAGTTCCAATAGGTTACTTAATACTAGCAAGAAAAACAGATGTTTTTTGTAAGTGTATGTTAAACATCATTATTAATAGTGTTATCATTTACTCCAACCCAACTTGCTTTTTTTTCTTGAACATTAAATAATTATAACCTTTACAATAGGCATTAGAAAACCATTAAGGCTTATTTAGGAATGACCATTTTGTGTATAATTTGATTCATGTTTTTCAAAAGAGTTTCCAATGATATTTTATAGCCAGAATATTTCCAAGATGACTTGTTCCCGGATGTCTCAGTGTCTGGTAAACCAACAATGACCAGTCAGGAATGGTTCCGGGGCATGAACAAAGAACCAGCTAAAATTTCATTGAGACCATCAGATATGAAACCTTGTAAGTGAAATGATTTCAGTAGCTAACTTTTAACCTGTTAGATATAAGTAATGGATTTGCCCAGCTATGTTTTTGGAAAAATCCAAGTTTTAAGGGATATCAAAATACAAAATTTAAGCTATTAAGACTTTAGAGCCTGCTCAGACTGTCTGATTCAGTATGTAAAGGGTTGATGCTGAATTAAACTAGTAACACATCACGATTTCAGACAATGATTAAGAAACTGTTAGCATGTAACAGTCTTTTACCCTATCAGAACTGACAGTTATTACCTTTGCGACCAGTATAGAGTCAGGCCAGCCTGCACATCCATAGACAGTTCCAAAAAAGGAAGTCTGATAAGTCCATTAACATAATCAGCTGGTTATGGGTTAATGTTAGAAATATACATATTTTTATCATGACATTATGTTATCACAATTTTGCATTCTGTAATTATTTTACTTTATGTCACAGTTTTTACTTTCCTTTATGAAAGGAAGATCTTCAATTTGTTTTCAATCACTGTATACAATGATCTTTCTTGATTTAAACATTATATGCATTTTGCATTGTGAATCTGACAAGTGACTCTGTTTTATTTTGATGATAATATTTATATAAACAGTAAGTGAGGCACCAGTGGAAGCTCCTAAAGCTAAGAAGTATGACAGCTATAATCCAGACACTTATAAAACAGATGAGATGAAGAAAGAGGAGGTAATTGTTTTAACTAGAATCAAAACATATATATCCATCCTATAGATTAATAGTAAACCTTAACATGCTTATTACTTTAAATAGAATTGTCAAACTTTAAATACATGTATAAAACCATTCGTCATTTTTAAGAAAATTTTAAAATATGTACAAACTGAATAGCATATAGTGCAGACCTGGCATATAGTGCAGACCTGGCATATAGTGCAGACCTGGCATAGAGTGCAGACCTGGCATATAGTGCAGACCTGACATATAGTGCAGACCTGACTAGTGCAGACCTGACATATAGTGCAGACCTGGCATAGAGTGCAGACCTGGCATATAGTGCAGACCTGGCATAGAGTGCAGACCTGGCATATAGTGCAGACCTGACATATAGTGCAGACCTGGCATAGAGTGCAGACCTGACATATAGTGCAGACCTGACATATAGTGCAGACCTGGCATAGAGTGCAGACCTGACATATAGTGCAGACCTGGCATATAGTGCAGACCTGACCTGGCATAGAGTGCAGACCTGGCATATAGTGCAGACCTGGCATAGAGTGCAGACCTGGCATATAGTGCAGACCTGGCATAGAGTGCAGACCTGGCATATAGTGCAGACCTGACATATAGTGCAGACCTGGCATAGAGTGCAGACCTGACATATAGTGCAGACCTGGCATATAGTGCAGACCTGACATATAGTGCAGACTGACATATAGTGCAGACCTGGCATATAGTGCAGACCTGACATATAGTGCAGACCTGGCATAGAGTGCAGACCTGGCATATAGTGCAGACCTGGCACTAGAGTGCAGACCTGGCATATAGTGCAGACCTGACATATAGTGCAGACCTGGCATAGAGTGCAGACCTGACATATAGTGCAGACCTGGCATATAGTGCAGACCTGGCATATAGTGCAGACCTGGCATATAGTGCAGACCTGGCATATAGTGCAGACCTGGCATATAGTGCAGACCTGACATATAGTGCAGACCTGGCATATAGTGCAGACCTGGCATATTTTAGGCAGTATATGATATGCTGGCTGATCTTGGTCTGCACTTGTTGCATGACCAGAATCACTTTCTGCCAGTAGGATAAGAGTTAAAACTGTTATATAGATAAATATAAATTATATCTGCCTTAATGGCAGTAAAAAAATATTAACTACTTAATAATACATGTACATGTATGCAGTCTTCTTGACAGTTAATGTCATTTTTTGTGACTTCATTATTTTCTTTATAGTAGATATTTTAATAAGTAGAATAAAAGTTAAATTATCAATATTTGAATTTTTGTATTTACAACAGTGCACGGAAGTGTGTAGGACTATTATTAAAATGGAAAGATAAAATTGTAAGGATTAATACATGTAATTTGATTTTTATGCCCCCATTTCGAAGAAAAGGGGGTATATTGCTTTGCACTTGTCGGTCCGTCGGTCCGTCGGTCTGTCGGTCCGTCGGTCCGTCGGTCGGTCCGTCGGTCCGTAGACCAAATGGTTTCCGAGTGATAACTAAAGAACCCTTAGGCCTAGGAACTTCAAACTTGGTATGGTGATTGGTCATGACAAGTAGATGACCCCTATTGATTTTGGGGTCAAGGGGTCAAAGGTCAAGGTCACATTGACCTTGTAAGCAAAAACGGTTTCCGATCAATAACTAAAGAACCTTAAGGCCTAGGAACTTCAAACTTGGTATGGTGATTGGTCATGATCAGTAGATGACCCCTATTGATTTTGGGGTCAAGGGGTCAAAGGTCAAGGTCACATTGACCTTGTAAGGAAAAACGGTTTCCGATCAATAACTAAAGAACCTTAAGGCCTAGGAACTTCAAAACTTGGTATGGTGATTGGTCATGATTAGTATATGACCCCTATTGATTTTGGGGTCAAGGGGTCAAAGGTCAAGGTCACATTGACCTTGTAAGCAAAAACGGTTTCCGATCAATAACTAAAGAACCTTTAGGCTAGGAACTTCAAACTTGGTATGGTGATTGGTCATGATCAGTAGATGATCCCTATTGATTTTGGGGTCAAGGGGTCAAAGGTCAAGGTCACATTGACCTTGTAAGGAAAAACGGTTTCCGATCAATAACTAAAGAACTTTAAGGCCTAGGAACTTCAAACTTGGTATGGTGATTGGTCATGATCAGTAGATGACCCCTATTGATTTTGGGGTCAAGGGGTCAAACGTCAAGGTCACATTGACCTTGTAAGCAAAAACGGTTTCCGATCAATAACTAAAGAACTTTTAGGGCTAGGAACTTCAAAGTTGGTATGGTGATTGGTTATGACCAGCAGATGACCCCTATTGATTTTGGGGTTAAGGGGTCAAAGGTCAAGGTCACATTGACCTCTTGGGTAAAAACGGTTTCCGATCAATAACAAAAGAACCCTTAGGCCTAGGGACTTCAAACTTGGTATGGTGATTGGTCATGACCAGCAGATGACCCCTATTGATATTGGGGTTAAGGGGTCAAAGGGCAAGGTCACATTGACCTTGTAGGTAAAAATGCTTTCCAATCAATAACTTAAGAACCCTTAGGCCTAGGAACTTCAAACTTGGTATGGTGATTGGTCATGACCAGCAGATGACCTTTTGATTTTGGGGTCAAAGGGTCAAAGGTCAAGGTCACATTGACCTTGTAGGTAAAAAGGGTTCCGATCAATTAACTAAAAACGCTTAGGCCTAGGAACTTCAAACTTTGTATGATGATTGTTCGTGACCAGCAGATGACCCCTATTGAGTTTTGGGTCAAGGGGTCAAAGGTCAAGGTCACATTGACCTTGTAAGTAAAAACGGTTTCTGATCAATAACTTAAGAACGCTTAGGCCTATGAACTTCAAACTTGGCATGGTGATTTGTCATGACCAGCAGATTACCCCTATTGATTTTGGGATCAAGGGGTCAAAGGTCAAGGTCACATTGACATTGTAAGTAAAAACGGTTTCTGATCAATAATTAAAGAACGCTTCGGCCTAGGAACTTCAAACTTGGTATGGTGATTGGTCATGAGCAGCAGATAACCCCTATTGATTTTAGGGTCAAAGGTCAAGGTCACATTGACCATGTATGTTAAAACGGTTTCCGATCAATAACTAAAGAACCCTTAGGCCTAGGAACTTCAAACTTGGTATAGTGATTGGTCATGACCAGCAGATGACCTATTGATTTTGGGGTCAAGTGGTCAAAGGTCAAGGTCACATTGACCTTGTAGGTAAAAACGGTTTCTGATCAATTTACTAAAAACGCTTAGGCTTAGGAACTTCAAACTTTGTATGATGATTGGTCGTGACCAGCAGATGACCCCTATTGAGTTTTGGGTCAAGGGGTCAAAGGTTAAGGTCATGACCAGTAGATACTTGATAACCCTTATTAATTGTTTGATCACTGGGTCAGAAGTCATGCATAATAACCTTATCACATGACTAATTGGCTGCTGATAGGGGGCATACATGTTTTACAAACATATCTTGTTAATCTTATATATACAGGAGTCAACATGACACTTTATGAAAGTTTTATGTTGAACTTCATTTCTCATTAATCAATTGAAATTCAATGAAGTCATGTCTGTGGTATGATAACTGTAGGTCACTATTCAAGACCCATACCTTTAGCATGGATTTGGAAGAACAACTGCCCATTGTTAACTTACAGAACTTTATATTACAGTTTTACATGCAAATTAACCTAGACAGGTCACTTTTAGGTTTCTTCTCCAAACCTACAACTCTAGCATGGATATTGAATTTGTGAATTCCTATATTATACATGCTCTTGTTTTACTTTCAAGCTCTAAAACATTAAATACTGTCCTTCTGACAGCTCTTGGTTTTAAATTGATGATTTCTTATTTCAGTTAATTACTGCTATGACAAACAAATTAGATACTAAAGATGAACCATTACCACAAGATGATGCTGAGGGGGTAGACTCAGATGAATGGGTTTGTAGTTTCGATATTATAATACTGCATGTTTGTAACGTCATTTTTCATTGGATAATCGTGACGTTTATATAGTTTTATATACACGGCTGCTGTAGATTCATGTAGAAATCTTACTTTTTTCTATAAAAATGATGCTTGCTGTATTATAAATTCGTTATAAAGATTGTTGATGTGTGGAACCAGTACTGGTTACATTAATTTAAAATAGATATGTTTAAATCATTAACCTCCTCTAACAACATGTTAAAACATGCTTAACACTTTATAGATTCATTTATCATAGTAAAAAAACTTTGTGTTATTGCTAACAAAAGATAACAAATATTATGCAATTAAAGACTTTTGTTTTTTCGGACCTAAGAAAAGTAACTTTAAACAAGGATGACAGTCCAAGGTCCGTATAACTTTTATCAGGTCAGAAAGACTAGATATTGACCAAAACACAAGTCTATAGTCATTATATCATAAACCACTGTCTATGATAGAGTATATGTGCATCTTTAGAAAATAATGCTGTTATTAAACAATCAGGTCTACACATCTTTTGTGGACTGTTAATGTAAGTACAAATGTATACCATATACAATAATAAGATTTATCTTGTCAGTTCTGTATATGATAGTTTACATTTATTATCAGGAGGACTACTGAATGATGTTTTTGGAGACGTGGTGATGGAGGTGGTGACAAGAAATGGACCAAACAGTGCAATAATAGACAACAATATTGTTACCTTCGGGGCCAAATATATTTCATTTGATCTGCTACATTATTTTCAGCAATAATTTACAGTTGTTTATGTTAATGAAAGTTATTGTTTCTTTGTTTAAAGAGAATATTTCTACATCACATCAGAGGAGAGCATATTGGCAGTTTTTAGGTTTTTAAATTGTACATTTTTTATATGCAAGGTTTTCACTGTCTGGGCTGCCACATTGTTATTGTTATAAAGTATTAACATGGGACCAAATAATGATTAAATATAATGCATATTTACTTTAACTTACAAACTGTTGTTTTGCTTAACACTTTATAGATGATAATAGTAATAGTAATAATAATAATAGAATTGTCATAATTCCTGACATAACTTTGCAATTTTAAATCTTAAAAAAATCATGATTTTTAGTACAAGAAAAATGTCAGAATATCAAAGATCAAGATCTATTGCACACACTTTATCAACTGTGACATTTGAATGGGTTAAACTTCTTGGTTTTTTTTAAAGAGTTTGTTGTTTATTTTAAGAATCACATAATAAACCTTTTTTTAACACTTGGTCAATTATATATTAATGCAGAAAATGACATCATTGACATTAACAATAGAAATAAAACCAAAAGAGCAGCTGTTGTTACATGATTGTATTTACATGTATTAATAGTGTTTCCAGAGTCTGAGTGTGTTCATTAAATAAAGTTTTTTTTAAAGTTTAACTTGGTAAATTTGATCAGTTGAAATAAGATACAGTACATGTTTATTGTAAGACATTGGTGTTAAAGTTTATCTGTGTTTGTTACATTTGTTATTCATATACAATGATAACTGTACAGAGCTGCATTACAAATTCTTACGTACAACAAAACCCATTACTTATTTACAAAATGAGGATTATCTATTGTATAAATTCTGACATAGCAGAGATAATGGTACTAATTCAGGTAAAGCAAAGATCCTTTTAGATCAATTTAGGCAACAAACATTACTGTCATTCTTTATCATTATTTTTATCCAGTGCTGCAAGCACAGTTATACATGTATATCCTTTCATTTTATTCACTTACATATGACAGATATAAATTTGATTTAGGCAGCAAATGCCCGGGTTACATGTAAAAATAGAGACAAGGAAAGATAAGTATTTGGGGGGAAAAGTATAAAGTGGCTATATAATAAGTAAGGATCAATTTTCATACTACAATTCCAAACAAAGAAAATGAGATCATAAGCTTTACGTTTTATATTTATCCAAGTTTGTGAAATACAGTAAAACTTGTTGAGCAACACACCTTGTGACATGCTGCGAGGTGTTGCTATATATAGATAACAAATTTATTTTGAAGTTTTATTTTAACGATACTGTTATTGTGAAAGTGTTTGTGCTATACAGTCTACAATAGTCTATTGAAAATGACTTCCAGATAAAAGTGTCATTGTGTTTGCTGTAACTATACTATACCAATAGATTTTATATCTTCACATGTTTTATATTTTGTATTGTTCTTTTATCCTTGTGTTAAAGATTAATGGATCTCTTTTCTTTGTCATTCCACTATTTTAATAGTTAAAATACTAGTTCATTATTATTTTAATACAAAGGTAACTTTTTGTGTTTTCAAAAGCTATTTTGTAAAACATACCAAATAAAGAAAATGTCTACAAATATTTTGTTTGTTTTTCTTTTAAATGTACATTTTTGTACTACTTATATATTATTATATTCAATCATCATAACCTGCTTGAATATATAATCCATATCAGTTTGTGTTCCAGTTCCTTAGATATTGATTTTCTATTGTTGCCCGACCTTTGAACACAAATATTTACTTATTTTTATGATCACAGGCATATAGTAATTAAACCGTCTGTCCATCTGTCTGCATGAGGTTAACCTAAACTAACAAAGTTGGATTGATCTAAAGTTTTACCTGTACCAATGGTTTTATAATTTACAAACTCTCAAATACAAAGTTTAAGTCGTCCGGTAATCTCAATAGGTAGAGCGTTGGACTGTGAATCTGGCAACCTTGGTTCGATTCACGGATGGAGCAGGTCACTGTCATTGTGATTAATAATTAAATCTTTTTCTACGGTCATTTGCACTGTACCTCTGCTCTGGCATGTACAGAAGTTTCAGTTCCATGTGAAAGTGAAGGCAACTAGTACTGGTAAACTGCTCGACAGCCTGCCGAGGAACGAAGTGGTGGTTGAACTGTGTTCTGGTGAATTCAATGCGGTTTACTGCCATGATCCTGTGTGAAAACTACCAACACCACTACCACCATTACAATGTCCATCATCATGGCAAGTTACTTCTATTTTCCCCCAGTTATTTCCCTTTTTAGAACCTTGAAAATAGATATGGTTAATCTATTCTGGCAAGTTAGATATTTATTAAGTTCAGTTTATGCAGAATATATTTTAGTTTGATTGTGTAGCAAGCATTAAAGGGATACTCGGGCAAAATAATGGCAAATATAAAAATGTTTTCTGTACTCAAATAACCCTAAAATGAATTTCTTAAAGTCCCACATGAATTTTTATAATTTCAAATTTGATAAAGTTTAAATTATATCTAATATAGGTTGGACGAAATGTCGACGGCATCGAACTAAAAAGCCTCGGATAGCTTCAATAGCAAGCATGCGATGTGAACCAAACCTGGAAGTATCAGATAAAAATATTCTGGATACTTTTACTGTTGGATACAAGTTTAGTAATTAAATGAACAATGTATGTTAACGTTTCCAGGTGCGAGGAAAATTGGTTGAAAATTTTAGCGGATTCATGCTGTTACCCATGACCGTGTGAAAAAAACACCATTTTATTCTTATTAAAGTTTTGTTACTTCTATTTTCCCCAGTTATTCCCCTTTTGAGGACCTTGAAAGAATATGGAATCACTGGAATTTCAAAATTAAGTATTATGAGAATATTTTGTTTGTGTCTCGCATTTAAGCTAAAAGGGACACTCTCCAATCTGTTCTTGGAACCAACTGGTACTAAGCAATAAGTAAAGTTTCTTGCTCAAGAAAACAATGGCTTGCCCCGGACAGGGTTTGAACTACATGTACAGCTTGACATCCTTACATTATTAGTGTGATGTGTAAACCAGTCAGTCATGCCATCACACAGTTTAACCACTATCAATAGCTTTATACAAATAATACAAGACACTCTTACTGACCAGTACATAGGCAATGATCTTGGCAGGGTACATATAAGTAGTAATCATTTTATCCCTTTGGACTTTGATCACAAATTTTGAGCAAGTTTGGTATACATGTATTTATACCAATGGTATCATACTATGAACATTTACCAATTACCAAGTCATTTAACAGAAGTATCCATGTACTTTTCAAAGAAAAAGCGGAGCTATTGTTATGACCCACCTGTTGGCATTGGTTAACCAATTTGGTTAATTTTTGTTCATGGTCATACTTCAATATTAACAATGAATTCTACCTTGCATGTCGAGAGAACACTGGTATCTGTGATTGGTTAAAGTCGATATATTCAGAAGTTATCAGAGCTAAGTATACTTATGCATTATCAAAATGTGATGCCATAATTATCAAATGGGCAGATAATCATAAAATTATCCTGGGCAGTCTTGTCCCTTATGCCCCACTTTTATGTGGGTGCATACTGTAATTGGGCCGCTCTATAGATCAGAATGTATATCACCTTTCCCTTTTCTGACTTATAACTAGAAAACTCCTTGACCTACAGTCACGACTATTAAATGACCCTTACTGATTTGAATTTCACCTTGGCCTTGACCATTTACAGTTTGTTTGACCAATAACTAGAGAATGCTTTGGCTTACAGTCCTAAAATTTGGTGTGAGGTTTCTCATTACTAGGGATTACTCCTATTGATTTTGACATCAATGTCAACTTTCCACTGGAATCCTATTCAACCAACAACTAGAGGACAATTTAGCCTGTACTTCTTAGATTGTGTGTACAGGTTGGTCATGACTTGAAGATAAAACCTGCTTAAAATAGTAAGTGATGCATGAAACTAATAGTTATAATACTTCAAGAAATTCACTGAACTTTAGAAATTGGAATGCCATTTATAAAGGGCAGATAACCTTAGGGAAAAATTAACTTGATTATTTTCCTTTTAATGATTTCCTAACTTTTCTCAAAAACCATCAGGGAAATTCACTTCTATGTAACAACCAAAGGGCAGGTAATTCTGATATTCTATTCAATACATGTATAACCACTTGGCTAAGTCTAGAAATTTAGAATGTAGCCATATATGGGTCTCTAAGTAAGATATACAATGTACGATTTTAGTTCAAAATTTGATTTTATATATAAAATCACCACAGTAAAATTACCAAACAATATTAAATTCTTGTAAAATAAAGACAACAGCAAGTAAATATCTTTACAAAAACAATTTATTTTCATTTTAATAAATATAACAATCATTTAATATTACACCAAGAAACAAGTTATCATTCAAATGACATTATGCCCATCTTAGTGACATTATTAGTGTCCATGCAGGGAAAAGTTTTAAAAAATTACGTTTTTGCCAGAATTGTTATCAATTTTGTTTACTACTACACAAAAATAATCAATAACAAAAAAATAATGAATAACAAAAATAATTAACAACACATGTGACTCATGGAAAATTCTACAATATGCTTCAGAAAGTATTTGTATCATTCAATTGTTAAAAAGAGTGTTGCAGTCTTTTTGATATTATAGGCAATTTTAATATTTTATAAAAATTATTTTTTATTATTAATTGTTGGTCAATAACCATAATATTTCATGTTATAAAATATGTAACTTAATAAGCTCAACTGGATAACAAAAAAAATGAGCATGTCACTTAGAAAAAGCAAATTGTTCAGGAACTATATTTTCAAATGGGTGTATACTTCTTCACAAGTAAGTCCAATTACGATTTTGTTTGAGTATTTCAAATATCCAAATTTATAATTGAATAAACTAAATTAAACATATAAGAAGTGAGAGCAAACATTGTGCTACTGTATTATATTTAGATCTCTTGCTATAGGCCAGTCCTGTATTCTGCTAGGTGTGGCAGTGCATCACTTTATTATAAAGTAAGCACTGTTCTTGCTATAAAACATTTAATCTCAGTGGCTAACTCACTAGTTTTAACATATCTGTGTGAGTGTTATCAAATGAGACTAATAAACAAATTTTAAAAATTAACATAAAAAATTTAATTAGGATTATCTATTTTTTTTAACATGACATAAAATTTGTTTCTGATGTTGAAAATTGTTTTCTGTAGTTACAAGAAATTGATGAATGATAAATACAATATAAAATCATGATAAAAGTATTGCCTTAACAACATTTTATGGAACAACCTTGTAGAAGTCTTTTTACAGTTTCAAGTACAATATACAAGTATCTGTACATGATCATACTTTACAGTATTCTGTCACTGATTCTTCCACATTTCTAACCTATATGAATAAAACAGCAATTACTTTCATTCTTATATAACAACAATGATTTCACTTTGCACTGAACATTTTCTAAAAATTTACATGGAAAAATATTAGAGTATTTGCTGGACAAAAAAATTAGATAAAATATTGAACAAAGATCAAATTTTGCAAATGCATATTAGTTTTAACTTTTAAGTTACAATTTTTTTTCATAACATATAAACATCCAAAAAAATAACTTTCATAAACAAAACTTTTCCTTTGCCATATACCGATTTAAGGTACAAAAACTCAATATACAAAAATGTACATGTATGTAAAAATCAGTTTAAAATATTTCCTGACTTAAATATCTGAAGTAGCAAAATAGAGAGAGCATCAGTCAGTTAACAAATAGAACAATATTTGTAACTATTTTGATTCATGCAGCATTTCACTTTGATGTTGATCTTAATATCCATTACTGGTAATTAATCTTAAGTTCTTATTATTATCATTTTAATATAAAATATAATTCATTCAGTTTCATGTTTTTGTGATGTATATTAAAATGAACCTGGCATAGTTCAAAATTTGTCAACATTTAACTGACTGACTAGATGTATCTTAACCATTTTAACAGGTTCAGTTTTCCAATGCATATATCACGAGATAAGGTATGGTATAATAACAGGCATGTTGCTGACTTCTTTCTGTTATAAAGCTTCACATGAAAGAGAATGGTAAATTAATTAATCCTAGATGAATATTGTCCTTAGTCAATGCCCTACTCTGTCCCTGGGTATCAATCGTAGTTCAGATCCATGTTTTAAAAACACATTGCCTAAAAAACAGAAAGTTCACATGATAAAACAGCTGTCCATACAGTTCTTTCATACTAATTCTCCGATCTAAATTGTTAAGTTATGGTATATCAAGATAAAGAATTTAATTTTGATCTTCATATAACATTAAAGAAATCAAATAAAATAAAGCAACAGGAGGGGCATTATCCACAAATTTTCCTTTGTTTGAATGACTTTAAAACTCTAGTCTTTCCACTTATATTTGATACAAAAATATACCATGTACATGCATACAATCAGATCAGGGTAACTGCAGTAAAATGGTGTGTTTAAAAGAATGAACAAGAACTGTCGGAGGACAAGTCAAAATTTGCAATAAACAAAGAAGAAAAATCTGACATCAAAAAGAGGGAGATTTCTTTAATTTATGAAAATACCCCTTATTTTAAGAAAAACCTTTGAAAATATGGCTGCAGAAAGTGGTAGTCTCCCGCTAAAAGTGGGAGAGTTCACATGTATGTTGAACATGAAACAATACCTGGAATGTTTTAACTGTATTTATTTTTGTTATTTTACCATATTACTGTATAGTAGTGTGACCTATAAGGAGTACAGTATAATAGGCAATTACTGCGAAATTACTGATGAAACAAGTTTAGTGACATTAAAGCAGCACGCCTCCAGATTCATGCTAATTTTCATGAAAATTTAAAAATGTATTTAACACTATAATATTGTGAAGTTACCAAGAAGCAATTTTTTCACATTGTAAAAGCCCATACAACCTGTAAATTTTCCATAAATTGGTAAAAAATTTCAAAAATGCCCCTTTCTGCTTTTAGGCAGTGAAAAAGTTATGAATATGAAAATTGGGATTATAAGCCAAAAACTGTAGATTATTACTAGAATTTTGAATCTTTATACTTTTCCTAAAATCTTAGTACATTTTTCGCAAGTTTGATTTATCGAAATATTTTTGCAATTTTGAGGCGTGCAGTTTTAAGATGGTTGCATGAATATATCTTCAATACTTACCAGCACTTTGTGCAGGGTTTATTCCTATCCCATCATTGGTTATAATAGCACTTGTTGCCGCAGGAACCTTAAACTGAAATACACAATCAAACCTTAAACTGAAATACACAATCAAACAATAAACTGAAATACACACAATCAAACCTTAAACTGAAATACACAATCAAACCTTAAACTGAAGTACAAAATCAAACCTTAAACTGAATCTTAAACTGATATACACAATCAAACCTTCAACTGATACATTTGTATATATAAACTGAAATACACAATCAAATTAAGTTTAGGCCTACTGGTTCCTTGCAGTTTCCCAAATCACACTTTTTTACTAATAATTAAAATAAGAATATGTAAAAGGATAGAACACAATTATTTACCTGTCCAGCATTACCATATGTTTTTGATGTTGCTATTTTACATTATGTACTGGGCAGGAACCAGTTTCCGGACAATACCAGTTTCCGGACAAGTATTATAACGGCTTAATTTTGGCTTTATCGATGACGATCGGTATTATATGTTATGAAGATGCTTGGTTTGATAAAATAAACCTCCTTCCAAGTTGATACATCATTAAAATTTCGTGAGGATATCTTACCTGTGTTTTAAAAACAGCCTTATATCCCTTTGGGGCATGCAATTTGTTCTGCGCATGCGCAATATTTTGTTTATTTCGGGATATAATTTGTGGTAGGCACAGTGTACTTCATTCGAAGTTCATTGGGTGTAATTCCCCAGAGCTAAACGGAAAACGGTGTTTAGCTAGGTTTACTCCCCTTTCGCACTTTGTTGCTGCCGTACACACAAAAATATCCTTTTCACTTTTCAGTCATTCTGAGACCCATCACGTGATCGTTATTTTTCCTATCATAAACATTTTTCATTAAATCAGCTTAATTATATAAGAAAGCTAATATGTGAGAAGAAATTTTTTGTTATATTAGAATAATTATCAGTTAAAAACAGATATGAATACCAGCTTAATATATGTCCGGAAACTGGTTCTGCAAGAGTGAACAATTTACACTTTTGATGACCTAATTAAACCCTTCAGTTTGTACATTGCTTACGTCACCAGGCAGTATTAATTGTGTTATCGGACGTAGTTAGAGCTCAGGTTTCTGGTATGTTAGTTTTATTAATGCATGTTTATTATTAAAAAATAGACAATTAAAAAAAACTCAAATTCTGTCCGGAAACTGGTTCCTGGCCAGTACAGTACTTTTGAATTTAAAAATTGACCAGAAAAGTAACACCTTTTCTTGCATTTATTCAAAATTTCATAGCAATATTCCAGACCTTTTTCTTTTTTAATATAATTCAGTAGCAATATAAAGCAATGATAAGGTGATGAACACCCAGAAAAACTGCTACAACACCAGTATATATACTTTCCTATTTTACATATAAAATTAAACATATGGTACAATCTAGAGCAGGTACTCTTTAAAGAAGATTTTACGTCATCATCAGATAAATTACCTGTAGATATGTTTAAATTACTATATATAAAAGACATAAAGACAAGTACATTAAAGATTGGTGCATGTATTTTATTATACTGTTGCATAAAATTAAAATTATGACTCACTTCTTCAGCAGCAAACTTTAGTACTGCTGTGAATGGGGTAGCTTCTGGCACAGACAACCTACAAACATAAAAAGTAGGTAAAGATTCCTGGGAAAAGATTCCCGGGACTAGAACATACGTACATTGTGTTTGACAGTATTCGACAAAAAATACAAAATCATTTGTAAATAAAAATGATGAGATCTACTTACACTTTATACGGAAGTTTCGGGTCCGAAGTGAGTGTAATCTTGAAAGTTACCTTCGACCTAAAATAAACAACATAAATTTTCATAAATTTCATTACATTTAAAGCAAATACTTCTATAAAAAGTCAAAATATGGTTCAATATTTACACTCACATTTTTGACACGTCTAGATTCAACCCGGAAATGATTGTTCGTTATTGGTACTCGGCTTTTAGTAGTATGCATTTAACTGGAGTACCAGCCATTAAGCACGTTATTAACCCTCTACTGGAGTGGGATTCATACACCTTAGTTTTATCTCTAAAAATATGATTATATTTCTAGATATGAGAAAATATATTGAGGTAAATATGAATACGTAAATAAGTCGCAATGGAATACTTAGGTAAGTAAGTAATTAAAGTTTCCACATTTTCTATTGGAACTCGCCCCACGTTACTAAGGCTCCCACGTTTACAATTTTTTGTAAACGTTTACACGATTGCTAAGAACCGAAACGATACCGTTTAAACGGTGGTACCTCTATGTACTATACACACCATGTATTTGAGTCGCCAAATTATGTCTTTCTTTCTATTTTTTACACGTGTACAAATAAGGGCTCATCACGATTGAGTCAGCACACACGCTTTGCATTGTAACCCCCTTTTTAACCAAAAATGTATTATGTCATGACTGGGATGTACTATAACGTATCGTATGTTCCAGGTCATGAGCAATTTTGCACCGTAATGCTGTGTGGAGGATTGTAAACACCTATTTTCCGTTCGTTTACTTTGGAATAAACCACTAGAATTGATAAAATCCATGATTACAGGCAATGATTAAGAAATTGTATGGTCATTTCGATTAAACGGTAAACAATATTGTAAACGTTTATGAATGAAAATCGAAACGAATCCGTTTAAACGTGTAATCGTGGGGGGCCTTACACGTTACACAGAAGTATCATATCAGAGCAATACACTATCAGGGTTTAGTAAGATCTCTGTTTTACTAATATCACTGTACGTGCGTATCCATGTCCGATCGAAGTCCTTATATATCCGAAATAAGACAGATGGTGTGGAAAAATTGCTATGCAAGTTTTTTTATCACCGTCATATAAATTATAGCTGTGTGAACCAAAGGTAAATATATAAACCTTTTTGTCAAGAATACTTTTAACATCTACAAAGATCTACCATGCAAGGACATATTTTGATGGGAACAGAAAGGCACAAATAAAAATACAATGTATTATATATGGCATGGAGTACATCATTTGCTTAGTTCCCTTTAGGCCTATGGACTTTTTGCTTTTTGATGACCGTGACGATTCCATTGGTATATTTACATCAGTGTATGGATTATATATTTGACCCGTGACACTAAACCAGTGTTTGCTTCGTGACATCATATAGTGAGACTGAATATTTTTTTATGTTTACAGCATTTAGACAATTTTAGTCTAAATCTGAGGAAATTTTAATGGGTTACGAAAAAATGAAAACCGTGGCCCGTTTCGTTTAACGATTTTGTGGCTAGTGATAAAGAAAACGGGGCCGTGCAGTTGATGTATACAGATGTGTAGATCGTGCTTATCGGCGGGGGAAGTAAAACGGTGGGAATTTTTTTTATTTTATAAAAAAGTAAAAGTTCTGATAGTTACTTCTTTTTTAAACTGAAAATTTTTATTTTTTAAAAATATTTTTGCTTATAAAATTTTACTTTACATGGGTTTAAAATTTTTTTTTATGTTTCTTTTAAAAACAAGTGTATATTATATGGGACAGTGTCCTTGTACTACATGATTTGGACTGCTTGTTTATATGCTCAAAATAAAATCGGTCATAAGATTGCAAATTTTATTATTAACATTCTTATTTATGTGCAGCCAGGCATTTGATTGTTTACCCAGTATGCATGTTGTGTCATTTAGAAATATTTAGATCAATAAAATAAATCAGCTGATCAGTTATTGTTACATGTACGTGATTGTCTGAGACAGTTAAACATACTGTACTGTACAGTAGAAACAAAATGCCACAGCTGGAGTGTCTAAAGTTTTGATATTTTTATACATTTAATACATTTCTGGATTACTAGCAGTTCTTTGGATAATAAGAAACAAAAACAGGTACTTAAATTAGAGCTGCTGTTGTTTTTTTCTGTGACAGAATTGTTTGAGATTGAAATTGATAAATAGAATACACTTAATCTTTATGTGCAATCTTTTAATTTTAATCATGTCTGCACTGTGGGTTGTGTTTAAAGCAAATAATTTTAGCAATTATGTTATTTAGCAATTATGTAATTACATATATTATTATTTCCTTAAATGTTTAAATATTTCTTTTTCAGGGTCTACAGACATGAGTGGGACCTCTTTACAAAGTCATGATGAGGTTGTTGAAGCCATTGCCAACAATTCAATGAGTGATGTGAAGACCTTGTATGCCAGTAACTATGACTTCAACAAGCCTATAGTAAATCAGGATTCCGTTGAACCATCAACCATCCTTCCAATTAGCTATGCTTGTGCACAGGGTAGTGTAGACGTTTTAAAATTTTTTTTGGAAATTGGACTGGAGGCAAACATCCCAGGCACAGATGGAAAACTGCCTATTCATTTTACATGTGACTCAAATGAACGTGTTGATGATAAAAAAGAGGAATGTGTTCAAGCTTTACAGATTCTAATTCAAGCAAACTGTGATGTTAATGTAGTAGACAACATGGGACGAACACCTTTATTTCTTGCATGCGAGGCTGATGATGTTGAAGCAGTTAAACTTCTGCTAGTTGAGAGTCGCTGCGATGTCAATATTAAGACGGTTGTAGGTGACTCACCTATGAAAGTAGCTTGTAGAAATGCAAAGTATTGGTCTTACTGGCATGGTAAAGAGTTAAATTCTGCCGGAAGAAAAATCAATTCATTTGATTTCCCACCGGTTCAAATCACTAAAATGTTACTTCAGGCTAATGCAGATGTGTCTGAGGCAACGTTACTCCCAACAGCAGTTCAGCTAGGTGACACTAAACTTGTTGAAGAACTACTTAATCTAGGAATGGATATAAATATGTTAGATGATAATATGTGTACACCATTAGGTATTGCCTGTTCAAACACACATGTTCGATCTCAACTTGTAAAGTTGCTACTTGACAGAGGTGCAGACGTTAACAAGGGTGGTGGATGGAAAAAGCAGAAGCCTCTTATTTTTGCCTATGTTCACAATTCTGTAGAGAAAATCAAATTGTTACTCTCTTATGGTGCTAAATTAACAGCGGAAGAGATGACTGAACTAGTCTCACTCACCTTATCTAAGTCAATTCTAGAAAATCCTGAAGTCATCGGTCCAAATAGCAAAGAATTACTTTCTTGGAGACTTCTCATGGCACAAGGATTTTCACCAGTCATTCAGGGGACAGAACTCCACTGTAAGGTGCATAAATTGAGTATTTGCAGTAGCTATGATAAGATAGAGCCCTGGATTCGCAGTCTGCTATACCCTGTACATTCTCTAAAACAGTTATGCCGGGTTAGCATCCGTGGTAATGTGCATGTTCCAATTGATAAAAATATTGATAAACTCCCTGTACCACACAGCATTCAAGATTTCTTAAAAGTCAATGAAATTTTCATTAATGAACAGCTATAGATTTATGCAGTTTTGTATATTTTTTGTTAGAAAATGGGGGATTTTTATTAGAACAATAATAATTGCAGTGTTACTAAATTTCTAACTAAATCAAGTCAAGATGTTCTAACTCTTCAAGATTGTTTGGGATAATTGACAGTGATTTATTTTAATTATAGAAAAAATGAATTATCAGTTGTATCAACTAGGTAATTCTTTTTACAGTAGAAACAACATATTAAAAATTAAGACTGTTTAAAACAAAAGCTAAATATTTATTTTATTTTCTGATGAAATTATCATGCAACATTTATTGTTACCATTGTCTTTAAAGGGTTTAGCAAAAGAAAGAACTTCGAATTATAGGCAATTATAAGAGATTTTTTCATTTCTAAAGTGGAAATAAATGTATTTTTTTCTAAGGCATGCATTTAATAAAGAGAGAGAAAATGTTTGGTTGATCTAATATTACTTATATTAAGTTAGAATTCTGGAAAGAATTATACATGAAAAGACAATTTCTGTTTCAAACAGTATGTTTAAAACTGAACCAGTATATAGTTCATATTTTAGCAATATTTATTGTTAGAGTTTACCATGACTTCATTTTCAAGTCTGAAAGGGTTGGAATGAAATTACCAATGTTTACTAGGAGAATGGAATCAAAAATGTCTTTTACTATGTTTTGTATTGTAACAATGTGTATTTTTGATATGGGAGTTTATTCATTTTTACAACCAAATTAAACTTCTGATTAAATCACTGAGTATAAAAAGTAGACTTCTGATTAATTCATGTAAATAATCATTATAGGTAACAGTGCTGTTACACTGTTCTAAACATTCTTGTTTAGGTACATGTTTTAATTTTTTATGTCTTTAATAGAATGTGAGGAGTGTGATTTAGAACAGTGTTTTTAATTTATCATTTTATGTCATATTTTTCTCTATAAAATAGGGATTCGTTGCCATAATGATTTAAGTTTTTTACAGGTCTTTAAAAAAGTGTCCTAAAACTTTTATAATGTTTGAATATTCTGTTTCTATCAAGTGCCATCTTGAAATATGTGCATTAGGTATTTATGTTTGAAGATATTATAATGATAAACCTTGTGAAGATATATTTGATGAATTTGGTGTTTATAATGTTGCTTTTTGTTAAATTTTTGTAAGGATTTTTATTTTTTTAAATACATTGTAATGGTTACTGTTTTTGCAACAGATCTTTTTAGATGGGACTTTTTTTAAATTACTACAACACATTTTGTGAAATTATTTTAGCATATGAACTAAAGGATATAGTTTAAAGGAAAATTTTGATAATTTTTAGCTCGACTATTCAATAAGAATAAGTAGAGCTATTGTAGTCACCCGAGCGTCGGTGTCGGCGTAACCACTTATGTTAAAGTTTTTGTAATGCCTCAAATATTTTCAAAGTCCATTGACATATGGCTTTGAAACTTTGCACACTTGTTCACCATCATGAATCCAACCTGTAGACAGGAGGAGGTAACTCTATCAAGCATTTTGACAGAATTATGCCCCTTTTTCGACTTAGAATTTACGTTAGTTTTTGTAATACCTCAAATATTTTCAAAAATCCATTGACATATGGCCTTAAAACTTTGCATGTACTTGTTGACCATCATGACCCAACCTGTAAACAGGAGGAGGTAACTCTATCGAGCATTTTGACAGAATTATGCCCCTTTTTCGACTTAGAATTTACGTTAAAGTTTTTGGAATACCTTAAATACTTTCAAAGTTCATTGACATAAGGCTTTGAAACATGTTGAAATTTTATACTCTTCTTTGAGAGCATAATAGGAATCTCTTCAAGGCCTATAACTGTAATATGGATTTAAAGAAAAAATTTGCCTTTTTCTTTACTGAGAAAATTTTACCTTTTAATCAAGGCTTTTTTTACTATCAAGCACTAATAATAGTCGAGCGTTGCTGTCCTACCGACAGCTCTTGTTATAATAAAACTGTCAGATATTTCATATGTGTTTCAAAGCTTTATATATCTGATGTTACTGTATATTGTATATGAAATACCTGACATTATTGGAGTAACCCAAATACATGTATGTTCTAGCAGACAAGTACTTATTCTTACTTGTTTTTGTTACTTGTTTTGTTTTCTGAAATGTTTGATAATTTATATCTCAAATTGGTTAAGGTGACTTTATGATCAAGTTAAAGTTACTTCCCCTTTTATGTTTATGTTATTTTCTAATTACATGAAATAGTAACACACCAAGTTATTAAAGGAGATCCACTAACATCCAAAAGTCCAAATCCAGTATTTAAAATTCTTGCGTAAATCAACTGAGTCACTTTTAAACAGAAATTATGCCCCACCATTGTACTCAAATGTTTTTGTGTCAGGGCTGAAATAGTTTGCATATAACATTGGTTAGTGCACCTACTAAAGTTGTATGAATCATTGTCCTAGGGTAAAAAAAAAACACTGTCCCAAATGTGACCCTGTGACTAAACTCCTGCATTGAAAAATAATGACACTTCCTTAAAGTTGATCTCAGGTGAGCTATGTAAGCTTAGCCCTATTGTTAAGTTACCCTTTGGTTACTACTTGTGCTTGAAACTTACCAAACAAAAAACAGAAGTTTTAGCACAGTTTATTTCATGCTTTCCAGTGTTTTATTGTAATATAATCTTAGCTACGACCGGGCGTACGACCTTTGATAAAACGGCACCCAGATGATTATATTCTGATAAACCACTAGTGAAATTTATAAAATATAATTTTCACTGTAGCCAGACTATATCTGAATGCGGATGAAAAGAAAATCATAACTAAATGGAATAACAGGCAGAAATTAATGCCGTCGTGCGTAAATTTTGCTTCTTTAGGAAAAGAAAGTCTATGTCATCATACATCATGTTAAAAACGTAACAAAATTAAAGAAATTTAACAAACCTATATTTCAAAATTGATTATGTGACGTCATGATGTGATGACGTCACAAAGGAGAATGCGTGACGTTACGCGGCAAAACCAGTAAAAATACTTACAATCACTTAAAAAGCATGAAATAAAAAGAAAATTTATTTGTTTTACATATAAGATTGAAAAATATTTCATTCGTGAACGCCAGCTATTATATTTTCACTCGTGGCTACGCCACTCGTGAAAATATTGCATCTGGTGTTCACTCAGTGAAATTATATTTCAATCTTACATGCAAAACAAACAAATATCCTCTATTTAAGCTCAGCAGTATTATCACTATTACAAGTCATACAGAAATTATAGTTTGTATTAATTTGTTGTGTTTTTTTACAAAGAGCTCATAATGATTAAGAACTATAAAGGAAATAAAAAATTTAAGCTATATAATTTGTTATTATTTGGTTATATGTGATCTGTATGGGAAAGAAACATAGACTTATAACATCTCCAATATATATATATACAATACAATATGTACGGTATGTATGTATTTTTTTTCTGTCGGAAACAAATGTCTTTTTCTGTCGTAAACAAATGTCTCTTTGCTATTCAGATATATCTATACATTCTTATATAAAAAACTATATCAAAAAAATAGCAACAAACTCCATAATTTCAATTATTGAAATTGTGAGGATTGTTGTTATTTTATTTAATCTTAAATTTTTTTTTTTTAAATTTCAACTCTGCACAAAGAACATTTATCATGTTTTAACATTAATTTTTTTTGTATATACACTAAGTGATTTTAATACAAGTAAGATGTCATGCAAATAATCTGTCAAACATTATTAAGAGCAAGAGGCTGAAAGAGCCCATCTATTGTACCTCCCTTGGCTGATTGTCTGTAGATCACTGTGTATGAGATTGACGATTTTTGGTCAATATTGCAAATAAAGAAGTAATGAAAACAGCCACATAGTAATGTTGTTAAAGTAAATTTTCTTTCCTCTATATAACATGTTCAGATAAATCCATCACTATGTGAATCTTATTATCTGGCTGCATGTTAAACAAACCAACTACATATTAAGTTTTACTCAGAAAAAAAGAGAAACATTCACACTTATAACCTCAACCTCTGTGACAATATAAATTAATACAACCCAAGCACAATATATTACATCTTTAGGACAGTTTATTTTAATTCTTGGACTATACATTTATGTAGAACAACTGTGGGACAATAAGTAACAACTCTCAGACAATATATATCATGTACATTTATCAGATAATATATATTAAATGTACATGTATCTGACAAAATAACAACACTGGGACAAGATCATACAACCCTCATGCAATGTCATAATACTGTTTTTATTCTTTTCAGAGGCTATGACATTCAAGTCCGGGAAATTTATTAAACCAAATAAGGACATTATAATTATAGAATTATTTTTATACAAAATACGTTTTTTGTGTCGTCAATCTTAGTAACATAATCAGCGACACACTAACCTTCCCCCTCTCTATAAGCAACATTGGACACTACTGCTAAAAATTAAAATGGTGATACTTGTGTGTACTGAATTTATACATGAACGATATAACTTTTCATCATACGATGGAAAGCACTCTGTCTAAAATGAACATGTACAATGTAATCATATACATGTTTGTACATTGTAGTGCACAAAACAGGTGATTTGTTTACTGTAACATATTGTTCAATGTGTGAATGATGTATATGAAGAAATAGGAATAAAACAAAATCAAAACATAGCACTTCAACATTCCTTTAAGAAGTTAGGTTTCAAAATAATCCAACTGTTCACTTTTTATGCCATGCTTCACTTACATCGGCTTTTCTCTCACAAGATAGTCAGTTTTTTTTTCTGGATTTTGAATAAAATGATAAATAGCAATTTTTTATGTTGTAACTATCATACAGCATGTCCTGGTTTGGTCTCCGCTCCTTGGTGATAAATGACATATCAGTTTGTGACAGCATGAAGTACAAATGTATGCAGGTTGTCGCCTAATATTAATTAATGGATTCCTTCACTTTGATAAAGACATTTTTAGGATAAATAAGGTTCATCTGTAATAATTCCAGTCCTTCAAATGTTACATCTCGGAACAGGAGTAACAGATGTACCGAAAACTATATTTTTTATTAACACCACAACTGTATTAAAAAAAAATCATAAATTATTTTTTCTGATCAGAGTCACTTGCCACTTTTAAAAATATTTCATTTAAATATGATCACCATGTTTGCAAACGATAACTGGCACGCGCGCGTGATGTATAATGTAATCACTAACGCTACCTAGGATAGTGCGGCGTATTGTACCAAGTCCTCGGGTTCCTGTAATTATCAAGTCGATGTTTTGTTGATGCGCTGCTTTCACGATTGCCTCCCCTGGTCTATGTGGCCGTTCTATACGTTCCAACGTATGCTTAATCTACAACGATAAAAATATGACAAAGTCGCGTACATATAATTTATAAGTTTTTTTTTGTTTGTTTTTTCGTATATAATTTAGAAGTTTTTTTTTTTGCTGATGTAGTGAGTAAGTCGGTCAGAATCATCTTTTATTTTATTCTTTAGTAGTTTGTATTCATCTGAAAATACTTAATCCTTCAGTTCATTATTAATGCTCATATTTATATTGAAAGGCTTGTTCAGATAAATGTCTTATTTTCTACGATTCATAATCATCGTTTTAACTGGTTACTACTGAAGTTATTACCGATTTCCTATCGAAGAAGAATTGTTACGGACAGTTGCATACCACCGAAGTAAATACTATAAAATCTTCATTATACCCCCAAAAAGGAGTCACCCGGTGGTCGGTCGGTTGGTCGGGCGGTCGGTCGGTCGGTCCAGACGTCCGTTGCATTTTCCTTGTCTGGAGCATAACTTGAAAACTAATGGTTGGAATTCAATATAACAACATACAATGGTCAAGCACATTGAGAGGAAGTGCAGTGCACAAGAACCATAACTCTATCTTGACTAATTACAGAGTTATTGCCCTTTGTTACTTTTCCTTGTCCGGGGCATAACTTGAAAACTATTGGTTGGAATTCAAAACAACTTCATACAATTGTCAAACACAATAAGGGGAAGTGCAGTGCACAAGAACCATAACTCTATCTAAAGTAATTACAGAGTTATTGCCCTTTGTTGCTTTTTCCATTGCTTTCTTTTGTCCGGACCATAACTTGAAGACTTATTGTTGGAATTCATTATGAAACTTCATACAATGGTCAAGCACATTGAGAGGAAGTGCAGTGCATAAGAACCATAACTCCATCTTGGACTAATTACAGAGTTACTGCCCTTTGTACTTTTTTCCTTGTCCAGAGCATGACTTGAAAACTACTGGTTGGAATTCAAAACAACTTCATACAATGGTCAAGCACAATAAGGGGAAGTGCAGTGTACAAGAACCATAACTCCATCTTGACTAATTACAGAGTGATTGCCCTTTGTTACTTTTCTTGTCCAGAGCATAACTTGAAAATACTGTTTGGAATTCAGTACAACTTCATACAGTTGTCAAGGACATTCAAAGGAAGTGCGTGCCACAAGAGCCATAACTCCATTTTTTGACAAAATACAGAGTTACTGCCCTTTGATACTTTTCCTTGTCCGGAGCATAACTTAAAACGTACTGGTTGGAATTCAAAAACAACTTCATACAATGGTCAAGCACAATAAGAGGAAGTGCAGTGCCAAGAAACTATAACTCTATCTTCAGTATTTATAGAGTTATTGCCCTTTGTTCTTTTTCTTTGTCTTTCTGGACTTATTACAGAGTAATTCAATTAACTTCATCAATGGGCCAACCACATTGAAAGGAAATGCAACATACATGAACCAACAATTATCTTTAATTGCCCACAACCATAACTCTATGTTTCAATTCTTTTACAAGGTATTCTGTTACTAGTAACATCCTAATTTCCGAAGCAGACTTGTGGGGGTATTAATTACATTTAGTGATAGTTCTAGTTTATAGAAGAAGAAAAGTACATAATTATAATTTTACTGAAAAGTCGTGCTTAAAGTAAAACATTAAACACACACTTGAATTATTTCTTATCTATACAAATGATAGTAGTAAAACTCTTACTTTGTATCTGTTAGCGATTTCATCTAATTTTTTAAATACTTTCAGCACGGCTTCCTCGTGTTGTTCTACTATGTTTGCTACAGCAACTGGACTAGCTAACAGCACTGTTGCTAGAAAAAATAACTGATTTAGACTGGGACGCACATTATATCTCAAGTGTATTTATTTAATAATTAATTGACAAAACTTATATGCAAATTGGCGACCTGACTATCCAGCGGTAATGTTTGTGAGCTAAATTTTTCAAAAGTTCCATATTATAATTATACTGTATTTGTAGTTGACTTGAAGAGAACAAATAACAACAACAACAACAAACAACAGGATAATATATTGCTTACATGTATTATTAATTAAAACATTGCTTACACATATTCAGTCTAAATTAACAAGAGTAAGTATATTTATTAACAAGAGTAAACTAGTATATTCATATATTGGTACCAATCAGTTGTTAGGGGCTCAATTTAATTTATATAGTGTTACAATATTTAAAGCATCACCGTGTCTTTAAAAAGAAAGTTTAGGAGACATACTTGGAACATTGATATTATATTCAGCACAGTAGGCCATTATAACATTGTCTGTCTCCTTGTAGACGTTTTTAGCATACCCTAAAATAAAACAATATATATTATATTGACAACATGAAGATGAAAAACAAGCGTTGATTCTTGTACATATATACTGTGCTGTTCCACTGAACGCAGACTTAAAGGATAGGTACATTGTACTGGTATATACTAGATTAGCCTCATATCAAAATCACAAGAATATTGCTAGAAGCGCAAATTGTAAATGTATAGGGATAACCTTGTAGAATAATGTAATTTCATTATACATTTATGTAAGTCATAGTCTCAATTAAATGCTCACTTATTTGCCATTAGCACGAACTTCAATCTATGTTATACTATTTAACTGAAAAAAGTTTCCCACAACTATTGTTGTTTTAAATAAACCATTTTATTCAATACATTTAAAGTGCAAGAGTATTTTAAAACTTTATATTATCTTGTTTTTATTGTATATTATAACTGCAGATGTTTCTCTTCTTGTGTTTTACCTGTGGTGAAATATATAGTACGCGTCTACAATCAGGCACATTCATTATGTAGCAGATCTGTTAGTGTATGATTCTTAACATTAATAAAATATATCATATAAACATGTTTCAAAAAATCTTAAGTAAACTGACTTACATTCAAACGCAAAAAGTGCATGTTTACTTCCATCCATAGCAATCAAAACTTTTCTCGCAGATTTTTGCTCCGTTTTGTTTTCCGTCATTGTTATTTATTCCTCAAAACCACAAAATGAATATATAGACTCTACTGCATGATAGTTTCAGGTGATAAATGCACGACAGTTAACTCGAAAACAAGGTAACACTTCAACACTTGTAAATAACTGCATTCGTATAGATATCAACAGGTATTGTGTGATAGAAATATACAAAATGCGAGAAGACTGTATATTAACGAGGCGCACATAATATACTATTAAGACAATTAATTGATTCTTTAAAATTTGCGAACTCTATAATTATAGTAATAAAACATTTGCTTTAGTTTTTTAGTAATAAAACATGTATATTACATGCATAATGACAAACCCCTGAAAAATAAGGAAACTCGTAAATGACTTTTGGAGACTGAAAATGTTTAGTTTATTCGACACAATATGATACTTTCTGTTGTCCCTATTTTCAAGATTTTGATGTGGAATGTGCATACACAATCATTCTGTATTGTATTGAAATTGTGTTATGTCTTGTGTTATACTTACAAAGGGTTTTAATTAAAGCTTTAATTTGGTGTTTTACAGTGACCTTCAGTAAGACCATATTTTTCCCCAGAAATTATAAAATTGACTTGTAACAAAATATGACCACTACAATATTCACACTTTTCTAAGATCTGACCTAACCTAGTTTTGACCATTTAGACTAATCTTGAGACATGATTACGAAAGACATGTTGTCAGCATATATCTATATAAGGTTTACAGTGGGTAATTCTTATATAATATTCAGGTTTCTGAGTGATCAGTATTCATCTTACCACAAACATGATGATAAAGGCGTATGCTAGGGCAACACATATTATACAAGACATAATAAGTAGCAGAATTTGGCGTTTGTTTTATCCCACAGCGCCAGTTCGACTCAACAAGTTAGTGTCCATCTTGCATCCATAACAAATAACTCGAAACGAGGTCGTAAACCTCCATTTTTTTCACTGTATCATATTCTAATATCATGCAAAGTTTAGATAAAGTCTATTTTGGTGTTTTGATTCTACTAACCCGAGTATATTTAGGTATTAGAAACTACTGGGTAATAAAAAAATCTTGTGACTTAACGTACAGTTTAATGTACTACAGCAATAATTTCAACTACTCACTTGAAGACCGTTGCTAGACATGGTCATTAATATATTGTCAAGCAGATCTCTCAAGTACACAAAGAAATACGAGAATGACATAAAACCAGGTTTTCAACTAAAGCAATCGCATGTGAGAGCCGAGCTCCCGGTTTTTTGGTTAAAAGTCAATCGAATTTCAAAGATATATTTGAATCACTCAATGTGATGGTTGTTTTGTCCAAGTAAGAACGAAATCCATCAATAAATAACAAAGTTTTGTCAAATGTTATTTATTTTTAAAATATATTGATGATCATGCTTTATGTCATGATGTTGTGTGATGATGTTGCTCATCAAGTTGTGTCCGAATATCCATTGATGTCTTAATAAGAAGAAAATTATACAAAATAAAAAAAAATATCTGACCTTGACAATCAATGTAATTTCACGGTTCTTTGTCTAAGTATTAAATAAAAGCAAAATTCAAAAACTAGACGTTGACGGTCAGTCATTTAAAGGTCAAGGTCACACGTGAATAATTCAATGTCTGTTTTGCCATAAATGTTTTGTCAAGTAGTAACAAATATTTCATTCCAAACCACAGTTATCAACCATTTTTTCTTTTTAGTTACAGTGATCGACCAAGTAAGGTCTCCACATATAAGCCTGCTTTACATTAAGTTACTAGTCTTAATAATTGACCGAAAACCATTTACTTAGCTACATTGATCATGACCCTAAGGACCAAAAAAGTAATCCTTAGCAAGGTTTTCAGGTGAGTTTGTAATATACCAAGTTTGATAGTAAAATCCATTTTGAACTAGATATCGCCCAGAAACCTTTTTTTCTATTTTATCAACAGTGACCTTGACCCCAACAGATTCAAAACGCGATGCCAATGCAAGCTAGCTATTAACTACATGTACGTTTGATTACAATATCTCATTCATAACCATTTATCAACCTGAAAACAATTTTTCTAATATTTTTGTTTGGGTTTTACGGTATAGGTCATATGGCGACTTTCCGACTTTAACGGTAGAGGAAGACCTCAGGTGCCCCTCTGTGCATTATTTCAGGCACGAACAGGTTCTCGAGCAGGAGTGCAGACATTCTGTAGCTTCCTAACATAAAATTGTCCAAAGTCCTTGTCAGGATTAGAACCCACACTTGCACATCGGTGAGGGGTAATTTGTTTGAAGTAAACGACCATAACCACTGGGCCACGGATGCCCCCTCTTTTTAGTTTTAGTGACAGTGACCCTAAAGTGAGATCTCTACATAAACTTTCTATAAACCAAGTTAAATTACAATATCTAATTGTTTACTCTAGTTATCGGCCAAAATACATTTTTTCAAACCTTTAATACCATTGACTTTGATCCTAAGGTAATTCTAAAGTAATTCTAAGCCAGTGCTCCACATACGCTTGCTAGTTTGATAAAATATCTCATTCTTAACTCTAGTTGTTGACTAGAAACCATTTCTAACTACAGTGACCTTGACCATGACCACTATGAGACCCAAAAGCAATATCAAGCCTAGACTAGCTACCAAGATTTGTTACAATATCTCATTCCTAGCCCTGGACTAGTTATTGACTGGAAACCACCTTTTTCGGCAACCAGGATTTTCAAATTTTAAAAATATCTAAGCTCTTAGCATAGTAGAATGGGAGGAGAAGCATCAACTTGGAACCATTTATATAACTGCAGGATGTTTTTAAAGATGGAAGAGATCCACTACACAAATCTGCATGTAACAAGTAGTAAGACAAAAGATGTTGTTTATAGAAATCCTGGATAGTGACTGGATAATTAACAATTACAATAGCAAATATTTCAGCAAATATGTTCTCTAATGAACAATAAAAAATATAGAGGAAATATTAACACAAGCATATCATATATTTTTTACTTAGACTTTATTTTCTTCATCAGACACTTCCAAACACAGAAAGTACACATCTTATGTAAGTTGCAAAATTAACACTTTATTCACATCTTTTATCACCATTAATATGTTTTTAAAATAAATAGATTTATGCATGTAAAATTCAGTACAATGAAGTTTGCATGTTTTCTTCCTACTATTGTCAGAAAACATTCAACATATTTATTAACAGTCATTACAAACTTTTATCATATCTTTAACAAATGTTCATAAAATGTGGTCATATTTCATGATTCGTTGCAGCATTTATTGTTCCTTTCTTTCCTTGCCTTTCAATATTCTTTGATACATCAAAACTTGTTTCCTTTTCCCTGTTCATATTTCTATATCCCAACAATTCAGTTTTGTACATTAGACCACCATTTTACCCTTTATTTAAAAACTTAATTGTTATTTTAAATGTAAAACATCATTACCCAGGACCTTGTCTTTGAAATTCTTGAAATTGTCACTTTTATAAATTTTCCCAACCTTGTTTCTGGTTGGGGGTTAAAGGATAAAACTTTTGATGGGGAATGCTTTCAGAGAGAGTTTTTGGGTTATTTTTCACTGTGGGCCATAGTCTTTACAATTGATAGTGATCTGGACCTCTTCCAATAAATGGAAAACCTGAAAGGATAAATTTCTACAAGTTGGGACATAACCTTCAGATTGTTGATGTTTGAAATCCTGGTCTAGAAAACCTCATTCATATACATTTGTAAGTCTAATAATCATTCATATTTTCAAAAAATAAACCATGCAGAACTTCTAATGTCAAATTACAGCAGGCAAATTTGTTCAAATTTCTTTCCCCTACTAAATGATTTGTTGAAATGTTTCCACTAGAGTGTGACCCAAAATAACCTATATCTGACTTTGACCTAGAAATTATAACACAACCTTTCTGATAAATTTCTAGGATTTTCCTGCAGAAAATGTAACATCAAGTGTTAACTTGGGCTGTGTGATATAGCTTTTGACACCAGATGACCCATATTAAAAATTGAGCTAGAAATTATCCAAACCTTTTTAACAAGTTACAATATTTGGGCTGAAAATACATTATCTCCAGAGTGTTAAGAAGATTTTTTCTATTTTTGGGTCATGTGGTCTTGTTTTTAATTCAAGATTAACCATTTTCAAACTCATTGGAGTACCGATTTTTTTAAACTCATTCAAATAATTATTGAGACAAGTTTGGTAACAATTGAGGCAAAGATGTGACCACTAAAGTATAAACAAATGAAGTACAGGGCAGACAACAGATATTATATGATAATAATAGCTCACCCTGAGCTAGTTAGATAAAAAATTGCTTACATTACCTGACAATGGGTGGCAGTCTAAAGACTCTACTTTATGTTCTGATGTTGGTAAATCCGTGAAGAATTTCAGTATTGCTTCTTTCCCTTTCAAATTATTTCCATTCCATGTTGCCTCCCCAGAGTCTTGGTATAACTTAGTTAGTAACTGAAACATCAGTGAAACATATGGCTAATTTTGTTTTACAGTGAAAGTTAACCCGGGCAAATAGTAAATCAATATATTGGTATAGAAAAATCATAGATTCTTTTTTTATTATTTTCCTTGGCATATGATGCTGAAGGGTCAAGGGTATCCCAAACAGCACCTTACAATTTCATTTCATGTATAATTGTAAATTGTATACAATAACAAGAAACAATAATATAAGATACAAATTTGGGACACTACTTCTTACAATGAACAGAAATGGAATTTTCCCTAATAGGAAAAAAATCATGGCTTTTATAAAACTATTCATTAGTTAAGTTTTGAAATTGACAATTCATAAAAGCAATGGTCAAAATGAATCTACACCCTGCCTTTTTTAATTTTACGTTTTTGCCAGTAACTCAAGAACAAAATGATACAACCTTTTCCCCTGTACAGACATAATCACTATGGGTAATGATGCAGGTTTAAAAGCAAAATGCCTCCAGATTTAATGCTAATAATTTCATGAAAAATTTTTGAAAAATGTTTTTAGAAGTAAAATTTATATGTGGAGTGAACAAGGAAAATAATCTAAACAATGCAAACAGCACTTACAATCCACATCTATTACAAGAAAGAAAGGTCAAAATATGCAAAAATACTTCTTACTGTGTTAGTCATGCAGTAGAAATATTGTGATAAATACTGCAAGATCTGTAATTAATCCCACAAATCATGTAAATAATTACTTGAATCTCTTTACTTTTATCAAAATCTTAAGTTTGATTTTCTTGAAATATCTGATCTCATCTGGAGGCATGCAGCTTTAATGAATATCATACAGATGTTACATACTGCACAGTGATTCTATCAACTATTAAAACATATACATGCAGGTTCTGCAAGTCATTTAAATGGAATGAATATACATGACTAAATTCATTAACGACGGAATTGTCTTAAACATGAACTTACATGTTCTAGCCAAACTCTGTGAAATATCAGCTATCTTAAAAGGCCCATTAATCCCCAGAAAATGCTTTTTATTTTTCTTTTTCTAACAAGCTTTTTATTTATATTGCCCTGATATAGTTTCCAAAAAAAGTTATTCATTTGTCAAATCCCCCCAGAAACCATCTTTTGTTGCTGTAGCTTTTTGGCAATTAGTACAGTTATATTTATTTTATATGGAAGTCAAAATACTATTTTGTTTACATTTTACTACATTAATGATGAACCAAATCTCATATGTTTCTATTTCTGTAGGTGATAAGCATCTAATATGCCTAATAAACATTAACTAAGTTATAAAATTCAGCTTTGCTCTTTCTTAAAGAGGAAAAAAATATTTGTTTCCAAGGCATAATGTGCCTTTAATATTTTAATAATGTAATAAATTGATGATAATAATCCTTTAATGTCTACCAATAATGGGACAAGTTCTCCCCAATTTTGGGGTAGAAATATCTGATTCTTACTTCTGATACAGGTAACTATTGTCTTCTATTATAATAACTGTGTCAACTGAGTTAATCATTATATTATTATTTATATCTTAAATACCTATATTATAAAACAGAAACATGTCCAACCCACTAACAGAAACAGTATAAAGATATTTCTTTGCTGGGTATTGACTATTCTGATATTAACTTAGTTTACCATATCCAAACAATAAAATAAAATATATAAATGGCTCAAGTTAAAATTTGTGGAATTTTTAACAACAAAGGACTTTAGCTTTAAATATACAGTTTATTCCTGAATAAATAATTAAGCAGAGAAAATTTACAGTAAATTAACAGTATACATGTATTTAAATCACAGTATAATGTATACTCGAACGCACGAAACTTTGCATGTTTTGTTTTTGCATTACTATAGATATATTGATGAAAACCATCTAAGCCATTCAAAATCAATAGATAAATGTTAACATGGTTATAAAATTAGTCAATAAGAGAAAGAAAAACACAAAACATTTGATTTTTCTAAAGCTTACAATGACTATTTAAATGTCAGCGTATTGAAGCACTGATAATGCTCAGAAGAGGTGATGTTGTAACATAGGTATTTTAATGCCGAAGAAACAAAGTAAACAATGCCGAAGAAACAAAGTAAACAATGCCGAAGAAACAAAGTAAACAATGCCGAAGAAACAAAGTAAACAATGCCGAAGAAACAAAGTAAACAATGCCGAAGAAACAAAGTAAACAATGCCGAAGAAACAAAGTAAACAATGCCGAAGAAACAAAGTAAACAATGCCGAAGAAACAAAGTAAACAATGCCGAAGAAACAAAGTAAACAATGCCGAAGAAACAAAGTAAACAATGCCGAAGAAATAAAGTAAACAATGCCGAAGAAACAAAGTAAACAATGCCGAAGAAATAAAGTAAACAATCTTTGTTCAAAGATTCAATAAACTGGGTTAATTTGTGATCACCTATGAACTGGCAGACCTTATGTTACTAACATCATTTATAAATGATGTGTTCAAGACATGCTAAATCCACCACTACTACAGGGAGACAGTGCCATGTAAGACAGGATAATATTTTCTTGCATAGCAGACTGGCGTTTCGGCGAGTTTTACCCATGCCGGAAATTTCATCTGGCATGGGGGGTGCCAGATGAGTCGCATGCCAAACAACGTCATTTTAGCGCACTTTATGAATGAACCGCGATAAAATGAGGTCGTTTTAGAAGAAAAATATGTGCTTAGGATGACGTTATTTCGCGTTATTATTTAAGTTGTAAGTTCATACGCTATTGTAAGAAAATAGTTATGGATGAAATGACTTTAATTTTCATGAACATATATCATATTGGTGTAAACCATTTTAAATATGAAATAATATGGCAGAATATGCAAGAAAAAATATCTAACATATGTTTGCGGTTCGGATCGGAATATCCGTCCCTCGGGAACCCGCCCATGGGCGGGTCCCTTCGGGACGGACTATTCCGGTCCAAACCGCAACATATGACAGATATTATTACTAATGCATACTCTTTATCAATGACAATGACCATTAACACAGTTTGTGTCTATTTCTTATTTTGACCCTTACCATGTTTATTCCATGAACATTTCTCAAAAGGAACTTTTTTTTGAGATACATGTATGTCCTTTTCTAGGTAATAGAATTAGCTAAACAAAGGGGCCATTGATCTCAAAAAGCTCCCCTGAGGATAGAATGGTATAGCATACTCTATGGCTTAAAGTTTGACAAAGTTTTAGAGGTAAAGGCCACTGACCTTAACATCAACAGGGATCTTCTACTAGTCATGATTAACCTTTACACCATAAATGAAAAGCTCTGGGCCTTGTACTTTCAGACAAAAAGATTTTTGAAATTTGCATGTTTTAAATGCTTTTTTGGTCCTGTGACCTACTTATTCACCGCACTGGAACCATTTGAACAACTTTGATACGGACAATTCAAGAATCACTCCAGTTCAGTTTGTTACATAATTGTTGCTTTATGGTAAGCTAAAATGCAGGGCCAATCCCAGCTACTTTGGGAGAAGGCCCATAGTATACATTTGTAAATTGGGAAAAATTATTCAAAATTATTATTAACCCATTACTTCATATACACGCCTTTTAACGCCTTTTTCACCCCCCCCCCTTTTTGTTGTCTCAAATGATGAAAAAATGCCTTATTTAGGCCCCAAACACTTGTTTTTGTTTGAGAAATGTTGTTAAAAAAAGTGACCTCTTTTTCGGCGCGGCCCCCCAACCAAAAGATACATCAGGGGGTTGCCAGAAGGGGGATGTGCCCCCTTCTGTTTGGGGGGTTTGAAGGGGGGCGGAGTCCCCCTCATCGCCAAGAAAATTGTGGACTTGTGAGAGGCTATAAATGACCCCAGATTGATCATAACGTAATGTGTAAGCAACGCTGATAAGCATTTGACTCTATCTCAATCCATTGAGAAGTTGCAGCACTTTGAAATCAATTTTGATGGAAAAAATCAACGCAAAATAGTGATTTTTGGCAATTTTGAGATGCCCCCTCGTTGCCATGGTAACAGAAAATTATAAGCCTGAGCATGTTTTTGCGAGGGCAATGGTCCAGTCAACATTTGTGCAAAGGTTGATTAGTGTTGAAGCAGTTTTTATAGTATTATAGCAATTTGAACTTGTAACGGGAGACTTTTCAATGAAAACAGCCATTTTTCACAAAATGCTCATGAAGTAATGGGTTAAACAGTTCTTTATTTCACAAAAGTTGAAACAGTTTTATTTTTTTTTTTTGGCTGTTGTTGGGTATCAACATAAAGAATTTTCAGTTGGAAAAATACTGACAAAATTAATCTAAACCCTTTGCACAGTTTCTTTTGTGTATGAGTATATTTATATATCATTGTATAATGTATTAACAAGAACATCGCAATGCGATGCAACCAGGTTTTCAGCAAAATATTTCACAGAAGCCCTGTCATGAAGGGGAATTTGTTTTTAATTGAACTTTCAGGAGGAATTATGGCTTTTTTAATATTCCTCAAACAAAAATGATTGAGAAATTTTATGTTGTCTATTCGCCTTTTTTTCCCAAATATTTTAGAAAGGTAAACAGTACTTTATTTTTGCTTAATTTTTGCATTTTTGCGTCTCTTGTCATTTTCTTTCGTCAACAATATTGGCGTGTGGTGTTTTGTGCGATATCAAGAAAAGTATGTTCACAATTTTAAAAAAAATACTTGAATGATGTCTTAGAAGAAACATGGGAATTTAGTGAGCGCCAGGGCACTTGATGACAAAGCTTCTGTGAAAGTTTGGTCAAAATCCATTGAGAAATGTAGGAGAAGTTGCGCACTGTAGAAATTGTTCACTATATATTCTGTATAAGGAAAAAATATACAAAGGGCAATAATTCGGTCAAATATTATCCAATCACAAAACCCCGACAATATGTGCCAGGCACTTGATAACAAAGCTTCTAAGAAAGTTAGGTCAAAATCCGTTGAGAAATGTAGGAGGAGTTGAGCACAGAAGAAATTGTTCTCTATATATTCTGTATAAGGAAAAAATATACAAAGGGCCATAATTCAGTCAAAAATTATCCAATCACAAAACCCCGACAATATGTGCCAGGCACTTGATAACAAAGCTTCTAAGAAAGTTAGGTCAAAATCAGTTGAGAAATGTAGGAGGAGTTGCGCACAGAAGAAATTGTTCACTATATATTCTATATAAGGAAAAAAAACAAAGGGCCATAATTAGGTCAAATATATACCAATTGCAAAACCCTGGCAATATGTGACAGGGCACTTGATGACAAAGCTTCTGAGAAAGTTAGGTCAAAATCCGTTGAGAAATGTAGGAGAAGTTGCGCACTGTAGAAATTGTTCACTATATATTCTGCATGTATAAGGAAAAAATATACAAAGGGCAATAATTCGGTCAAATATTATCCAATCACAAAACCCCGACAATATGTGCCAGGCACTTGATAACAAAGCTTCTAAGAAAGTTTGGTCAAAATCCGTTGAGAAATGTAGGAGGAGTTGAGCACAGAAGAAATTGTTCTCTATATATTCTGTATAAGGAAAAATATACAAAGGGCCATAATTCAGTCAAAAATTATCCAATCACAAAACCCCGACAATATGTGCCAGGCACTTGATAACAAAGCTTTCTAAGAAAGTTAGGTCAAAATCCGTTGAGAAATGTAGGAGGAGTTGCGCACAGAAGAAATTGTTCACTATATATTCTATATAAGGAAAAAAAACAAAGGCCATAATTAGGTCAAATATATACCAATTGCAAAACCCTGGCAATATGTGACAGGGCACTTGATGACAAAGCTTCTGAGAAAGTTAGGTCAAAATCCGTTGAGAAATGTAGGAGGAGTTGGCGCACAGAAGAAATTGTTCACTATATATTTTATATAAGGAAAAAAAAACAAAGGGCCATAATTAGGTCAAATATTATCTAATCGCAAAACCCCGACAATATGCGCCAGGGCACTTGATGACAAAGCTTCTGTGAAAGTTTGGTCAAAATCCGTTGAGAAATGTAGGAGGAGTTGCGCACAGAAGAAATTGTTTACGCCCGCCCGCCCGTCCGCCCGCCGCCGCCCGCCCGCCCGCCGACATACCTCAATCTAATAACCAGTTTTTTCCTTCGGAAAACCTGGTTAAAAAAGCACAGTATAATCATCGTCGGATACCCAAGGCCGAACCATTAACATTTATCAGTATTGTTACATGTTAATAAACGGTGGGTATCTGACGTTTATTTATTGAAGTATAATTTATTTATAAATCACTATCAATCATACATGCATATTTATAAATCACTGCATACTGTATTTATAAATAACAGTTTAATGCATAAATCAGTTAAAAATCTATTGCAATATCACATATTTATTGAGCAGATAAAGGCAGCCTTAAATACTTCAGAAAAACTTCTAAACAAATTTCATAAACTTAGAAAAACTAAATTTCTCAGTTGTTCTTAAGCAACTGAATTCATTTTCAAGAACATTTCAGTTTCACAGAACTATGTATATGAAAAAACTCACTATCATAGGCAAACAAAACAAAAGCTGACAACAGGACAATATGCTCTACTATTCTCAGTGTTTGATAGTAAAATAAGAGCCTGTAAGAATTAACAAAGAGGAAATTACATGAATGTTCTGTTCTGTTGGATTGTATTGTTCCCTAATTGCATTAAACTGTATTCCCTATCACTGGTTTGTGAGATGCAACTTTACTTAAATGATGCAAGTGATTAAAATAGCACATTTATGTAATAGAATGTATTCTCTATTTATATCATAATTATGACTTAAAGTGACATTACTAACAAAGAGTTAAAAGTGATAAAAATGACATAACAACAGAAACAAAACAAAATATCTATTTATAAATGTATATACCTAAACTGATAGCATACTATTCCTGATTCATTATCGTATACATGTACTTTACTACATTACATAAACTAAAAATCTTGGATATTAATATTTCTTGATAAAAAAATTAAAAATACCAAAACACCCGCATACAGAATAATTTGAGAATAAACATAGTTTTTACTAACTACATGTAACTTATCATAAACAAAAATCCAGTTACTGAATACAATGGAGATATTTTCCCTCTTACAATTTCACAACCTCGCTGTGGAAATTCCCTTACATACAAATCCAAATAATAATTTCTAGCAAAAAATATCTAGCTATATGGAAATCTCTGTATATTTTCACATAATAGGAATTCTAAAATATGCAAAAAAACTGTTAAAGAAAATTGAATCTACAGATATTGATACAATGTTTCACTTTGATGTCAGAAAACAAGAATAGTCTGTCACCTGTATATTTTTCAGCCTGTTTTACAACTGGCTATGTCATCATTTTATAAAATTATATCATTATTTTTACTATTTTTTTGTGTCAGGTCCTGTCCAAATCTTATGAAACAACCAGAATAGCATATTCATAAAAATATAGAATAAGTCAGCTACAATAATATGCCATTTGTTAATGTTCCACTCCTAGACATTGCATATTATTGACATCTGTCTCTTTTACTTTCTTTGTAGTTTCACATATGTTTTGATTGTTACTGGCATTGTACATTTTACTGATATTTTTCCAATGAACAAAATGTTTTCAATTTTTAATGATTATCTGATTATTCATCATATAAATCAAACAGGGCCTCTTGGTTATTCCTCTCATGACTGAGAAGATCCTTCAGTAAGATAGTATCAGCAACTCTCTGTGGAATAATGTTCTCTTCAACAAGAGTTTTCACAACATGTACTATGTTTCTGCCATATGCATTCCTCAGTCTCAGCCGACATATATGCTGGAGTGATTTGGGGGAATAAAAGAAATTGTATATCCATTCAATCAATTCTTCGTTTTCTCTCATTCTTTTAGGTAGATATCTTAATTTTATCTGAAGTTCGTCTACAGGAAAGCCTGCCCTCATTAGAAGCTTTACCATCCGCTCATCATTTTGGGTAAATGCTATTTGTAATGCATTCATCGGATTGTATAGATCTTTATAGGCGGAATATTCATGTAAATCACAGTTCTTGGCTAGAAGAAGCTTCACTTTCTCTATATCCCCATTGTCTACAGCATAATGTAACGGTGGTGCACCTAGTTTTGTTGCTATATCAACATCAGCATCATGATCTAGAAGAAGGCGGAACAATTTATTATTAATATCACAGGCAGCCTTACAAAGCAATGACATATTGTAGTCTCTATTGGTAAAATTAACATCACCTCCATGTTTCAGTAACATCTCTGTGATAGTAGCATTATTATCTGACACTGCTATCCAAAGTGGTGAATTGCCATCCAAATCTAGAACATTCACTAGTGCACCAGCACTGAGCAAATTTTTCACACAAATATCTTCACTTTTTGCCACTGCAACATGCAATACTGACTTGTGGTAGTCATTTTTATAATTAACATCAGCGCCAGAATCAATCAAAGCTATCACAGTATCTGTATTAACTTTCTGTCTACAAAGAGCTGTCATTAAAGGACTACTTTTTTCAGTATTTATGTTCACATCAGCACCGTGATGTATCAATTTCTTCACTAAATCAGTACTACGCCATTTCCCTGCAACAACATGTAAAGGAGTCATATTTGATGGTGGGCTTAGATTAACATCACAGCCTGCCATAATGAGAGAATCAATAGTTTTCATGTAGCTTTTCTCTCTAAATGAGGTATCTGACCTATACACTGCCTTCATAAGGGGAGTTATCCCTTGATTATTCTGCATATCTTTCAAGGTATTATCATGCTGTAGTAATATTTCTACACACCTATAATGCCCATGTTTACAAGCAATGAGTAACGCAGACTCCCCTTTATTAGTTTGTATTTTAGGATCAGCTCCGAGGTCTAGAAGACACTTAACAAGAGAATGTCCAAACTGTCCATCTCTCTTACACACAAAATGTAAGGCTGTCCAACCTTTGAAAGGTAATTCTATAAACTGTTCAGTAAATAAATGATTCACATTCACAGCTGATTTAGTAACTAATGATGTCACTGATGTAACACTATTTTCCTTCTCCTTCAAACTATCATAAAACTGTTTTATTAAACTTTCCTGATCCTTGTCTGATGAAGATATATTCTCATCATTGATACATATACTATCATCATCAATCTGCAGGTCCTTTATTCCACTAGAAACTAAGTCCTTTGTTCTGATATTATCATCTGTTCTCGCACATTCATTGTCTGATTTTGATTCAACAAAAGCCATTATATTAGGAATAAAATTATGAATGAGATCAAATAAGACAGGATAATCTTTTCAATGAAATGCCTTTGTTGTCTTCAAATCTAGAATCTCCAGTAAGAAAACATTGTGTACACTAGTGAACTGTTGCAGACGTTTCACTCAGCACCTTCCATTGTCAATACACAAATTGCCGCAAAGTCTGAAAATTTAATAAGATCAGTTGCCACACACTTCAAATATTCTTAAGATCAGTTGCCACACACTTCAAATATTCTTGTCCATTTGGTTTGAAATGCTGGTCTCGAAGAAATAGAACCAAAAATTGTTACCACTACAGATAATAAAGATAATGATTTCATAGTTAAAGTAAGAACATGTACATGCAGTGATTTTCCTACTTATATAACAGACTCCGAAAAAGGGCCTCTTCCCAATTGAAATTTTCTTTAAAATCATGCAGTTTTCCCAAAAATCTGAACTTAAACCTGCTTTTTTCTTCCCAAATTAGCAATTTTAGCGATAATTTTTCCCCAAATCAAAGGGCTAAGGCCTCTTCCCAATTAAGCGAGAAAAATCACTGACATGTATTACTTCCTACAGCATTTACACATGTATACCTACATGTCTATGTATTTTGTGTACAAATGATCTTTGCATTCTATGTAGATTTAACAGATTTGTATTAATTATAAAAACAGGTATAAGTTAGTATTCTAGATTTTTACTTTAATTGTTATTCCAATGTTATATGTGATATTGTAGATTTTGAAAAAACAACTGTATACTTACATGTCGTTTTTTATCAAATGTGTCATAATACAGCTTTGAGAATTCTTCACCAGCTTGACAAGCCTGTTCAACTTTTGTGTCCTGATATGGAAAAAAAACTCATCAATTAATAAAATGTAACATTGATCAGTAACAACTTAAAACAAACATCCATTGAATAATGTGCACTGAGCAAAAAGGAAAAGAATAAGTATGCACCAATGAATGTTATATTCAAATTGGTAATGCACTGATGCATTCATATGCTGATCCAAAGAGGGAAGGGTGAGCATATGGGGACATGACCCCAACCCCTGAGATTTGGCAAGTATGTGAATTTCCTCTATGATTTTGATATAAACATACAGTTCCATAGTGAAATACAAATACTAATTAAAGAGCAGCAATATTTAGACTCATGATCTCTATGAAAAACTTGCCAGGTTTAAAAAAGAAATATATTATTCTTTCCTCTGCAATTTCCGAAACAATTTAATCAACACCCAAATGTTTAACTGTTGGTATTCTTTGAACAAAAATAATAAATACTGTTGTAAATGGAAACTAACAGGTCTACTGGTTTGTTTAGATTTTCAGTGCACCAACAATTTAGGTCATATGGTGCCGAAACAGGAGAGGTGATTTTGGCTAACCTCAGGAGTTACAAACATAAAGCAACACCTGGGCAGGGGTCAAAACCACCTTAAATATGCATACATTGTATATATATATACTCCAGTAATTGAAACCCAAATAGTCATCTCTTAAGATCAACACAAGGATAAACGGCGCCGCCATTCTGATGCCTCAACCCTTAAAAGCAACCTCTCAGCCACAAAGGGGATGTCTACTGGTAATTTTACACTTTTTAAAAAGTTCTTTAATAGGCTGGTGAAAATGCCCTATCGGTCTTAATACATCAAAAATCATATTTCTAGTAAAATAATTAACATGTTTCTTTCTAATTTGTTTAGTTTATTAAGAAACAAGGAACATCGCAATGCGATGCAACCAGGTTTTCAGCAAAATATTTCACAGAAGCTTTGTCATGAAGGGGCATTTGTTTTTAATTGAACTTTTAGGAGGAATTATGGCTTTTTTAACCCTTTCCCCCATGAGCATATTGTGAAAAATGGCCGTTTTCACTGAAAAGCCTCCTGTTACAAGTTCAAACTGCTATGAAACTATGAAAAATGCTTCAATACTAATCAAACTTGGCACAAATGTTGACTAGACCATTGCCTTTGTAACGACATGCTCAGTCTTAAATTTCCTGTTACCATGGCAACGAGGGGACATCTCAAAATTGCCAAAAATCACCATTTTGCCTCGATTTTTTCCATCAAAATTTATTTCAAAGTGCTGCAACTGCTCAAGGGATTGAGATAGAGTCAAAGGCTTTTCATCGTTGGTAAAACGTTACATTATGATTGACCTGGGGTCATTTTTAGCCTCTCACAAGTCCAAAATTTTCTTGGCGATGAGGGGGACTCCGCCCCCTTCAAACCCCCCTAACAGAAAGGGGGCACATCCCCCTTCTGGCAACCCCCTGATGTATCTTTTGGATGGGGGGCGGCGCCGAAAAAGTGCTCAATTTTTTAAACAACATTTCTCAAACGAAAGCTTATGTTTGGGGCCCAAATAGGACCATTTTTTCACTATTTGAGGCCTAAAAAGGGGGAGATGGTCGAAAGTGCGTTGTTTCGCGTATATATGTGGTAAAGGGTTAATATTCCTCAAACAAAAATGATTGAGAAATTTTATGTTGTCTATTCGCCTTTTTTTCCCAAATATTTTAGAAAGGTAAACAGTACTTTATTTTTGCTTAATTTTTGCATTTTTGCGTCTCTTGTCATTTTCTTTTGTCAACAATATTGGCGTGTGGTGTTTTGTGCGATATCAAGAAAAGTATGTTCACAATTTTAAAAAAATACTTGAATGATGTCTTGGAAGAAACATGGGAATTTAGTGAGCGCCAGGGCACTTGATGACAAAGCTTCTGTGAAAGTTTGAACAAAATCCATTGAGAAATGTAGGAGAAGTTGCGCACTGTAGAAATTGTTCACTATATATTCTGTATAAGGAAAAAATATACAAAGGGCCATAATTCGGGCAAATATTATCCAATCACAAAACCCCGACAATATGTGCCAGGCACTTGAAAACAAAGCTTCTAAGAAAGTTTGGTCAAAATCCGTTGAGAAATGTAGGAGGAGTTGAGCACAGAAGAAATTGTTCTCTGTATATTCTGTATAAGGAAAAAATATACAAAGGGCCATAATTCGATCAAATATTATCCAATCACAAAACCCCGACAATATGTGGCAGGCACTTGATAACAAAGCTTCTAAGAAAGTTTGGTCAAAATCCGTTGAGAAATGTAGGAGGAGTTGCGCACAGAAGAAATTGTTCACTATATATTCTATATAAGGAAAAAAAACAAAGGGCCATAATTAGGTCAAATATATACCAATTGCAAAACCCTGGCAATATGTGTCAGGGCACTTGATGACAAAGCTTCTGAGAAAGTTTGGTCAAAATCCGTTGAGAAATGTAGGAGGAGTTGCGCACAGAAGAAATTGTTCACTATATATTTTATATAAGGAAAAAAAACAAAGGGCCATAATTAGGTCAAATATTATCTAATCGCAAAACCCTGACAATATGCGCCAGGGCACTTGATGACAAAGCTTCTGTGAAAGTTTGGTCAAAATCCGTTGAGAAATGTAGGAGGAGTTGCGCACAGAAGAAATTGTTTACGCCCGCCCGCCCGTCCGCCCGACCGCCGACATACCTCAATCTAATAACCAGTTTTTTCCTTCGGAAAACCTGGTTAAAAACCTGGTTAATTATGTATGATACAAATCAAAATAACAATATTTTGGGGTTTTTTTTAGTTTCTTTGAATTATTTCCCTTTATCCCATTTTCTGGAAACAAAATGTTTGAAGTTCATAAAAATGTTGTAATGTAAAATTCTATTAAGATCGAGATGTGTCCAACAATTTCATTTTGCTCAAGATTATTGCGCCAGTACCTTTATTCCGGTATAGATGGATACCGAAAATAAGCTATTTTCGCGACAATAAGATCGCGGCTATGAAAATAAGATTTATTTTTTAAATAGTCCATTTATCTGTTTAAATGATGATGTTAGTTATATATTTATGCATTCTTTGGATGATTTTACAGCAAAATAAAATTTCAGAACCAAAAAAAATCTTAAAAAGTGCAGTTTGAGCCGAAAATACATACATTACGTACGAAAATAGCTCAAATCGCCGTGTGAAGCAAAAATAAGATCGGGTCTACGAAAATAAGATTTATTTTTGAAATAATTCATTTATCTGCTTAAATAATTATGTCAGTTATGTATTTATGCATTCATTGAATTTGAATGATTTTACACCAAATTAAAATTTCTTAAATGTATTAAAAACGTATTTTTGTTGCGATTAAATGATTTGTAAATGAAATAATAAAGAATGAAATATTTTGTAATGAAATATTACACGTTTGTTCGGTAAATATGGTAAATATCCAAAATACCGTAGTATAGAATGAAGGCATGTGAAAATAACCCAAGATAGTATGAAAATAAGATCATACCGGTAACTCATAAAATTTTATTAATTGCAAATAAGATTGTAAGAATTGAATCTTCTCTTATAAGACAAGAAAAGGTTGTGGTGAAAAAGTATCAAAATAAAAGCTAGAATTAACTAGTGCGAAAATAACCAGAAACAACGACTACAAATATAAGATCTACTGTACTGTATAATAGAATATGTACGAAAATAAAATCTATACTGTACTCTACGAAAATAAGATCTGTAAGTATGAAAATTATGTACATACGGAAATAAGTTTTATACGAAAATAAGACCTGTTAGTAAATAATACCTGTATGAAAATAATATATGTATGAAAATACTAAATATATATGCACGAAAATAATTAAGATCCAATTGAAAATATTTCATATGATGGTATATTCGGCTCAAACTTCACTTTATTTCATTCATACAAATCAATTATTAAAAACAAAAATACTTTTTTAATACATTATATCAAAAACAAATCTTATTTTCGTAGACCCGATCTTATTTTCGCTTTATGCGGCAATTTGAGCTATTTTCTTACGATAGTATTTTCGGCCAAAACTTCATTTTTTAAAATATTCTTTTTTGTTCTGAAATTTTAATTTGGTGTAAAATCATTCAAATTCAATGAATGCATAAATACATAGCTGACATAATTATTTAAGCAGATAAATGAAATATTTCAAAAATAAATCTTATTTTCGTAGCCGCGATCTTATTTTCGCGAAAATAGCTTATTTTCGGTATCCATCCATACCCCCTTTATTCTATATATTTGGATTAAATATTCTGTTTCTGGTATTTATATTTTGTACTGAACATTATACTTTGAAGTTTTCTCTGAAAACTGAATGAAATGAATGCTGAAAGGTGTTGGCACAATGAATTAGAGCATAAAGAAGTTATTTAACCTATTTTTTTAAACTTTGCATATGTACATGTAACCAGGGACCTTAACTTATCTTTGGTCCCAGATGTAACAAATTTTTTAAGGACTTCAAAAATTTTGTGTTATAAAAACATGAAAAAGGGAAATAATTCTCACAAAAGTGACATTAGCCAAATATTTTTATACCTGTTTATTTCAAATATTATTCTCAATAAACAAACAAAGTTCAAAGAAATATCTTTATTATTTTTCTAGAAAAATGATTTTTTTCTGGCATAAGCCCGATCAGTCATTTTCACTAGCCTAATTAATTTGGCGTGAACGGTTTGACCCATTTTACAGACTTTTTTTTTCTTACTGTCAAACCGTTACGCCTAATTTTAACTGTCATTTTTACGCACGGAAAATCTACCGGTAACACTATCGATAGTTTGGACTGATTTTTACTGCTTAAACCTAAAAGTAACTTCAATTACCTCTAAAGATCAATAGAATATAAATTTTAGTACTAACTTCTCCTAGAAAAAATATTAGATTGTACCTGTCTTAACGCATACAAGCGATTTATTTCAAATTTGTACTGTCTACTCTATCTTCGGCGGACATGTTATGACGTCATCGTAAAAAATCGATTCCGTGAAAGCTGGTAGTAGCTACCAGTGTGTCTAGCAGGTAAGTGTGGGTTACGCATGAAGATTAAATTAAACAAAATATCGGGGGAAATAAATCTATTCATAATTTTTTAATAAATGTGTGCATTATTGAATACTATTGAAAAGTATCATTGTATTAAACCTAAAATGCAATGGTCCTGTTGTTTAATATTTTTTAAATATTTTAATACATGTACAATTGGTGGTTTGCCTTCTTGTTTACTGCTAATGAATGCCAAATGTCACTCTCGGATAAAATACTGACTTTATTTATACATGCATATTTATATGACAATTAAGAACGTAAAAGAAATATTGAAGGAAACTATTTGAAATACACTTCAAATTATTCAGTATTTGTACAAATAATATTTCAAGAGCTCTTTTTCACCGATTGCCGATGTATAATACCATATTAAACCTATTGATCAAGTTAAATGTCTTCTTGACATACTTTATTAATTTACTAAAAAGGAACTTTATTGTGATCCAGCCATATGCTGTGTAACTATAAAGGAAGGGTCACATATTTTAATTGAAATAAATCTTTTTATATAGGATATTAAAAAAAAGTCATTGAGAAGATCAGATTTTTCAAATGAACAGATTAAGACTTATAAATGTATAAGGTGTATGTCTTGTTGTTTCATACTGTTTTGGTGACACTTTTGTTTGTGTCCCTTGTTGTTTTCTCGTCTATGGTAAGTATCTTCCCTTTGCCCCTAGTTTTATTTCTTTATTTCGCCCCCCTCCCCCGAATTTCCTATCCCCTTCCCCTGTGCCTGTTAACTTAGTGGTCCTGTTTCATACTGTTTTGGTGACACTTTTGTTTGTGTCCCTTGTTGTTTTCTCGTCTTTGGTAAGTATCTTCCCTTTGCCCCTAGTTTTATTTCTTTATTTCGCCCCCTCCCCGAATTTCCTATCCCCTTCCCCTGTGCTCGTTAACTTAGTGGTCCTATTAATCATTCATTTATTTATTTTCTTTGATTTCCTTCTCAGTTACATTTTAGTGATAAGCCTGACCGTGCTCTCCCTTGCGCCCTGTCCCGTTTTAATTTAGAATCATCCTGGGCTCCTTGCCAATGGTTCATGTTCCTGGGTCGTGTGGGAGTTGCGTTCATTGAACGCCGCCTTTCCTTGTTCATCTTGTTTATCATATTGTATACATGTATACCGAACCGTAACAAACAGATATTGATTATCAATACAAGGTTCGGCAAGCAAGCAAAGAAATGTAAAGAAACAGAAAAAACTTATCCACATTCATGTATCCACCCTCGAAAAAAAAAACCCCACCAAAAACGCCTGAAACTGCAAAATTGAAACATAAATACACAGGAGTGCCAAAGACGGTTCTGGTAGGTGCAAGTGCTCCCTTTCGCCGGTTTAAACAGAATTGACCACTTAAACATAATAATGTTGAAACTTTTAATCAACATCCACAAATGTGTACATAATACGGCGGTAATCATGGAACTTTCAATGTGACACATTCGAGGTGCCGTTCAACGGGAACTAGACAACATGGAATTTTTAATGGGTATCAGAGGTTTTGGTGTCCTTTTGCGACAGTCGTTCTAACATTTCTCCCATCTGTCTTACATTGTTATGCTATTCAACGTCTAAATAACGGTCACTAAATTTCCTCTTGCTGTGTTTTTATCATAAACCCCGTCAAATCTGTGCGACAATAGGGTATGTAAGTCTCGTCATGTGACTTGCGAGATTTCACGATATTTTGCACTTCCGGGTACAAACAAATATCAACAACATTGCTTATCTATATTGGGTAATACTTGTATGCCGGTGGGAAAGTAAAACTTACATGGAAAAGCAAATGATATGTGGAAATTGGCAGAGTTTTTTGTTTTGTAACGAAATGCAAATGGTTTCATCTTGTGAACAAGTATCAATGAAAGACAACTTCGTATAATCTTCAGGTGGGTGTGTCATTTCAAATTCAGTTTATCCTAATAAATGTTGAAATATTTTCATTTCCATGTAAATCTAATAAATTTGTTTCTTGATACAACATCATTCGCATCTGACACCAGACTGGTGAATTTGATTTTATCAATTTTCTATAGCGCTACGTGATTATCTCTCAGAAGTATGTAATGTTTAGAAATTTCGGACAGCGCATATTTCGGATAAACGTTACAATATGATTATCAGTGTGTTTTAGTTGAATATATTCTCTTCCAACTGAAAATATTATTTATTTATAATTATTATCTTTATAAAGCACAAACAGTCAAGCTGTATATAACCAATTTAAATTGTCATAAAATTCAATGAAATATTTTGCTCCTGTAGATATTTTGACTGAGGACAGTGGTGAGATGAAAGACGTCAGTATCAATTGTAAATACACATGCATGCTCTGCTGTAAAATCGTTTTGGTAAGAAATATATACTTAAAGCTACTTAAACTACATTAATGAAAAATAAATATTATTGTATAACATATAATGTTCTCGTTTTTGTAAATAATTACAGTGTAGCTAAATAAACAAACAGTATGCCATATGTAGTTAATTCATGTTAAATACTGTTTAAAGTATTTTTCTCAAGTAAATGGGTCATATTTTTTAGTTAAATCATGTTTAGTAAATGGTTAAAAGAACTTAGTCACTATCACATTTTTTAAAGATCAGTTTTCAAAGCAAATCTACAAAAACTAGGACACCAAGAAGTGTTTCTTCCTTTTCAGCATTATTTTCTATTCATGACAGTATGAAAATGATTGAAATCTATAGCTGACCAATTATTATTGCTTTCAACTCATGATAAATTTTCTTTATATACAGGTATGTGATTTCATGGTTGGATCTTGAGTACTTGTCATGGCTCTTGATTTATTTTGGAGTGTTCACCATCAGATTAGAAATCAAATAGTGATACCACCAGGCATAGTTGAAAGGAAATGTCCATACACAGTCTTGGAGTACACAGTGGTAGAAAATGGCAGTCCATTACAGATTTTGACTGAATTAAAGCTTCTTAAAGCTCCATGTCTTGTGTTAACTGTCTGACTGAATGTTTGTATTCTAATAAAAACTAAGGTTGAAGAGACTTCAAAGATATATGTCAGTGTAAAAATGTTAAACAAAATATCTGTCTTTGTTAGAAATAAATAACCTGTCTTTATTAGAAATAAATAACCTGTCATTTGTAACTTTGTATTAACTTAATTATTCAAAGATAATTTATCTTCTGCAAATGGCTGCCCAAAACAGTTTCAACCAGGCATCATATAGTTTCAAAACAGTTAAGATAAATTTGTTATAAATAGACTTGTAAATTAACAGGAATGATAAAAAGATAAATGTTCAGCATTAAAATGTTTCTATCAAGATTGAGTTTCAATTCATATTATCACCATGATCACTGCAATTGTAAAAGTAATGTAATGTAATGTAACCATTATTTAAATATCATAAAAATCATCTCAAAGAAAAACTTGTTTCTGAGGCAAGATGTGTAAAATTCCTTCCAGTTATAGCCTTTCACTGCTCTTAGAAAAGCCATGATTTGCATTGTACATGGCAGGTAGTAATACCAGAGTAAACAATATTAATGCAATTCATCTGTGTTGAGTATTCTGTAGCAAAACACTAGCTTGCTAGCCCTTGTAAGCCCAAGTCTCTATTCTTAATTGGAGAAGACTTGCAATTCTGCATTCCTTGAAGATTTTAGTATCAGAGGCGTAGTTATTACATACCATATTCTTCTTTGGGTTTCAAATTACCTGTTTTATAATTATTGAACCTGTTGACATTTGACCAAAAGTGAATTATCTATACAATACATGCAAAACTTAGGGTTTGCACTTGATACAAAACAATAACATCACTGATACATTAATATACCCATTGGAACTGTTTCAAAATTGTCAATGTTTCAAAAAAAAACAAAAACAACAACACACAATGCTTTTAAATTCTGTCCATGTACATATGTGTAAATGTAGTCATTGAAGAGATGTCAAGAACTTTTTCATCAATATTATTTAGATAATGTCTGTTTAGATTTCAGGACAGACAAAATTCAAATGACATGCATAGTATTTAATATAGTCAATGCTTGCATATTCAAGCAATCTAGCCATTGCTGTTAGAGAATTAAAGTACACAGTGACACTTATTTTGCAGACGAACTCTATGATCAAGCACTGCTATAAATATATGCCAAATAGTAGAAACAAAAAACAGTTCATAAGTTTAATAAACTTTATTTTTACACAATTTATAGTGCACTGCTTAGCATATATATCAAAGCTTTGATTGCAAATTTGTGAGCTTATCAATGATTACCTCACAATATTAGTAGTAGATGATATATAATATTTCTGCTAATCTTTACTTCATAGTCATTTAATGTCAAAAATGTCACATGGCTATACTGTGATTCCATGAAAAAACCTTATCTCTGATATGTTATCAGCTTTGGTATATATAGAGTATCTAGTTTTAATACTTAAAACTGCAATGAAATATGGATATTTTACTCTGTTTCTATCATTGTGACATTAACATGTTAACAAGATCATAGTGTCAAACACCATAAAATCATACTCTTTATACATTAAGATTTTTGTGCTGGATGTCATTCATCTTCTTCAGGAAAGTACATTTGACTATTCTCAGTGGCTTATATGAAACTAATATTTCACTGTAACTGTGTGTTCTCTGATATCATTCTCAAATTAAGGAACTGGGAGATGGTAGTTGCAATAAAGGTCTTCATGGACAAATCCTCCTTCCTCTTTTCCCTTTTTATCTGCAGAATGAAAAATCAATAAATATGTTGTTACAAGTGAAAGACACTAGTAATGATATTTACATTACATTTAATAAGCTGGTCATGATTGACAGAAAAATTTCATATTTGAAGTAAATAAACATTAAAGATAAACAACAACACATAATATATAACAGTCAAAAATATTGATCTTGAATGTCAAGCATGACTATTTTTAATGTTTTATTTACTAATCAATTATCATGCAGTGAAATCCAAAAGTTATTAAATTATAATAATATATTTTGATAATTGTTTATCTTTCCGATCTCAACTAAAAATTAATCAGTTATTTTACATGTATTTACCTTTGATGTATAGATATTTCACGTTCATAGGCAGTGCAAACAGTTGATTTATGGTCCATATTGAACAAAGTTCTGTATATTCTATACTTGTCATATACCTCCTTGTCTATACATCTGAAATGGTTTAATCAAATATTATATTTTTTAATTCAATCATAATTTGCTAGGTACCATATTAACATGTATATATAATTGAAAAAGGAACAAGAATAAAATGGAAGGGAAAAAATATCCGAATTACTGTGCAATGTCCGAATTCTGTATAACTTTAATATAAACTAGAATTAAAGTGTTTCTCCATTGTTTATTTCAATAAGTTAAAATGGAATTTGAATTAATGTCTCACATCAGTAGTTTTAAAACAATACTAAAAGCTAAACAACTAGAATTCACTACCTTGACAAAACATCCGAAACAATTGTCACTATCCGAAAATAAAATAGTTTTATTAAACTCTATAAATCCCTCATTTTTCCGTCAGATAATTGACCTACCTGCATTTTTTGACCCGTGCTATCCATTCCTTCAAATCTGAAGAGGACCGAAACAAATTTAACTTCTATATCCCTCGAGTTCTTCGGGTTACCTATATGCGTAACGGTAAATAAGTCTGCCGATGTACCCGGAAGTGGTAAATCGAAAGTGAAAGTAAACGAGACTTACGGGCCCTATTGTATTTTACTGAGGACTGTCTGAAATTCCATTTTATAGTTTGAAATTTTAAGATTTTTTTTCGGAATTTTAAAGTTATTTTTGGTTGTTTTGAACTTCTTCCCCTTCACAACCGTCCTCAATTTCTTTTAAAGATAATGAACTAGAAATTGATATGGAGTGTAATATAAATTGAAATTCTTCTTTGCTTCATCATGTATAGTATAATTATAATTCATTAAGATGTACCTACAATTACATTGTATTTTCGTATGTGGGAAATCATGGCAGGGTTATAAAATAAAAAGGTAGTTCAGAAATTTCACCTAATGATCACAGATGTTAAAAAATCCAACTTAATAATATCTAATTTGACTTAAATGCAGTATGATCTGACATCATAAACTATTTAATTTGTAAGTAAGGTTATCAGAATTTTCTTTTCACATTCTCTTTTTAATGCTGAAATATTTGTGTGTGAATAAAAGAGTTATTCCTGCAATAATTCATATGAATAACAAAAACAAATTGTATAATAAAGCTGGGCAAATACAATCGATCGCCGCCGATACCTGTGTTACACCATGGATTTTACCATGACACCGCTTTCCAATATGGCCGCTTTCAATAACATTCAACGATTAAAAAATTAAAGTGGAATATTTAGACTTCTGTTCGACTTTGAAGTATGATAATTTGGAACCTTGCATAAAAAACGATTCTCGTTCAGGTAATGTATACCGTTTCTTTGAAACTTTTCTAGTTTTCGCTCCCAACAACTTCTAATTGGGAAGCGTCCGTGCATAAAAATGCAGTTCGTGGTTGGACTTGGAAAAAAAGACAGCGCCCGTCCAAAATTATCTCGGTGTCTCTTTGACAAGTCTAATTAGTTGGACTATCATTTTCACCAGCCTGATTAATGTAGATGCTGGATTTTCGACATGTTTAAACAATGTATGGATTCTTTGAAAATTGCTTGAATCCAACAATTGTGCGTCTTAGAAAAGACGCTGTACATAGTAAATGTCAATCCCTTCTTTGCAATATGCACTAGGCCTACAAACTCTTTTATGCCAAATTAAATTATACTGGATCTGCACATTTATTTGTCTATGTGAAATACTTAAAGTGTATCATTTAATGGTGAACACTTCACCATCCACCCACCCTCATTAAATGCACTATTAAAGGCAATTTTGTGTGCGTTTTTTAATCGTATCCGAATATGACCTCCTATCCGAACATTTGTACAATATATGATTTGTGGGCATACTCTCTGGACGATCTTGCTAATTTTTCACTCAATAAAGATTTAAAGAAGCATATGCTGGTTTTAAGAAATATTTAAGTTTCAAATTCAGATATATCACAATTACTTCAGAATCCATGCCCATATCTCTGTCATGTGACTTTATTTTTAGACGTTTCGATCCCAATACGTTTCGGTCTTTCAGATATTTCGACCTCAAAACATTCCGAACTTATGCATTTCAAGATTTTATTCTCAAAATGGTCATTTTCTGATGAAGCAACATTGTCAGTTAAAAACCAAATTTCTATAATTAGTTTAGTTCTTTCTTGTAAGACATCATTGTATTTATATTGTCTGAAAATCAACACATTTCTAAATGCAATCATATATGTACCTATATACATGTAGATCTATATACATTTTGTACTTGATCTACAGTACATCTACATACATGTATATATATAACAGCAGAACAACAGTGGAAATTACCGAAGAAAGGATTTCATACTCATTTTCATAATCACAACGAAAGTGACCTGCACCGTTTTGGAATTTAAACGCGGTCGCCCGATTCACATTCCAACGCCCGACCTATTGAGCTAACCGCACCGTGCGCACGGTTACAATAGACAACTCTTCTTCAACTTCAACTTCAACGGGTTTTCTCGACAAAATCCACGAAGTAGGCATCGACGTCGAGGAGGTGAAGACTGTACATCGGTGTAGAGTGGCGTGTTCCGACATAAATTTTTAAAACTATTTTTACACAATTGTATCACAACCGTCCCATTGACAAACTGATGTTCCACACTACAACCTTAAAAAGTCATTTGACCAACATGTAAATTTAACACTTTACAAGATGTTGACCATTTTAAACATATGATGGTACGACTGGAACGAGCTGGATGGAAGATTTAAACCCTCCAGGCTCTCAGAAGTACACAAGAATCTGGTATAATATTCCAGGTATTAACAGTTCTTGGGAAAAATGAGTTGTTGATTAAACGTTGATTCCTAGATTGGATTGGGATGAATTTTCATACTATGATCTTCGGGTTTAAAACGAACTGTGGCAATTAGGGGGGTGGTACGATACTGGTACAGCTATTAAGTAGTTAACTACTTTATACATGAGAGTCAATCTGCCCAAACTCTACGTTGTTGAAGACTGGGCCCATTGTAATTTATTTATTAGTTTCAGTCCTACCCTAGAAGGATTGTGTGGGTTATACGGTCTATTCAATACCCATCTTGCTGCGTTTTCTTTGTATCTGTTCTATCTGCTTAACTTGTAGTCTTTTGTAAAGGATTCCATATTGGAGAAGCGTATTCCAGTTTAGGTCTGACCAAGCTAATTAAGCCTTTTCTTTTACTTTGGGAGGAACAGTAAATCTTAAGTTTCCTCTTTAGAAAACC